CCTGCGACTTATGCTGTCGTACGAAGGCCCTCCGAAGGCTTCCGCACGGGGAGCTACATCCAACCGAAGTCCCCCCCGAGCGCTGGCACACCGTCACTGTGGACTTCATCGTCGAGCTCCCCGAGGCCCATGGGTATGACGCGGTTATGGTAGTGGTTGACGCCCTCGGGAAACGCGCTCACTTCACCGAATGCCATACGACAATAGACCGGTCGGAGCTGCCCGCTTGTACTATCGGAACGTCTGGAGACACCACGGAACCCCGAGAAGTACATTTCGGACCGTGGTTTGCAGTTCATCGCTGACTTCACGCGCGAACTCTGGCGCTTAATTGGCGTCAAGCCGGCTACCTCTACGGCTTACCACCCGCAGACCGACGGACAAACTGAACGCGTTAACCAGGAGCTCAAGCAGTACATCCGAATCTTCACCAACTACCAACAAGACGACTGGGACGAGCTTATCCCTGCCGCTGAGTTCGCCTATAATAACCACGTTCACTCCTCCACTCAACAGGTACCCTTTATGACGGACACTGGCCGGCTCCCCCGAATGGGTTTCGAGCCGGGCACCCGCTCAGAGTTGGAGTCAGTGAACGAGTTTCGCGATCGGATAGCGAACGGCGTCTCCGAGGCGAAGGCCCGCTCGTCAAAGCCAAAGACGAGTATAAACGGTACTACGATCGGAGACGATCGGACGCTCCGAATATTCAAGTTGGTGATAAGGTTTGGTTAGATGCCTCTGACATCAGAACAACTCGGCCCTCCGAGAAGTTCTCCCACAAGCGCCTCGGCACCTGTAGTTGTGCACATTTGACAACTGCACTGAGTGCACTGAGTCAACCTGGTGTCAAATCCACTAGCTCCACTGAGGCCTGAGTGCAGTTAGTGCATTTGTCTTCTGTTCCCCTATAAGACTGATCAAACTTTGATATAACATCAGTATTAATAATGATTATACTTAATAAATGAATGTTAAGTTCCTTTTCTTCAGGCCGAAGACCCGTTATATAATTTGGAAGACTATATATATAGAAAATAATTAATAATCCCAATTTGGACAGAAATGATGTAGCTGGTTACAATCATCAAAACTTTTGATGGCAATCAAAAATGTTTCCACATTGATGACATTATCTAGATGCCATCAATTCCATCATCAATTCCTATAATAGTAGTCTTAAATAAATAAAATAAGCCTTTGAAGGAATGTGACATATGTGACAAAAAGCCCTGCTCAGTGTATTTGACAACCGTTATGCTAGCTGTAGCTAGTTGCATTTGTAAAAATATAACGCCTATGGCTCGCCTCGGACCGTTCAAGGTGCTCGCAGAGGTTAGCAAAGGTGCCTACAAGCTCGACCTCCCCCCGCGTTACTCCAAGCTCCACCCCGTCTTCCCCGTTGTTAAACTCGAGCTCGCTCAGGACGACCCCCTTCAATGGGACGACCCGGCTACGACGAACCGCCCCCGAACTAGAGGACGGAGTCCCCGAATGGGAAGTCGAGGAAATCTTGGATGCCAGGATAAGGTATAAGCGTCTTAACTACTCCGTCAGGTGGAAAGGCTACGATGCCCGCCACGACTCGTGGGTTCGGTTCGACCGTGTCTTCGCGCCAGACAAAATTGCGGACTTCTATCGGAGGTACCCAGGTAAACCACGGCACATCGCCTCAGCAACCTTCGACTCCTTGCCCTTCCGAACTATGCGTCGGGACGCCGCATTTAAAGGGGGGTGATGTCAGGGGAACCCCCGCTGGCCTCCTTCGGACCCTCCGAACGCATCCGAGGCGCATCCGACCGGCGCCCCCTCGGACGCTCCGACCCACCCCGACCATCGTCCACGGCCTCCTTCGCCCGCACAATCACCGATCCGTCAAGACCCTCCCAACGATCACCTTGGGACAGAGCCTGCGACGCCGCTCAGGCCTTCTGCGCTCTACGTCGGCAGTTACGGACGACCAGTATATAGTTGGCGCCCTAGCAGGCGGACCCTTAGAGTTTCTTCTCTTTGGATCCTCCCCTGCTAGGTCGGTCCCTCCGTGTATTTCCTGTAGTCTTATTCACGCTTTGGATCCTCCCCTGCTAGGCTTTTCGTCGGAGTCTCCAGGGTTGCCCTTACAGACTCAATTGAGCTTGAAAAACTATATATATCATTTTAGTGGCATCTATACAAGAGCTAAGAGCTGAAAATATACAATTGTGAAATGCTTTCCATAATGTCAAGACAAGAATCACTAATAAATGGTTATTAATTTTTGGTTTTTTTATAACAAAATACACAAACTAGTTTCTCCAGCAAGTAAGGAGATGTAGCAGACAAGTCCAGTGTTGTTGGAGCTATCAAGAAAGCAAGAAATGTGACTAGAGGGTGAAGCATTGACTACTAATAAGAGTTGTTAAGGTATGTAGCCAGGTTATAAATCAAACTTACTTTGAAAAGAATGTGTCCATTGTAGTACAGCCCATATATTCACGATGCCTGTTGCCTGTTACATAGAAGAATAGATTATCAACTGTTTCAAAAAAAAAAAAAAATGCTTACCCCCCATAATACAACAAAGAAGATAAGCAATTTTTTAGATTGCTGATATAAAGCCCAGGTTCGAATCATAAGAAGAACTATAATATAATGATTTATGAGTCTTCTTGTCCTCAATTGTGGTTATACTTCCTGCAATGGCAATTCCAAGCCCAGCAAATACTATATTATATTCAGCTCTCTGTTTTCATAGTTATGATCATACCTGTTGTGAATTCCATCAGGTGACCACATGATGTGGGATCTTGATGGACATCAACTCATTCTATAAAGTTGTTCAGAATCAAGAATGGAATAGTATAGTATATATTGTTAGTAAAAAGAAAATAATACCTTGCACTGCAAGAATAGTATCAATAAAGGTTGAATATCTTGTCCAGAGATAGATGACTTTGACCACACTCCAGCGTGATTTCCCAAGGGTACCGCAGATCATCAGCTGATGACATCAAGTCACATATGTCACATAGGGTAGGGTGGGTTACTAGGGTGAAATTTCACTTTTTGGACTTGTGTCTGGAGAAGGTTCATGGACATTTAGGAGGATTAGAAATGCACAGTTATACGTTTTTAGGACTTGTTGCCAAAGAATCTGGAATGTTCAAGGGCCTATATCCCAATCGGGAGAGTTTGATGATAAGTACAGTGCTAAACAATGACATGTAAGCATGACATTTACATCTGCTTCTTTCCTTCCCATATGATATTTCTTGAATGGCCCTGGCATAGACTCCAATGAGCCCAGTGCTGTGTCCTGTACAGACACTGATGACAAACAATTTCATTTTTGGGAAGTCACATGGCTTAGTCATGCTTACGTCAATAGGGTAGGGAGGGCTGACTCATCCTTAATTCACTTTTTCGACCCGATGTCTAGGATTTTTTTTTTGCGAGGTACCCTTGTGATTTCCAGATATAATGATACTAGATAAGATTTGGATGTTAATAATATAATGGGTGAAGAAGTTTAAGAAAATCATCCCTCAATATCAAAGTGCAATATAGTGTCATAGATCTAAATTCAATGCTTGAGGAAAGAAATTCAAGCTGGTAGCTGAGTACTTGCAAGTAGTGTCAAAAATGATGCTATTGGAATTTAATAAGTAAATATGGCAGTCCAAGTTGATCTTTGAGTTTGACCTTTCACATACTAAGATCATATTATCCAGTGAGTTGGGAATACTGGTAAGATGCCAATGCTCACAGCAACTGCTTGAAGATCTGTTAAAATGGAATGAGAAGGGGAATCCATACTGGCTTTCATCGAATATGCCTGCCTGCTTATTAGTACAGGCTCGGGGTCTTGCATCTGACACCTGGATCATGATCTGTAAGCTGTACCACTTCCCAAGGAGGATCTTATTGGTCCATGATCCATGGAACTGATCATCTCGTAGACATAGTGAAACACTGCAAGCGTAGGGGCAACTAAAATTGTGGTGGCTTTGAATGAAAAATATGGGATGGCAGTGCCTCTATGGCCCGGGGATTCGAAGTGAGGTGAAACCAACTCTCAACTCGACCACTAGATTAGGGTGCAGGATTGAATTATGGGGGGTTATTAAAACCGGTTTGAACTCCCAGCCGATTTAGAAACCGGTTTGCAAACAGGGATTGATTAAAATTGCCTAAAATGGCAATTTTTGACCTTTTGAATGATTTTTTGGGCTAGCATATGTATTCACTTGTTCTTTTACACCATTTCTCAAGCTTTCAGGGTACCCCCTGCTATCCTAAGTTATATTCTGTGTTGTCTGTATATGGTGTGACCCTATCACTGATGTGATGGTAACACTTAGAGCCTTTAAAAGACCTCCAGTAACATTAAATGGAGAGTAACAATAGTTGATTAGGATGTTACCTTTATAGCTGTAAGTATAGCTGCTACAGCAGGAGCCAAAGTCTGTCTAAAACCAGTGAATTGCCTAATTTTCCCACGGGTCATGTGTTTTGAAACAGCACTTTTTCTGGAAATAATTAAAAACAGCGGTTTGAAACAGCTGTTTCGAAACGCGGTTTGAAACACCACTTAAATCCTGCACCCTACACTAGATAACTTGTTGAGCTCACTTGAAGGGTATTGAAGCCGACGCCATTGGCGGAGCCTAAGTGGAACTTGCAGTCCGGGCCGAACAACGTCAGCCGGCTCAAAATTGACCACAGTGCACGGATATCAAAATCAACTTCGAGGCAGACTTCGAGGACACACACATCACCTTCTTTTTCGAATGTCACACATGGCTGTGACAGATCGCTTGTTCCGTCTCATCCACAACTTGACGGTGACCTATCTCACTTCCTGCACGAAGCAATCGCGAGGGCCAATGGCATACAGTGCTGACATCATACTGCCGCTTCCGGTTCCCGCTGTCTGATTCCCTTTTCACGCCTCGAGCTCTTTGCCGGCCTATCAGCGATGATTCTTCACGACACCTCGAATTCGCAACCCTACCACTTTCATGTCGAATATCATTGACGCTGTTGAGCACTACAGCGCTCTTGTGGACCTCTCGCGGCCTTCGCTGTACATTAGCCTGGTCTCCATCTCCGCCAGTCCCATCGTATGGAATATCATTGGGCGAAATGGTTGTTTTTGAATCTTGATATGTCTCCTTTCAACGTCTGCTTATATTACCACTGCACTTCTCCAGAATATAAGAACCACACACTGACCAAGCTCATTGGGGCCCGAACAGCATGCAGTATTCTGGGCACAGCGATCTTCCTTGCGGGTCTTTTGCGCGACGTTCTGTACAGTGTTTCCTGCGACGCGTCATGACCTACTCACACCTTGTTTATTAGCTACAAGATTGCTCTCCACGACCAACCCCAGTATCGCCTTCCTTACCCAATTCAGACCATCCTTGCCTGGATCATATTCGGCACTGGCAACTTCCTCGTCGCAATTTCCTACTACCAACTCGGTTTCTATGGTACATTCTGCGGAGACTACTTTGGTATTCTCAAAGAAGAACGCGTAACGAGTTTTCCGTACAACTGGCTGGATAACCCGATGTACATTGGAGCGAAGATGTGTTTCATCGGTGCCGCGCTTTGGTGAGTGTGCAGCGACTGTCAAAAATTTTCTCACGTTCGATTGTAGGTACGAGCGACCAGTTGGGTTGTTGATCTCTCTCTATGTCCATCTGGTGTATTCTGTTGCGTTGCATTATGAAGGGTACGGACTTGCCAGCAGGTTTCATGACGCTCAATTTTTCGTATAGGCCATTCACAGACATGATCTACTCGAATGTCAAAAATGAGAAATATAGCCAGTAGAAAGGAAGGGGCGAACGAACCGAGTTGGCTTTAGAATCATCTCACACCGCTGCATAAATTTTAGAACATGTCTCGAGTGCGTTACCGTTCGCGCTTCGCTTCAGTGCTTCAAATTGGTATACCTAATAGTAGTAGTGCTTAACAGCAACTTGAATCTTGGACCGAGCCTTATGTATGGGCGTCAGGAAACATCGCAGTGCCATACTTAGAATGCGACCCAAATGCGACCACAAGTTTACGGCTTGCCAATGTGTGATGGATGTGGTACAACTTTTATTCCGAATTAGCATGATTACTCTACAAAACAACATTTTAGAAGGATGCATTATAATCGACATCTCTACTGTCAAGCTAGTTGGTGTAGGGAAATGAGGGGAAGTGCATGACCTGCGAATGACGCGCTATTCCGAGTATCACCATGCACTTGAGGATGGAGCCCATATCTGACGTCTATATCGGACCAGTGGAAGCTAAAGTTGTATTCAGCACATGGTCTTCCGTAGCCGAGCTTACTGGGACAATGTCCAAGGCTCTTCGACGTCATCCCGCCGAAGCTCGTGTTGGATTCCTTCGCCAGCTGGGGGGGAGGACAGCATATACGACGCGAAGAGGCGAGAAACCATAGAAAGGTCGTCGTTGGTGTCGACCTGGCAGGGATTGATATAGGTCGAGCAAGGAACTCGCCCAAGTATGGATATAATCCACGATCACTTCTCCCTGCCTCGACGGGAATCTCGTCTTCCCTCGCATGCAACTTGGCTGTAGTCGCATCCAGGTCGGCGTTGCTTTCATAGCGAAGGTCGGTGGGCAGTGGCTCTTGCCTGAGCAGCAATAATATTCTTCGGGGAGTCCAGTAAACGGTTTCTTCAAGTTGTCATTATGTTAGTATGCTCAGACGGCGGCCCCAAACCTCGTTCCACTCGAGGAAGTTAGGGGGGTAAAGCTGATATTGAGAGCCTGGCGGTGACCGGCTGTGGCGGCACTTGACCATCCCTTGACCTGATATAATGGCGAATAAGGAAGAAAGATGACCTACACATGGTCGCACAATGAAGATACTATCTTGAGGGAGCAGCAAATGAGGGATGTGGATGACAGAATGACCTACGTAGCACGATTCTGTCGTATTAAAATGGCCTTTAAACATTGCTCTACTGTCGATGGAGTGAGCATAATATAAGCATGCCAAAGACAAACAAAGCTGTTCACCTGTGTACATATCAGGCTAACCACGATTGGATAGCCCAACTAATTATACCTGCCGCAGCCGCAACGCCCGCCAGAGTCCCTGCAACCTCCGGATCGCGCGTTTTGTTCCATACTCGATTGGGCAGTGAACCTTCGGTCGGTGATTGTGTTGGTGGGGGTGTTGGTGTCTTCTCCTCCTCAGCATTAGAAAGAGCCCGAGTTTCCGCCACGACTTTCTCAATCTTTCTTGCGATATCCGCCATCCCTGCCTCTACAACGCCTTTATACTCCGCCTCCATCTCCTCAATCTTCTTCTCAAATGTCATCGCGAGTCTCCTCCGCTTCCAAGGTTCAACGAATATAATCGCAGTGACGAAGACGAGCAAGTTCAGCGCTAGCGCGGCCAAACTCCCATATGTCGACGCGCTCCTGATCTTGTCCGACCACACCTGCTCTTCGTGATAGCGCGCCAAGATAGTACGCATAAGCTCTGTGAATGCGACCTCAACCGCTTCTTCCGAGTCGTGAACCGCTGCCCGAGCAGTAGTTTCCTGCTGCTCCAAGACGTGGTCTTGGGGGACAAGTGTGGTGAACCGGGCAATATCAGCGTGATTCCATGTAGACTTTCGCTGCAAGAGGTCGTTTATCTCGCGCTGGGAGTTCGAACGTTGCAACACGGCAAGGTCGTATGCGGCTTTGGCAGCACGGGCGGCATTACGCGCGTCGTTGATGTGGGATTCTGTTTATGAAGGAAGTTGAAGAGGCAGCCTTGGTCAGTTTTTGCGGTGGGAATAAAGCAAGACACATACACACCCTGTTCAACCACCCGTCGCTTCAGTGCCTCTATCTCCTCATACCCGGTAATCCGATTCAGATGCAGACCTAGCTGGGACAGCGTTGTCCTGGTCGACGATGAGAACTCGTCTGCGCGGGTCCGTACAGCAATGGCGGTGTTTTCAGACCAATTTCGTAGTCTGGCCGCCAGCTCGGAGGGTTGGGGATGAGAGCTGGAAGGACCAGCCTGGGGTTGAATCGGGTTTGCCTTGCGATCTTCTTGTTGTTGCTTGTCACTCTCCAGCTGAGAAATACTTCTAGTTGGCACCGTCCATGTGAGCTGGCGAGAGAGGATACGCGGTCTGAGTGACGACCGCAGTGGAAGCATAAAAAGAAGTCCGCTGTCACAAAACTTAACTTCCCCAACAAGTGCGAATTTGCAGTCGATGCATCTAAAGTTCTAGTCGTACTACCCAATTACACCTCGTTCTACTAGGATTAATCCTGGCTAGAATCCACCATTGTATAACAGGAGGGCATGCATTAGGGGCAAAAAATGGCAATGAATGATTAATCAAAGAGAGAGAGCAGGGACCCACACCCCCCCAACGTTCAACTCCACACATCCAGCATCAGTCGTGACCGTTCCTTCAACAGCTTGACCTCCGCCGCACCCTCCACCTCCGCAGAGCCGCCCTTGGCCTCCCCAAGAATGCGCGCAAGCACCTCCTCAACAGCCTTGCTCATGCTCTTCGCGTCGCCACAGATATAGACATATCCCTTGCCATTGATGATAGCGTCGGCAATGTGTTCCCGGTCCTCCCATACCAAATCCTGAACGTAGATCTTGCTTCCATCCGGTTTATAGGGCGGCTCACGCGAAAACGCAGTGTGCAGCTTGAATTTTCCCTTGAGCTCTTCCGCGTATTGCGGCCATTCATCCTTATACAAGAAGTCCTCCGTTGATTTCCGGCAACCATAGAATAGCGAAATTTGGCCCCAATCGGCAAGCGCATCAGGACCATTTTTCTCGATCGTTCGGCGAGCCAGGGCAACACGCTCTTGAACGAACCCACGGAAAGGCGCAACACCCTGATATTCAAGTTATAAACTGCTCAGATAGCAAGAATTAGCGACTTACAGTTCCGGGACCAATCATGATAACCGGGCTCTTGGGATTGGTGGGCAGACGGAAGGTTGAACGCCGGACATGGACGGGAGCTTTATAGACCGACTCGCTCTTGTATGCGCCGCGAGGGCCTTCAATAGCATATGTCGGAACTGGACCAGAAGAAGCCAACAGCGGCTGTGTTTCACCGGCAGCCGCATACTTGAGGTTGAGCAGGAAGTTGGAACCGACACCGAATACCCATCTTGGCTGGACCTTGGGTGCATCAACCGACTCGTATTTCAGCACGACACAAGTAACGTGGATCGAGGTCGGGTGTAACTTGGGGCTCGAAGAAATGGAGTAGTAACGGGGTTGAAGACGAGGAATCGCGGAAACGATGATGTCGAAGGGGATGGCCCATGCCGTTGTGTTTTCCGGTGTCGGGTGAGCGACAAGGTCGTTGCCAGCAGCCAGCTGTAAAACTTCACCCAGCTTCAAGCAACCATTGGCGACGACGTTATGATACTCTTCCTTGTTGGAATTAAGATTCTTCAGCAACTCTTCAGCCTCTGGTGATGGGGCAAACTTGGAGAGAGCACCGAGGATTTGACGTCCAACGACAGCGCTGATGTCGATATAATGGCGGAGAACGGTAGCGTATGTCGTGGGAACGGGGAAGGGGACTTTGGCCAGTGCAGGGTCGAGCGATTCGATACCGATGGTGTTGTCCTTTTTATCCCAAAGACCGAGGACACAGAGTAGACGGTCAACCTCCATATCGGGGTTGGATGGCCAGACACCGACATGATCTCCATGTTGGTAAGTGATGCCAGATCCGTCCGTGTTGAGCTCGATGTGGACACAATTTCGGTCAGCTGTGGACTGGAAGAGCTCCCGATATCCGGCAAGTGGCGCAGGGTACGGGTTCTTGGCATCGTGAATACCTTTGGTCCGGGTAAGCGCACGAGCCGAGAGTTCACCTGGTCAAGATTAGATCACAACAATCAGATATGAAACGTGTTGGGACCCACCAAGATAGACTTTCTCTGCGGGGTGATTGGGAAGCTCCGAAACGGCAAAGTCCGCAGAGTCACCGCCCTGGCCTTCTTCAACCCCCATTGCAGTCGCAAAGGCCTCCCACATGCCGTCTTTCCATTCTAGGTAGTCCTCCTCCATGCTCTTATCATCGTCACCCTCACCGCGTTCACCAATTCGGATACCGCCCATTTTGGAGACATATTGGTCAACTTGGCGGCCAATGAGATTGTAGTGCTCGTATGTCTTGTTTCCGAGGGCGAAAACGACATATTTGAGTCCGTCCAGTCTGCGGGAGCCATTGCTGAACTCGAATGACTCGTCGTTCAGGTTTTGCATAAGAGTAACAGCGTTATCAGTCGGTTCTCCCTCGCCATAGGTAGCCATAACGAAAAATACCGCACAGTCCTCCGGAACTTGGTCGAGGTTCTCGAAGTCGTATTCCTCCGGGTCGCATACAAGGGAAGCCAGGCCAAATTTGGTTTTTGCCTCTTTGGCCAGTCGGATGGCATACTCCTCCGCTGTGCCCGTTTGTGAGCCGTAGAAGATCACAATACGTTTTTTCTGTGGTACAGGGTGAGCCAGAGTGAAGTAGGTGGAGTAAATAGTGCCACGTACACCCTCCTTCATCTTCGCAATGAAGTCTCGAGGATTTCCTGAGCCATTTGCTGCCTTCGTTGGAAGCGGTGCGACTTTAGGTTTGGCGGGAGTGAAGAGTTGTTCGCGGAAGAGATAGAGGGCTGCAAGCACAACCCCGAGGCCGATGATTACTACGTCTGAGGACGAGCTGGAAGCCATGCGAGGGAGAATAGAGGAGACAGCGACCAAGGGTAGAACTGGTGATTGGGTGTCTGAGTCCAAATCCATAATGAGGGGGGATATAAGAAGAAGGGGAATCACCGAGAATAAAAGAGGAACCGACAAGCCCAGCTCTGGTTTATGTAGAGCAAGGACGGTCTAAGGATAAGACGTGGCGAAGCCTGATCAAAATCACAAATCACGTCAGTCACACGGTTGTCACGCGGGTTAGCCTGTTGCCGACAGCGAAAGCTTTCTCGAGTGAAGAGTACAGATCGTTCTACAATATTCTACCCAGTCTCGGTCGGCCTGGACTAACCGACTTTCCGTTTTATCATCGTGCTCCACGGCCAACAGCCAACTGCTGCGATCGGCCTTGGCCCGAGTCGATTCTTGCTCAAAAGCCCCAAAGATCTTGACCAATTGACCGTTACTCAACCAGCCGATGGCCATGGACCGCCCACCGGCAACGGCTCCCTTGAATTCCACGCAGTGTGTGCCTTGGGATTAGCAGCGAACCTGACAACTTCCAAAACAGTCTCGCTGTCTCCACCTAACTCTATCGTATACCATTTGGCAGCGAGCCTGGCCCAGCTCCGTACGGCAGAAAAACTGGCAGTGAAATCAGCATGCTTCTTTCGATAGATATCGCGCGGTTTATAGATAAACACGTACTCAGAATGGGCAGCAGCTATCCACACTGCGTCCGCTGCCAGTCGCCCACGTTCGCTCCAGTAGCCTTCTTCCTCTTCCAGTTTCCAGATGTTATTAATAGCCTCAATCGCCTCGACACCAGTAATGTCACCATTGCCCCACGTCGCAAAGTACCGATAAAACTCGGAAATAGACGTCAGCCGCCGGTCGGACGCAAGTGAGCCAGCATTGTCCAGAGAGCACACCGCGCAAGTGCACTCAAATCCGTAATGAGAAGAAAGGAAAGCTCGTCGCTCGTTCCGTGGTCGTTTGGTGTCCGTGTAAGTTGTAAGCAGTTCCTATCAGTCGCAGTTTAGTCGCGACGAGAGAGGAGCTACCATAGCAAACCTGGCCCTTGGAGATATTCCTTAACGCATGCACATATAGCATTTGCTCGCTCTCTCTCCACGTATAGACCGCATTGAATGCGCTTGAGCACCCATGGTTCAGTCTGGCCATTCCCGGAAATATCCCCACTTGCTGCCCAGCAGCGACCGCATTCGTTTCGAAAATTGCCAGCGCGACATGATCTCGTTGCGTCACAGTCTCCGGAAGGTTCACATACGAGAGGTCCCAGAACGCAGCCTGTCCTTCTGCGCTAGTCGCCTGAAGCAGCTTCCAAACTAGTTGTTGGGGGGATTCAGTGGCTGCAGAGACGTTCAGTGGAGCAAAACACGCAAATACGAGTAGTTACTTGACGATGGAACACGAAATAGCGGCTTTTCTCGTATGAGAAGCTCTCCTTGTTGGATATCTCGTTGAGCAATCAAGCCTTTTCCCTTTCCTGGGATCCGAACGACCTCGAATGCAGGCCGGTTGGGGGCATTAGCGCCATTGGTAAAGAGATAGGCAACAACTGCCACAACGAACGCGAGACCTAGGCGCAGGCCAAAGGAGAAACGCTTTGAATATGTAAGCATTCATGAAAGCTGACCAAGGCATCGCGTGCCTGAGGAGGTTTCTTGGGCGGTGGTGGTTTGCGTTTAGTTGATGTCATGACTTGAAAACACGTCTCGTCACATTGCACGGGATTACAGTAAGTACAGGAAATATGAGTCCTAATAACGTCTCCACGAGCTGCCAAAGTTGTAGTCAGCATAGTCTTCCGTAGCCTTGCTCATGACATCCAAGTACCAGCCAGGCTCTTCCACGTCATCCCACCCAAGCTCCCGCAAAATATCCTTGGCGATTTTGGCCAGCTGTTCAACCCAGTACGGTGGACTGGGGGAGGTCGGTATATACGAAGCGAAGAGACGGAAAAGAATATATATGTCGTCGTCGGTGTCGACTTCGCAGGGGCTGATGTAGTCAATAAAATCGCCGTCGATAGATTCGCTGATGTATTTGGCTATGGCGCGCGTAGGTCCGTATTTGGTCCTGTTTCGTAGGTCCTCATCCGGAATCTTGTCTTGCATAGCATACAATTTCGCAGCAGTACGGGTGAGATCCTGGTCGCCCTCAGCGTAACGGAGCGGAAAACCGAAGACGAAATCTGGCGGGCGGTCGCTTTTGCGAGAGCATGGGTAGTATTCCTCCGGTAGTTTATCCAGAGGAAAAGGCTGGTTTCGGCGCATGTAGCCTAGTCGCAGTTTCTGAATTATTGCTTTAGCACACTGGCGTCAATGGTACGCTTCAGAGTGGTACCTCATTATAAGGCAGAACTGGGATGAGAATATATTTCTCAGTGGTCTGAGCTGTTCGTTCGTCAACTAGTGTGGTTGCTCGCTGGATAGACATGGGGGAGGAAGAGCGTGTGTTTATGTCACGGTCATAAACACACATTGTTTGTCCATTGTCTTCTTGGGCGGTGAGGGTTTGCGTTAACGTTTAGTTGATGGCATGACATACACGTCTAGTCACATTGCACGGGATTATCAAGTACAGGAACTGAGTCAGATGAACTGACGCGTGTCGATGCATGGAGTCCTAATAACGTCTCCACGAGCTACCAAAGTTGTAGTCGGCATGGTTCTCTGTAGCCTTGCTCATAACATCCAGATACCAGCCGGGTTCCTCCACATCCTCCCACCCCAGCTCCTGCAGAATATCCTTCGCGATTTCGGCCAGCTGCGCAACCCAATCTGGGGGACGGGGGGAGGCGGGCATAAATGAAGCATAGAGGCGAAAAACGAGGTAAATATCTTCGTTAGTATCAACAGGGCAGGGGTTGATATAGTCGATAAAGTCGCCGTCAATGGAGTCGCGAACGTATTCCGCGATGGCGCGTGCAGCACCATATTTGGTTCGATCCCGGAACTTCTCGTCTGGTATTTTGTCTTGCATGGCATACAATTTTGCAGCAGTGCCGGTAAGATCCTGGTCGCCCTTAGCAAAACGAAAAGGAAAGCCAAAGACAAAATCTGGCGGGCGGTCGCTTTTGCCAGAGCATGGGTAGTATTCTTCCGGAAGCTCGTCTAAATGAAATGGCTGGTTTTTACGCATGTAGCCAAGTGTCAGTTTCTATCGTGCGTGAACTTGAGCATTACAGTACAGCGAAAACTTGAAGCTTGGCGGAAGTACCTTGTTGTAAGGAAGTATAGGAATCATAATGAAATTGTGAGGCTGCTGTGGCACTGGAGGTGAGGAATCATGATGCTTGACTGTACCTCGACCTGACATGAGGGTTCGAAAAGACTGAGAGGTCACACTGACACCGTGACCTCTCAGCTTCTTTCAACCACAATGACGGTCGATCCTCGCAAAATCAGCTGCGACGCCCGACGATGCCACTGTCGACATAATACCGCTACACTCAGACTACCCGCCTCCTACACTCCCGTACAATGAGGTTTTTTGTTTGTGTTTTCCGCCGTCCGGGTTCGCAGTGGGTTCGCCCAGCTTAATTTCGTAGTGCAACAACTTACTAGCCCCCCCCCACAGAAACTACTACTTAGCGATATGCGCACATGCCAGCCATTTACAGAGCTTCCGGAAGAATACTACTCCTGCTCCCAAAAGAGTCTAGATCCGCCATGCCTCTTGTATGGCTTTCCCTTTCGCTTTACAAACCTCGATGCTATTGCCGACAAGTTGTAAGCTATGCAAGACAAAATACCCATCGAAGCACTGCGAATCAGAGAAATATATACGCCAGGGAAGGCTATCACCCAATATCTGCGCGATCACATCGAAGGCGACTTTCCCAAATGCATCGGGACGCACTTGGTCGACTCAAAAGACAACATCTTCCACCTGTTCTAAGTATATCTACGGGACATTCACGGCTTATACTCCGCATAAGCCAGAGTGGGTAGATGTCATGGCGAAAGCCTGCACACAGATTTTCCGTGGGCTCGGTTGGGATGATGTCGAGGCTCCAAGGTGGTTTTTATGTGTATTCGCATTTCACTGATTACAACATAATGAGCTCGGTGACGGAGGACCATGTTGCTGACTACAACTTTGGTCACTGGGACAGGCGGATATGATAGTATGCCGCTAACGTAGCGAACCTTTCGGTCCTTCAAGTTGCGGTCGTCCCGCACTTGACTCTGTGATATTTTTAAAGCAGTTGCATAGTCCGGATCCATCACACTAATATTACTGTAATTGAAACTTGAAATCCAAGTCCACCACTGTCGTTTCCCTTTGCATGTGCTAGATTCAATTATGAAGATGGACAAACGAACAAGTAGTCAACTTGTCACACACTCATCCTCAACCACGATGTCCAACGTCGAAGCCAGATCTAGAGCTACTCCCTTCGAGTCCGTCGTCCGCATGGAGTCCAAAACTTCAAACATGTTCTACTATCGAGCCGAAATATTGCCTTATAATGAGGTGCCAACCCTTTCAGCGGTGTTTCTTCTGCTAAGCAACTCGCCCGCCCACAGAAACTGATACTCGGCTATATGCGCAAAAATCAACCGTTCGCAAGCCTCCCAGAGGAATATTACGAGTGCTCAAGAAAGAGTCAAGACCCGCCAGGCTTCATCTATGGGTTTCCCTTCCGTTTCGACAAGAATGGGGACCTCGATGCCACCGCTGCGAAGCTATACGCGATGCAGGATAGAATACCTGTCAAAGAGCTCAGAGACCGAACAAAATACGCGCCGGGGAAAGCTATAACCAAGTATCTACAGGACTCAATTGACGGCGACTTCCCCAAGTACATCGGGACGGACGTCGTTGACTCAGACGACGACGTGTTCCAATTGTTCCACATCTACGGGACATTCTTGGCACGTACCCCGCAGAAGCCACGCTGGGTCGATGCTATGGCGGATATCTGCACCGACATTTTCCACGAGCTCGGTTGGGAAGATGTCGAGGCGCCGAAGTGGTATTTGGAGCTTGAGTCGAGAGTATATCCGGATTCTAAGGACTACAATATCAAATATAACGCCCACGACTTGTATGCTTCAGTTTCCCCATGATATCACATGAGTGGGTGGGGCCCGGTCGACGCGATTGTGGACTTGCACAGAGACTCGATTTCCCATGCGCTCGGGGAGTCGGGTTGGGATGAGGTTTAGGCGGCCAGCCGGGCCATTTGGCATGGTGGTATTTGGAGTTTGAATCGAGGGCATATTCAGGACATCGACTAAACGGCTGTTGGCAGTATCTCTTGTGACTTATTGCCATCCACTGGCATCCAGTTCGACAAACTTGAACTAGGATGGCATTTCTCGCCTCGCTGTCGTAGTGAAGAGCATAGTACACAGGTCGAGGAAGAAGACTCTGACTTTTTGAATCGTGTTCAGACATACATAGTTCAGCCGTTTTGACAACTTGAGGCGTTGCACTCAGCTGGTGATGTCTTGATCATATGAGCATTCATGCCTTATACGGGGTCGGAAAGCTTCATGGGTTGCACAAGGGGTTGCAACTCGTCGAGACATGATTGGTAAGTAGCCAGATTCAGATGGTAGCGCGAAGCAAGGACAGACGGTGGGAAGGGGAACAGAGGTCAGCCCAGGTCAGCCGGGCAGAGGATCAGTCAGGGATCAGCTTCTTGAGCTTGTCTATTCTTGAAGCCATTGCACTCCCCGAGCCCTCTCGCCCTCTTCGTCTAATCGAGTCGGGCATCGGCCGGGCAAGCTATGGGTCGACGCCTTGACGGAGTACATGCTGCTTGAGCCGGAATGCATTACGTAAAACCGGGCGATTTACTGCCGGTTTTTTAACTCTTACCCTTTGCTTTCGACGACACCGCCGTTCAACAGACCATGGCTGACTTCATCCCGGAGAATGGGCTCAACACTTCCGCATGGGGAGCACCCATCTCGCCTCTTCCGCAATCAAGCAGCAGGCCCGCAAGCCTCCACGACAGGCCACAAAACTTATCGTGCGCCGCGTGCTATCCCTGTTGACTCTCGGCAACGCTGACCTCTCTGGTGCAGTCATACCCTCCGCCCACACTCCCGAGTCGACCCCAATGCCTTTCCTTCAAGTCGGTTTGGCGGCGGCTTGTCCTCCTCCCACAACAGCGAACGAATCCCAGCGCCGTTGAGCGTGCTCGTTCAAGGCACGAAAGTCTCTCTACCCCATTATCACGACGAATGCCGCATACTTGGAAGCAGCGTCCGGTACTCCCTAACGGACTGGCGCAAACGGGAAGCCTCGCAGGCGCTGCAAGATCCTGTTGCGGTCCAACGGTACTTCCTGACGGACTACGATGTGAAGGAGGTGTTCGACATGGAGGGCCGTCTTGTTAGCACCGCGCGAGGGAAAGGGTATCCGGAAATGCTGTCGATGCTGTGAGACGGTGGTATTCTATTTTATGGTTTGATATTGGGGCATTATCTTACGCAGGGCGCTGTTATATAAATCCTAGCCACCATGTAGTACCGCTAGTAGAGAACGGGGAAACATCCACTTGTTTCAAGTGAAGTATCATTCAACAGTGAAGACAGTTGTCGAGAAATTCAACAGCGATTTCCTCTTTGATCACACGTGGCCCGTTTACTCTTTGCGTCCATCTTCCACCAACCATTTCCCATGCCGGCTGGAGGTCATTGTCAATCCTACGCGATCCCACGTTCTCAGAGGCTTGCGATTGAATTTCTGTGGCAACCAGGTGGCAACTTGAATCCTACACTATGTCTCCGACAGCCAACCCGAGACAACGTCTAAAATACTATTCGGTCAAGCAAAACTGTACAGGCAACAGTAGTGATGTGCATATATCCTCAGGCTCGGACGATAGCAAAAGTGGCTCGTTGACGATGGCCTCTTCGTTCCCAACGTTGTTGTTTTCTCTACCTGATATGATCGATGGGATTGCAAGTATTTATGTAACTGTATGGGAAACGCTCAATCTGCGCCTGCCGGTGAGTGTAGCTCTGCAAAGGGGTCGATTACATCTCTCATTCGTTGCTCATTCGCCGACTTCAAGACTTCAGTCTAAAAATTGTTCAATTCAGGGCACCGTGACAGTGCTGATAAACAAGCTCACAAGCCAAATCTGTCGACACAAGTCACCTTTGGAGAAAGGATCACCGACTATGTCGTTCTCCATTGACGAAGTCATCTTTACACGAAGACCCAGGAGGAGATATTGATTGAGACTTAGGGACTAGGGCGCATGTGTAGCTGGTTTATGGACCCTGCGAGAAGACCATGGTTAGCCCTGCTTTTGTCTCTCGCAATATATGATGTTTCAGACTCTAAATAGTCTCAAAATTTTTCGCTGGCCCACTTTGCCAAATCCAGAGTACAATTTTTTAGGCGATGGTTGTCGGACTGTCGCTCGTCGTGATCCGACGTTTGTTTTACAGAGCTTCTTGGCTTGTGGGCCAAGTGTCAACATGATCTGCCAGCTTTTAGCTCGCCCGTCCGGAAGTTTCCTCAAAGCTTCCTTTTCCTCAACCTCTCCTTCCCCCTCCACATATTGATGATCTTACTTTTTCTGGTAGTTTGAGATTTCTGCATTGTGTCGCAGCCTTCTGACGTGTTTCGGGGGCTACGCAAGCAAAATCTCCGCGGTTCAAATATACTTGTTTTGGCGTCTGCGCCTATCACGATCTAGCGTCGGAGTCGGGTATCACGCTCATCATGATGCGCACGCCTGTCAGTCTTTTCTGCTGCCAAGATGCTACATTGTCGGGCTCGTCCCTCTTTTCTTCCTGAACAACGGACACACCGCGGTTTGTGCTCAGCATGAATGGTGCTCGCTCGAGCAATACTTCTTTGGAAACTGGGTCAAACAAGCAGCGTCGACCCCGATCCCCGCCGTCGATGTATGTCGCCTATGAATCGAACGTCGCGAAAGCGCCGAAGCCACTCATCAAGCTGGACAAAACGAAGAAGAGGGACAAGGGGAAGGACTCAGACTCTACCGCCAGTCCGCGACCATCTTCCAGTGGGACTGGAAGTAACTCTGTGCCCCGCCGACCCTCATTCCTCAGTCTTCGGCGGAAGAAATCCAGCAACTCCTCATTGAATTCTCACTTCCCTCCGCCATTGGAGATTCCGCCCCCATTACCGTCGCCCTCACTTACCAGGAGTGGAACTACACCCTCATCTGCCGCGTCTTCCCCATACGAGCTTCCCCGACTACCAAGGTCGTCACTCCCGCTTCAAGAAACACACGTTCATCCCGGAGACGATCTCAGCCTCAACGAAGATCTCACAATTGAAGACCATATCCCCGCGAGACGATCAGACAAAGCTGCACGAATGCTCGGCGAGCCGATTCAGAGGTACCCGAAGTACAATATTCCTGACGTATCCTATTTCGTCTCGCCTTCGGATGACGAGTTCCCGAGCCCAACTCGGGGGGCGGATGCCAAATTGCCGTCATTTTCCACCTCAAACGCGTTCTACACGCCAGAGGGCGGGTGGTACGCCAACGATGACGTGCCTGACGACCGCGGGGACAGAATTAGTCCTATTGCCTTCCGGCCACCTTCCCTGGCAGTCTTTCCGCCGAATCCGAAAGATAGAGGCGGCGATTCAGATATCGATGAAGGAGTAGACATGACGGCGGATGATAAAGTCCCATCCCCAAGAGCAATTCGACCACCGCGCGTAGATTCGCACATCCATCATGCTTATGGACATTTGCGTGTCGAGTCGCAGGCCTCGTCGTCGACAATAGCGATGGGAGGAGCCGCCAGACCGGACACGCTCTACATGGACCAGTTCTTGGCCCCCAATTCTGTCCCCAGCTCTAGTAACAGTATCCCAGCTCGACGCAATCGGGACTCCAAGGTGATACGAGCGGAGCGTGGCTGGGAGGGCGAGTGGAATCAGGGCGACATGAGCGATGTTATTAACAAGCTGCGGACGTTGCGGTGACTGGAAACCGCTAACAGTGACTCTACGTATCGATTTACAGCCGGCCTAATCGTAATTTCCTCCTACTTATGCAACCTGGTTCGTAATGTTTGGTACAAACAGTGGAAGGGTGTTTCAACTTTGCAAGCACCATGCTGATGACGATGACGATCACTGCATCCTGTGAGTTTGTACTTTCTGAGATTGGCAACAAGGAATTTTTACGGTAAGCACTCCAATTCACTTTGAGCTTACTTCCTTACAAGTAGGGCATATATCACTCACCCATACCCATCGTCCTCGCTGATTTATAACGACGGCAAAACGGAGGATGATTCCTCGCACCCCTCATCGGCGCATAAAAAACCAATGAAACGATCGTCTACAACACGAGATGACTCCCCTTCATTCCAAAATGCGTTGGTATATGGCTGAATACTTGCGTTTATTTACTAATATCTGAACGTACTTTTTGCAGGCATGAGCGCTCTGACGCGTAACCGCGCGTCCAAGACTATTCCGACCGAGATATTATAGAGCAATACTACCAACGCGCTGAGGGCGGTGCTGGTATCATGGTCCCCGAAGGTGTCCTCATTTCGCGTCACCGTCTGTGGAATCTGGATCAACTGCGTGCTGCGATTATACCAATGACATCGTAGAAGCAAATGGTCAGACGCGCCAGATAAGACGTGACGCAGAGGTCAAAGCTTGGAAGACGATAACCGAGGCATTTCATGGTGCAAGAGCAAGATTTATGCCCCAGTGCGTTCTTTCTCTCTGATCGTCTTCGAAACCGACACATTTTCAATAGCTCTGGCATATTTCGTGCTGAGAATTCTCCTTTCGCGGTTGAACCTCCAGAGTTTCGACTCTCGAGTGTTATGAATAGAGATATTTCCTGTTCAAGATGAGTACGAGAACGAAGCTTTGGATGTTGAACGCAGACCGTGAATCGTTTCAGGCTTTTGTCTCGTTACAGTTGCGATCAACATGCATTGGTCCAGAAAGAGTGCTGCTTTTCTGGTCCACCTGCGACGAGGTCCGCCCAGTCGATAAGGGACGCATTCGGTAGCTATTTCTCCATCGTTCGATTGTCGAAGAGGATGTTCCCCTCGCTAATGCTCACACGAAGGACATCGGCAGGCGGTTTTGATTTTGTGGTCTGGAAATAAGCAGTTAGATAAAAATGGCTGCGGGAAATTCACAGATGACAGTCATGAGTAAGGCATACCTATATGTGGGACTACTACATAGACGGGCTTGTTAAACTCTGTTGAACTGTCGAATGTTGAGAAGTACCCTCTTGTGCCTTTATTCAAGTTTATTGAGGTAATGAAGTGGTCGGCCCATAAGACTGATGAGGGGGTTGACATATCACTCGCAGTCCATACATATCCTTCGTCGATTCGCTCGTCGACACTGGCGCTGAGGCCTCAGGCTTGAAGCGTCAACGAACGTTGTCCGTAGTGTGACTCGGATATGTCACGATCCTGTGATTCTGTGACAGGTGCGTCACGCAACTCCCTCTTTCTACGGATGCAAGGTGCTGAGCTTCGGGCAGATTCGGAGTAAGTAGTCATGGATCTTTATCGACTTACCCCATTCCGAGGCATGTTGTACTTTTTCACAAATCATGCCACATCCGAGTCAACCCAAGTCTTCATTTTCCCGCCATCATACTCTAAACCTTCCTACCAGCGCAGCCGCTGCGTTGACCAAATCTACGACGGAGCCAAACGCGCATGTATTCTCCTGTTCCATCACCACCAGAACGACTACGCGGCTGTCCGCAACTCCAACACTTCAAGTTTCTGGGGGCCAGCACCGCTTCTGAATCACTCTCCGTCAGAGCTATTTGGCCATTCTCTAGAAGCGCGTCGAAACACCCAGCTGTAAACGGCGCCCTCGTGCTTCCCGAATAGGCGTCAAACTGCTGTCTGGCGGCCTTTTTGCGAATTGCTATTTTGAACAATTGCTTACTGGAATAATGTGATTGCAGTCAGCACAATAAATGTGATCCTCGTCGGTGCCGCTCATGTTCTTCCAGTTCCGCGGCATCTTTTCCCCATTCTATGCTGTTGCGGGCGGAGGCCGGAATAGTTCATATAAAAGGACTGTGCTCCAATCCACGACATTCTCTCTTTGCGTCTCGGATGGACACTCCCACCCTCAACCCACTACTCCGATACTTCAACGCGCCACGAGAGACATCCACTTGCCCCGTAATCTGGGACCTCCGCAAGGCCCCAAAGACGGCACATCACGTGCACACTATCGGCGAACATTGCCGACCTCTCTCGGACTCCGAGCTTTCGCAGCACGCAACCCACCCACCGGTGGCAACCCTGCGCGTCAGATGCGGGGTATACCCCTCCGAGACCTGGGTGTCCGAGGCGCGCAATCGTCAAGGCGTAACTGTCAAGAACGTCCTCGACGCGATCTACAGAACGCTGAACATCCAGCTCACGCATGCCGAATGGGAAAGTCTCTGTCCCAAACAACAGAACCGCGTCAATCTCGTGTTTGACGCCAGATGGCGGGCCGGCCGCGATCCCAAAGCGGAGCGCGCGGTAGGCATTCTCAGGCGAGACTGCCTCCTCCAGCATGTTCTGTTCGCTGGTCTATCGGAAACCGACGAGGAGAATGATTACATGATGACGGTTGGACGCACGAAATGATCAGACCTTGAAATCGGGCGGTGTTCGTTCTTGCCGGCACAGGTTAGCCTCGCAGGAGTATCATTCAATCAGTGCTTGAGACTCGAGCTGCGAGCGCAACTGGCGCTATCGCTTGTCCAAAGGGACAAAAACAAGCACAACGGAATCACATCCCTCCCAGTTTGCCAACAGTTTGCAGACTAAATCGGACAACTTGAAACTTGTCTGGTCACCGATATTGCTGTGAGTTATTGATTCTTAATAAAGTACCGTTTCACTGATATCTCTAGGCTCTTCCTGCAATGCTTCCATGGCAGAGATGTGGGGGGGCTATTTGCGCTGCCTTCATGACTCGGGGGCTTTTGTGGACCGCTCCTCATCATACGCTTGACAGAGAATTGTTGTTTGTTGAAGAGCTCGATGTATTATGTTTTACATATCATCAATTTGCAGGCATCTTGTTTCGTTTCTTAAGTAAGCACATCATCGTCCCTTTCCCCAACAACTACCCTTTCGAATTCTTTGTGTCCACCAGAAGCCACATCGACCACAAGCATACTGTAACGAAAGGAAAATGGAGCCAATCGATGTTCCTCCTTTCCTTACGACTCACTTCCCCCTCTCTCCATCCCGATGTCTCGTCTTTCCATCTGGTTAATCTTCGCGACGGCTTGCATACTTTTCACCTTCTACTTCATCGCGCGCACCCACATCGACCCCCCCTCCCTTCCCCGCATAACATTTGAATCGCACGCCCAGTCAAATTGGACCGCAGTCTTCTCGTCGCCCAGCCGGCTCAACCTGACCTTGGAGGGAAATGAGCGACGGTACCAAGAGGTCGTGAGGGAGCGCAAGGCCGAGATCCAGCGGTTCGGATCGGACAAAGTCGCGTACGTGCCATTGTCAGTTATGACTTGAAACTACTTACAACCCACAAACAGCTTCCCCGCGCCGTTCACCGAGTTCTACACGCTCTGGGACTTTTTTGTGCCCGCATTCTCCTGTCCGTGCCCCGTTTACCGCGTCGGCACGCTGGGCGACGGGGGCAAATGGACCTGCTGCGTCGAGCGTGCGCTGAAAACCAACCGGCAGTCTGGCGGGTGTGTCGTGTACTCTCTGGGTGTCGAGCGCCAATCGAGCTTCGAGCAAGAAATCCTGCATGCAGACAAACACTGCCAAGTTTTCGGCTTCGATTTTTCGGTCGCGGAGTTCGGGCCGGAGCTCCTCGCTGACGCCGCGGTCAACCATCGCGCGCATTTCTTTCCGTACAAGATTGGCGGCGGGGCGGACAACCACTCTGCGACGCCGCCAGAATATTCGTTGCGGGGGATTATGGATGAGCTTGGCCACGACTTTGTCGATATACTCAAGGTGGACATCGAGGGCTCCGAATGGCATGCCCTGCTCTCGCTTGTGAGCGCGTTTGAGGGAAAGCCACTCCCGTTTGGGCAGCTGCTGATCGAGATTCATGTTGGCTATATCGCTGGTACGCATGCGGTCGTACTACTGGAGTGCAACTAATCACATTAGAACGTAACTCCTTGGGAAGCATCGACGAATGGTGGTCAATCCTTGAAGATGCCGGCCTGCGGCCCTTTTGGACAGAAGTCAATCTGCTCGACGTCAACTTTCTAAGGAGAGGACCGTTAGTTGCTGAGGTGGGCACCCAATTAATTCTCGTTTTGCTTGTCTGCAAACTGAGCCGTGTCAGTGGTCATTCTTGAACATCCGCGGAAACCACGCGTTGGTAGATGATACCTTGCCAGATTATCCCTGATGTTTTGTTGTGTGCGAAACGGTTTTCTTGCACTGAAGGTTGGGGTGGACTCGATGTGAACTGGAAAAGTTGTCCATCGCAAGTGGATGGCTAGACTGCGGCGTTGTCATGTTATTTAGCTATGACTGAGCTATTGCCCGTTTTAAATTTCATTTTTTGGTTTCACTAGGGGTATGGATGCACAGCTGACGTATTCATTCTCTGGCCCATGGATTCCCATGACGCACAACTGGATTTCCGGAGCGAGCCACGACCCGAAATCCACATCGACATACTGCTCCTTTGAATTGGTGTCATTCCCAGAGGCCATCTCAAAGATTTCGCGATAGGAGAACGTGCGCGGCATGCGCCGCGGTTTTCTGTGGCTCGCGTTGACGATGGTGCAATGAAGCTGCACATTTCAGGTCAATAAATGTCAGATGGCAAAACAACAACACGAACCACTGCAGGCCGTTCGGGGTCCGAGATGAATCCCTCTTCGCGGAACCGTCTGTTAACCAGCTCTGTCAACCTTTATGAGTGTCCAACTTGAACCCTGCCTATGTTCTGTGGTGCTCACCCAGAACACGACGGAGCTTCATCGTGTCCTCGCTTTTTTCGTCCTTCGGGCCCAGATATAGCACGCCCGCTTGCCCTTTCTGCATTTTTAACACGCCCATCTTGTTTAATGGGACGCGCAATGGCCCCTCGGTCAGCTCCGCAACGGCTGGCTCCAGCGAGCGCAGAAGGGCGATGGCTTCATCGAGCGTATGGGTGGGTGGCGCTGGTGTCGTTATAGATGGTGGGCTGGTTCCAACAGCGGCTGAAGGCGAGAGCGCCATGACGCCGAGCGTAAAATGCAGCCGGCGAGGGTCAACCAGGATGCTCTTGTCGATCCCTTCTATCGCAGTTGCGTCCGGAGAGAGTACCCTTTCGTGCAACGCTTTTATTCGCGCGCGGAGCTCCGGATGGTGGCCCTAAGGTCGTCTATATCCTAATATGAATAGCAGAGAAAACTTGCGATTGGCAGAGACAAGACTTTTCGCATCGAAGGTCAGTCAGCCATAGTCTCGTCAGGAAGAGCTGGCTCACAGTGTGTGGGCCTTACATTCGTTGGCTTTCCTTGACCAGCCCGCGAGCGCCTGGGCTGTGGGTTCCGATTACTTGCGCTCTTCACGGTGTTCAACTTGAAGTCACTGGTGGAATCAAGTACTGGATGACCAGATGCAGTGGAAGGATTCTGAAGCATTCTGAGAAGTGAAGTTGAGCTGCTCGGAGTCACAATACATGAGTATGGGTATCCAACTCACATCGACGGCGACGAGGTCAAAAGGAATCGAAGTGCACGCATGTCGGAGTCACCGGCGCGATCAGGTGACCTGCCAACTTCGCGTTGACTGCTTTTCCCAAGCCTCAAGGGTTTGCATTGGCACGCGAAAGGGCACTTCATTGTATTGAAAGTACACAGACAGCATTTACTTGTTCTTACTACCACTCCGAAGAACTCGACCCATGTCCTTCGAAGGCTCATCCCGTGATCGCAAATTGTGCGAATGCGTTAGACCAGCGCTTGCGCTGCCCAGGCTTGTGAGCCTGTCGGCCGCAGAACCCGCCGTTCTACGATCCGCCGCTGCTCCAGCACCGCCTGATTTAACGGTTTCTTTGAAGAACTTGAGTGCGCGATCGTTGGCTGGCCAGATTTTGTCTGGTTGGAAGTATTCATCAAAAATATCTTCGATCAACGGATGAGACAGAAACGTGCGCTCTGCGGTCAAAGGGGGGGCGACTGATCTCGCTTTGCGTCCCGTATGAGGCACTGGCTTGGGCAGCAATATGGGGTTTTGCTTGATGATTTCCTCTCGCAGAGCTTCGCACAAATCGTACAAGGCGTTGCCGCTCTTCAACGGCAAATTATTAGGAACCTCATTCTCTGTGCCAGTTCCGTCGAGTGGAACAGTCTCATATAGGAGGGATCGCTTGCGGAGGCCATCCCCTGAGCCAAAAAAGTAGCTTGAGGGACCGCCATGCGCCTTGTATGTGTCAGGTGGGCAGTGCTCGGTATACCGGAACAGCATCCACATCTGTACCCAAAAGAGGGATTCAAGGTCATGATAGTGCTTGTGACCGAATCCGGGATTTCCAGCGTTACGCAAAATATCGAGTGCCATGAAAGGGAGGGTACCCTGAATGAAAAGATCAGTAAAGACAACAACTTGAACATTGAATCTTGTACCGTGAACCGCTTAAGACTCTCCTTCAGTGCCGTCTTGTTAATCGGCATCCGGTCCGGGAACTTGGCTTCAAACAGAGCGATGCCTTCATTGACAAACTCCGCGTAGTCCCAGTCAACCAAAAAGGCCCGTGGAAGTGGATCGTCCATAGTCGTCTCGTCGAATAGAATGTTGCCTTCACTAATGTCGCGATGTAAAACACCGGCATTATACGCAACCTGGTGGTCTGTAGAACACTTAATGGCGCGAAACAAAACTAGGCGGGGAATACGCACGCATACCGGCTGTCTGAATGGCCGTGCATAGCGCCTTTGTGGACGGAAACTTATTGAGCGGACGACCAACAGGGGTAAGGAGGGCCCGAGTGTGGTAGCGCTCGTAAAGACTGATATCCAAAGCCTCTTCTTCTTCGCCACGACTTTGAAGGGGCTGAGTGCAAGTTTTGTGAAGTTCGGGTTTCCAGACCCACGGAGGCTGGGGGCCCTTGAAGCTTTGGGACAAATTGAGCATCCCATGACACTTAGCCATCCCTGCAGCCTTCATTTTCTTCGTTCTGTCGTCGTCCTCCTCGAATTTTTCCTCCTCATTCAACTGTCGAATATAGTCTTCAATGAGGTCATAAAAATCAATCTCGTCGCGACGGCAGCCCTGCTTCCACGCGTCTTTTAACGCATAAATCGTAAGTTCTGGAAGGTCCTCGAGAATAGCAACTCGATAAACGTGGGTGGCACGGCTGAAGAGACCGTCTGAGACAGAAAGCGGTGGACCGATTTGAAGACAGGTGACCAACTCGGTTGGCGCGTCAGGATCGTTGGGTTTTCGGCGAGCGGCAATGTATTTACGACAATACTTCTCGAAGGTGGGTTCATCAAGGAGGTCCTTGTAGAATGTATGGCCCTGGAGCGCCTTCCACAGTTCTCCTAGATCTCTCTTCGTTGCAGGCCGGGCAGTGTCATCATCGCCGTCAATGCGATTGGAGAGGGGGCCGGATAAGCCACTGTTTGGTCGGAAGAGACGAAGGAGAAGCTCGATGAATGGACGAGGATTTGCAACCCAGTCAAACTTCTCTGATGCCTTGAAGCCACCGTGGTCGAAACGGAAAATGCGCGCAAACTTGTGCTGGAAGACACTCGCGACGAAAACATGAGTGCTGCCGGAAGTCATAAGCAAGCTTCGTGCACTCTTGGCCAACTGTGTAGCGGCATCCATGGATTGGCCATCGGTCTTCAGTTGCCCGTTTTCGTCGATAAAGTCAAGTTGGAGTTTGAACTCGACGATGGCCTTAATCAAGTTCCAGACCCATTCTTCCGGCTCGAGAGAACAATTCGGGTCCATAATGCCTACGTCTGGGCGACTGCCATGTTCGCCGGGCAAATGGGGACGAATGAATCGATTATGGAGGTCGAAGAATTTTGGCCGTTTACTAGGAGGAAAGTTCTGGACAAATGCTTCGAAGAGTTTTATCTGACGAATGTAAGTCAATGAGCAACAGATGAAGAGTGAGCGACAGACCAAGGACGGCAGCATATCGTTTTCATCTCTACGACCACCACGATTGCGCTTAAGACTCGGTATGCTCCTCAGCTTCTCCTTCGTAGTGGCAATTACTTCCGTTGATTGGTCGAATATTCTGCTGATCTGGGTTGGAAGAGTAGCTGTCGCCGAGTAGCCCATGCATTCCTCAAAGAAGTCGGCGATGGGCAAAACTCCTCCGTAGCCTGCTATGAGCATGTCGGTCCAGTCACGAATAGAGTCAGGGTCGTCCTTCGTTGCCTGAGAGCGAACAGCCGTTTGCTGGGAAGGAACTTTGTCCCGTTGTTGAGCGGGCGAGTAGCTTGCAGCTTGGGCGTAGTTGGTGACTGGTTCAGGGGTTGCCGCGCGATTGTTGCCACCTGAACCCGACCCAGTAGTCGGTCGTCCACCGGCTGGTGGCGAATGGGCACTGCTGGCCTGACTAGCTTGGTTGGGGTTGGTCCCTGAGCGGGACATGATGGTTAGAGAAAGAGATGGAGGAAACAAAGCGTCCTCACCAAATAAGGTCTATATAGCTCGTCAATGCGTAGTCCAAGTTGGGCCAGTTCCAACCAAGCACAAGAAGCAAGTGTGACAATCAACAATGACTAATGTGACCCGACGCGTTCGACCCAAACTGACATACAAATTGACAATAGCGATTTCAGAAGCCTCGCTGAGATAAGTACAGTGATTAAAATTACAGAGAAATGAAGGGCTTCGACAGATCCCTCATCCCTAATTTAAGTAGATGCAATGGATATTTCTAACAAATCGTCATAAAATGCGTTAAGGATTTGATTGCGGCATTCAACCAGAACGAGCCCCATCCTCTCCATGAACATCATCACCAAACATTACAGCCCGTGGTGTGTTCGTCCCGCTCCCACTCCCTGGTCGCTGAGAATCATGCTCTGCGAATCTTACTGATCTGGCAGGCGACACATCCCTCGAGCCTCTCCTGCTTGTCGCTACATCTGCCCTTAGACTGTCCAGTCGAGACTGCCTTCCAATTCGGCGGGCAGCAGATGGGTATGCATAATCAGTTGCGCTAACTGACGGATGTGGAGAGAGCGGAGGACGAGCAGGAATCGAGACAGAAGGGGAGTCATCGCCAGGAAGGTCGACCGGGGGAGGGCTTGTAACAACGGCTGGCAAGCTTGCGGTGGGTGGAGCCCGATCACGAACGGCTAGAGATTTCAAACCGGTAGAGGCTCGTCGTTTGGCTCCTGACTTGGTCTTGGGTGACTTCGAGCGCGGCCGGCGACTAGAACCAGCAAGGGGAGTAGGATGTGTTGCTTTGTTGCTATCTTCAGAAGCCCAGCCGTCGTCATCATCATCCTCAACTTGGTCCTTATGGTGGTAGAACCCAGGCAGCGGCGATTTCGAAATTCGCTCCTCTATACTCTTCCCCAATGCCTCCAAATCCATCTCCACTGTCTTCGGTGCGCCTTTGAGCCTATCCATCATTTTGTGAACAACAGCTTCAGAGCCACGATATGCAGATGATATATCTTCTCCGTCAACGTTCCGGATAACTTCCACTTCAACCTGTCTCCTGTGTTACAGAGGCAAAACGAAATCAGAGGACATACCTCTTCCCCAGGTCCCGCACGCCGTTCAATAATCCTATGATGCCCTTCCTGCCACTCTGACACCAACTCCTCTCCGTCAGGTGGTACATCGCCTTCCGGAGTCAAACCAGCCTCGACTTGACGCTGTTTTTGGTCCTTGTCCGAGCTCACGACAGTTGGACTCTCGCTATGCTGCTTCCTGTCGATTTCGATTTCCTCTTGCAAGCGACCATTAACAGTGTCTTTCTCTGGTCCACTAAAGCCCGTGCCTTCCTCGAGGTCTGCAATTCGATTTGGGTCCCGATTTGGGTCACGATTCACAACGATTCCACCTTCGGCCTTCCGAACCTGGTCCAACCAATCTGGTTGTTGAGCATGAGCTGTACCCGTATGTCTAGACCACGTCCGAGACACGGAATGCACTCTTCTGCCAAGAGAGAATCCAGGAATAGACAGTCCATGCACGGCAATACTGCACAACACCATAAAGGCACAAATAGGCTGTATAGTCTTGATCAGCAGTGCAACCTGCTCGTTTTCTTCGGCCATTGGGCTCTCTTGTAGCACTTCTGTGGCCAAAGTCGAGATAAAAACAGCGCCAACACCGATGGGTCCGAAATGACCGCTGAAAATAGCTTCGCGGAAAGTTTTGATGTCAGGAATCCAACGGTAAAACGCGATCATTGCAGGAAGACGACGGAAGAGAAGTACAAGAATGGCGATAACGATAAGCCGCCAGACCTGCAAGGTCGTCCCCTCGGGGTCGCTAAACGAGCCGAAAGGCATCCAAGCGCCAATGTAAACGAAGGCAGCTACGTTGAAGAGCAGATCGATGACGGATGAGAATACTGATTCTTCGGTTTGTCTGTTGAAAAAACCGTCCCAGGCAAAGGCCGCGCCACATGCAAACGCGCTTAGAAGGTCGTCTGATCCCAAAAGAGTGGTCAATCCAATAGTGAGCAGTGCCAAAGAAACATATTGGGCAACGTAGGAGTGTCTGTCGATGAGAGTGTGGCGCTCCGAGAACTTCATGAGATAGCGGAAGGCGAACCCAATCAGAGAGCCGATGACCACCCCGAGAATAATTTGGTCTAGATATAGTCAGCACAGGCAGAGTCCAATGAGACGGGGCATACAAAGCCACAGCTTCAAAAACCAATCCTTCATCGCATCATTCGTTGAATGATCCAAAATGAGGTAAATAGCGAGATATAGGAATGGAAAGGCTGCGCCGTCATTGCAGCCACTCTCTGCCGCAAGGAGATGACGAATATGAGCTGGAACATGCTTATCTGCATATTTTCCGCCCACGACAGCAGCTGCAAGAATAGGATCGGTCGGAGTTAAGCATGCTGCAACAACGAGGGACGAAAGGAAGTTGAGGCCAGGTATCAAGGCGAAAATGAAGCCCGCAGAGACTAACCAACCCTATGAATGAATGAGCACACGAACGGTAAGCCAAGGAAAGATGGAGCAGACCCAAATCATGATGGGGCCTAATAGAAAGAACAGACTCTGCCAATGGCGGCGCATGTAGGCTTTGGGGAGTTCGACGCCGATAGCGAATACTCCTATTGCAAGGACGACGCGAGAAAATTCTAGTGTTATTGTATTGACGGTCTCGACTATAGCGCGTCAGGTAATCACAGTAAAGACTGAGGAAACACACCATTATCGCCAGCCCATCCTCGCGGATTGAATATATTCGCGCCGTATGGTCCAATTACTACGCCGAATAGAAAGGACCAGCAAGCTTCACCGATGTAAAGGCGTTCGCGGAGTAAAAGGGAGAACATCCCAAACTATTTTGTGCATAAGAACCAGTCACAAGCAAAAGCGACACATACCAAGACCACGAAGCCCCCCAGGGCTGCATAGGCGACATGGGGCACGGTTACGTCGATCTAAGAGTTGGTGGGCGTCGATGGAGGAAGAAGGAAGACTACTCACGGGATGAAAGACCATTCTTGCCGGTTGCCCGAATGGCGAAAATCGCGCAAGTTGATTGGCTACCTTGAATTCACCAACTTCTCCCCAAACGACGTCGCCGCAGAAGGAAAAGGCGGAGGGAGGGATAGTGGCGGTTCTGAACAGAGAGGCGTTGGGATTTGACTGGATTCGATCGCGTGCTACAGCTCCGTTCTGCCGTTGACCTCCGTGAAGCAATGAGGTCAGTGCTCCCACTCCAAAAATATTTAAACAAAGAACCCTTCGCTCTTCCAAGAGACTCTCAATGACCACTGCCAAGCTCTTTTAACCTGTTCATGACTTGTACCCTCAATCAAACGTGTTTCATCAACTTTATGGCGAACCAGCAACTCTCCACGTTCCGCCACATTAGCCTCCGTTGAGGACATCCATAAGGGGTCCAGTGGTAGTCAGTGGTGCAAGACTGACTGCTCCACGCCTTCTTCATACTCTCATGGAAAGCATCGCGGTCCGGCCATCTGCTTCGTGTTCCCAGCACACTCAGGCTCAGTCTACGTGATTCCCTACATGCCGAATTTCAAGTGGATACTAGAGCTTATTTATTAGCAGTCTGAAATTTAGCAAAATTTAGCGGAGTGGTCTCTATTCACCAAACCTCCACCCCCTGCTCAAGCCCATGCCCTCAAGCCTCTTGAGCATGCTCTGAAGGACTCAACTGCTCGAAAACTAGAGGTTGAGATTCGGAGTCGTTGTCCTGTGAGCAAGTAAACAACTATTGTGGCAGGCTCCACTTGAAAAAAATTAACAGAGATATGACACACAAATAGAAGAGAAAAAAAAACGCGTTTTCGCCGCTGCTAATGAGCTCTACTATCAAAGGAACACCCTCAATGCCCAACCTACTCCCTTTGAAGTTCAAAGTTCTCAAGCAGAACCCAGTTCGGTGTCTATACTGTGATCCACTCCTGATCACCCTGGGCCTGGAGTCGGGAACTCGACGGCTCATTTGTGCTGAAGACATACGACATGTACGATCCAGATTTGGTTTCCCAGGAGCTCTTCAAGCGCTAGATCGATTAACGACTGACATCGTCGTTATCGCCTCTGGACGCTAACAAAGTCGTGTGCCGCAATCCAGAACCTCAATAATACCTCATTACGCTGTGCTCTTTAATACATCGAAGCAATGTCATCACTTGATTCCTCAATTCTCAAAGCCCACTCCGAGTCTTGCTCCCGCACCCACTCTTTATTCGGCACCAGAACCACTTTATTCAGCGAGCAACTGACGCTCCCCCAGCTTGACACATAGCGCATACACTCTGTTTGGCTCGGAGGATGCACCCGCACCCTCCCCATCGCCAAGTCTCGGTGGAACGCACGCTGTGCCGCCATGTAAGTGCTATAGGAAGGATGCCGGCGTCTGAAAATCGAGTGCAGGACCAGCGAGTGCTCGGTGGGATGGAGGCGCAGCGTTTTGATGTTGGTAAGACAGGGAAGGAGATCGGTAATAGTCCGAAAAAGGAAGTCCTGCGTCCAAACTAAGCAGAATGAATTTTTTGGCAGCAAAACACACCGAAGAAGGGCCGCCGGCCTCATAGAGGATGCCGACCGTCTCGCAACTCGGGAGCATACTTGCAATCAGTGGCAGAAGTGACTCGTCCTAGTCATCGAGCACGAGCTGGAGGGTGCGTGTGGCAGTGAGCCGTTCTATCAACTGAGCTGCCTGTTTGACAGATATCGCATCAAGGAGGTGAACTTGGTCCAAGTGGACTCCGGAAGCCAGGATGCTCATCGCCATGTCCCATGATCCCGAAAACGATTGGAGAAGCGGAAGAATAGGCGGCGCCGCGACAGTTGGTATCCATATTTCGTCTGAAGTAACCCCCAGGATTTGCAAGCGAACTAGGTTGGGAAAATGAGGAAGAAACAGCGTCGCTTGGCTTTCGGCATATGCTGTTGTTTCGGTGGAGGAGATAACTGAGAACTCGCGTACTCTGTGCCAAAGTTGGGAAGATACCTGGCTGCTTGGGTTGCACAGAACGATGTCGATCAGAACAAGGGAAGTGATCGTCAAGTCTGGCTCGTACAGCAAGTCCTCCACGTCAGAATGAGGCACGCAAACTGTACAGGACTGGAGTCGAAGCCGGTCAAGACGACGAAGTTGGCGAAAAGTGTCGAAGAAATGCGTGAGAATGGATCCTCCGACGATGGTGAGACAACGCAGATTGGATAGTGTCCCTAAAGAACGAAGACGGACAGCCTCTTGCAGGTCCGGCAGTTGACCGAGTTTTGAGTCGCGCAACTCATAAATGCTGATTGTGTCCGCCGCTGCAACATAGATGAGCAGCAAAAGACGAAAAAACAAGCGAAACGCACCCGAAGGAACTGCTCCAAGTTTCATTGAAATAACTCGGGGTATGCACCTCTTCTCCGGGTTTTGCAACAGGGACACCAACCGACTGTGGGTCTTCTCTGCGGTGTCCCAGACAAGAACTCGCAAGGCGATTTCTAGCCCCAAGACACGGAAATGTCGCGACGCGGAGAGTATTGACTTGAGCGTGTATGTATCGTAGATGTAGTCGAGGATGTTGATCCATGTTTCGTTGGGCAAGGACATGCCTGTGGGCGTAGATGTGGAGGATGGTTTGCTCGCCATTTCGTGGAATTCAGGAGGGCTAGTGTAGACCATGTGAAAATGAGGTCCAGCGTCAATTGACAAGAGAGAAGCTGAGTAGCTCCTATCGCCTCGAGAGGGAAAAGACAGAGCCCAGAATGTTTCACCGACCCCGTCAGTTTTCAGACTTCCTAGTGGAGCGTTCACAGACAGGGTTTTAGGTAGCCGTGAATTCCCCAGAGTTTATGTGGCGGCGTCTGGAGTCTGGACGGCAGTCATGCTGTGGAACATGTCGTCGTCGATGAGAGTGAACCGTAAATTGTTGAGAATTGCAAGTATTCTGCAGCTTGGATGAAGCATGCTAAATTTATTCTCCAACGGGTTCGGGCTCTTCTTGCATGGCGTGGCGGAATCCTGGTGGAAGAGGACGAAATCACGTTGGAAGCCCGGATGACACTGATGCGATTAGTCATAACGGTTGCCTTTCACGTCCGGTCACTGCCGTGACCCCCAATTGTCTTTGCTCAGGTCCTGCTATTGTGGTCTCCATCGCAAAGATGCCATTTCGTGACTTTGTGCGCCCCGTTCTTTAACCGACACAATAAGCGCGGGAGCCTCGTTTCTCATGCCGCTACTTAAAAGCAAGGGTCAAGCACAACACGGCCTTCAACCCCACTTTCTGGTCGTCTACTTTCCAGGTCGTCTTGCCGTGCCCTTCTTTTCCCCTGCTCGTCCTCACGCCCCTCCACCATATCTACCTTTCTCACGACCGCTACCTCGAAGCTACTTGGAGCAATGGACGCCTTTGTAACCACCACCATCTCCATCTTCTCTTACCCGTCCAAACCGTCGACCCCCGAGCAGCCACGTGCATCCACACCTCCGTCTGGGCGCCCAGAGGGCCCGTCACTCGAGGAGGAGTTTCCAGAAATCGGAACGACAGACTTTGACCAGACTTTGGGATCCTCTGGGTCATGCATCGTTGTTTGAACGACTGCGAATACGGCTCTTTATCTCCACCCGTAAGCAACATAACCTCTAAGTTCACGCTTGGCAACCACGCTCATCCTTGCCAGTCGCACCTATCCCTCTCTAATCGCATACCACTATCACACGCTCCACGCATACCCACATTCACGACGCCACGGTCCACAAGCGAACGAAACCGCGATGAACCCACACACACACGTTGCAACCCTCCTTCATTGGCTGGCCTCCAATTAAATCCCCCCATTGGGCGATCGTCTCTCTTTTTACCTACCCTCAGCGCTTGGCGCTACTGTACGACATGTATTTCTACTAATCAATGTATCGGACTTGTATCTGCTCAATTCAGACATGCTAAGTCAGCAACGCGATCACGTTTTTACCTTATTTAGCCAGAAGCGTTGAGCATGACTCATCTTCGAAGTACTCGACACAAGCTCTCACATGAACTGAAACAGTTTTCTTCGCCACGAATCAACCATAATTATTGAATTAACGCGTAACCCCAAATGTGACTGCCCAAACCTGAGAGGTGGAGCCGTTGCAGTCCACCGTTGTGACCTATGTTAATTCAGTCAAGAGGGTAGCATTGTTGATAGAAACCGACCGTTGTTCCTGCTTTGGTCAGACACTATATTGCAGCCGAAATCAGGCAGTGTCACTGAACGGAAAGGATAGCTCATACCTTGCCCTGCGCGTCCCATTGGATGATGACCGTGTTTGACGACGGACCGTTGAGCATCCGCCACAACTGCCGATTCTTGGCCGGGCTGAGGCATGTCTGCGCCTGGACTTGCACGTTGTCGTCGATGTTGCCGCCGGGGACGGTCAGACAGAGGTTTGTGCTCGAGCTGGTGACCATGTTGACCGCGACTGAACCAAAGTCCCCGGACTGGGCGACAGATGTGGGGTAGATCGCGAAGAAGCCTTGGGTGGGCGGGTTCGGCCGGGTTGGGAGGGAGGTGAAGCACGGGGTGAGCGTGCTGGGGGCGTTGATGCTCGAGTTGACAAAGCCCATACAAGTGGATGCTGCGGCGAATCAGTGAAGACATAAACGTGGCTCGGAGAAACACTTGCGGCTCGAAGGCGGGTGAAGGTCAAACACGCTGAGGAATGATTTAGCAATGGAGCCAAATACCGGTCAACATACAAGACATCTGCCAGAGCAAATTTGAAAGCGACGCAGACGATGAAAAGTAGAGAGTTCATCGCGAAGATAAGGGATAATTTGCTGCTCAGAGAGCCCTTTTAAGAGTCGTCAAGATATATATCCTTTAGAAGCGTCTCAGCGCCCACCCAGCCTCAACTTGTCAAAGAGACTTTCCCTGACATCGCTTCAAAGCAGATTCTGTCGTGCATCTGCGCGCCCGCCCTAAGTTGACAGTCGGCGCATCGAGGGTTGCGGGAAAGGATGGCGAGTTCCTGAGTTGACAACACGAGGTCGGTATCGGGAGAGCAAGAGTCCCGTTGGTTGTCCTGGGAAAAGGTTGAGGAAAGGCTAGCCAAAACCTCTGAAATGTCAGTAATAATGTTTCAAGTCCCCAGGTTGGACTGTCGAAATGACTCGAATTCGCCAGACGCTTGGAAGTCCCGACTCCCCAGGTTGGATGGTCCACTCGGAAGTGATTCGACTCCGCCAGACCCTTGACCATTGTCCATGATGGCCTCACAATCCAGGACGGCGTTGGCCGCAACATTGACTGCATTCATTTCAGGTCCTCTCGAGCCCGCACCCCTTTTCTTCTCCACCCACTATATCCCGCGGCTCGCGACAGCCATCGCCGCCGGGCACTCGTTTGTCGTTGGACCTTCTCGAATCTCGAGGCACCGACACCATTGCTCTCGCCCATCTCCTCCAAGCTGGCGTCCCACCCCAACGCATCACCGTCTTCCTACGCCATTCCGAAGTAAGCTGGGGTCCCCGTTTCTGTAAACAGGGCGTGCAAGTCGTCGTTTCGGGCCAAACACACACGGAACACGATGCTGCAATGACGGCGGCCAGTGATTATGATATCTTGCGCTATTTGACGGAGGCCGAGGCGAGGAGGCTGTATGGAGAGAAATACCGACCGAGGGTGAGTGGGACGGAGAAAAAGGAGATCAGGAGGATCAAAAATTGGTGATGAGTTATGAAAGTCGAGTGCCAGTGGGCCAGTCTGTATCTCCAACCACCTTCCAGTCTGACTGCGGGAGACATCACCCAAACGGATAGCTAATAGTACAGAAGTATATGAACAAGACATCATAGTCTACGGCGCGACTAGTACAAGTCCAACGTGAATTGAACATACAAGTCGAAAAGAGCAACAGTGCAGAAGTAATACATGGACAAAAAGCAACACAAGAAAAAGTCAAGGACTACCCTCAAAGGTTGCCGGACGAGACGAAGGTGGCGTCGTTTTGCGCTTTTTACTAGCCTGCGAAGTGGGATCCGTGATCTGATCTGAACCTCGCTTCAAGGGACCAGCAGCAGGAGCTCCAAGTTGTTGTTGCTGCTGAATTGATCTGCGCTCGCGCGCTTGGGACTGCCGAGCCTTTTCTCCATTCAAATGAGGCTTGTTGGCAGAAACGAGTTTGTATGGAATGGCGGTGTCGTTGACAGGCCACCCGCTCAATCGAAGAGCATCCTGTAGCATTGTGCACCATTTCTCATAAGATATTGGTTGCTTGACATGCCGGAGCGTGAGGGCACCAACATGAATGACTTCCGCGAGTTCGAGGAGCAGCTCGCGAAGGGGCGTTTCTTTGTCCGGAAGTAGTTCAGTTGACGAGCTCAAATTCAGCCACGCCAACTTGCCGCTTGCCTTAGGCGCGTCGAAGAGGTTACGACAAGCATTAGCTCCGTGAGGATGACAGTGCTTCGTATGGCGCAAGACGAGCCAAATCAAAACCCAGTATACGGATTCGAGATCATGGACAATGTCGTGACGTTCGCCACGCTCCTCCAGGATAGCGATGGCCATGAATGCAAACGTTCCCTACACGGTATTCAGTAACTTCGTGCAAGGAAAACCAACAATAAACTTACAGTCATGTCCTTCAGGGTTTCTTTTATCTCCTCCCAATTGGCTTTGATGCGGTTCGAGCCAGGTGTCACCTAAGTAAGCTACCGAATTCCTTACGTACGACCTAGTTAGATGTACTAGTTTGTAAGTAATAAAATTATCTAAGAGGGCTGTGGATGAAGTAGACTGCGTAGCAGCCTCAGCGGAAGCTTAAGCATGGGGAGCTGTGTGCAGCACCAAGGTAATGTTTTCCATGTCATATCATCCATATGTCAAAAACATGAAAAACTCAATTCTGGAGGGCGTACAATATGCTACAACTTACAAAGTACAGTATTCACAACATCGACGAGCAACAATGACACACTACAAGTAACAACGATAGCGATAGCGACACAGGCAGCAGGGGAAGCAAGATAGCAAACAGTCCAAGAAACGAGCGTGTTACAATTCAAAAATTGCCTACCAGCAGACCGAGGAACTTCACTTGCATGTCATCGTCCATCTTCTCGAGATACCACGCCTTCCTCCCCTCATCGAGTGTGTCCCATTGTCTGACGAGCGCCGGAAGAAGGGCAGCAGATATCATGGTACCAGTGCTGGAACCAGCAACGAAGGCCGGGGCATCACTGGATCTACCAACGTGAGCCGGGATGGCGCCGGGTGCAGCGTGCAGAGCGCTACTGTTCTGCTGGGGTCTCTGATGAGCCACGGAGGGAGCAGGACGGTGCTCTGGAACCAATGGTGTAGCACGATTGTCGCTAGTAGGAATATCACCAGGAGGAGCTCGAGTGTTTTGAGTAGGGGCAGATGCCGGAATGGTGTTTGTCGTGGAACGTTGGGCCGCTTGAGAGTCGCCGGTAGCGTTACCAGTAGTCTTGGGTGCTGGCCGTTGCAACGAACCCACAGGAGGGGGCTGTCTTTGGTTGCTCGGTGCTGGTTTTGTCGGCACTGGTTTTGTCGGCACTGGTTTTGTCTGCTTCAAATTTGAGCCAGATTTCGAGGGAGGGGTAATGTCGACGTAGTCCATGAGCATTCGTGGCCGCTTTCCACCTGCTGTGCCTTCGCCCTGGGTAGGTTGTCCCGCAGCACGTCGTTTAACACCCATTGGAGGTTTTGGTTTCGGCTGAGGCGAAGGGGATGATCCATTGCCTCCGTGATCATCCTCGGAATCATCGTGCTTCTGTTGATATGGCTTAAGAAAGCCGCCACGGCGCTGGCCAAATTGCCGTTCCTCTGGGATAACATTCACGGCCTCAGAAGGCAGTCGAAGCACTTGCTGACTGGCACTATTGCGATGGGTTGGCGCTACTTCGGAAACAGCTCTTGCGCCTCCTCCAACCTGCGCCCGTATATTGCGTTGACGCTTTTCATTGGGACCGTTAGCATTGTGCATCTCGACATCAATATCTCCGCTCGTTGAAGCTTGGCGACGTGGCGGATCTTGACTTGGAGCGACCTTCTTGAAAGGCGGGAGGGCAGCGTCATCGTAGTCATCGTCCTCTGACTTGGAGTCGATTATGTAGGTTTGGCGGTGGGTTCTAACTTGCTGAGTCGCCTGTTTAGGCCGAATAGATTTGCCCTCCTTCTTAGGAGGAACAAAATCACTGTCGCTTGCTCCCATCTTGGCTTCTCCATCTCCATCCGACTCTGATTCCGATGGCGTCTCGCTCGCTTCGACGCTCGAGGCAGGTGCAGCTGATTTGCGGTCCTTTTTGGTAGTTGCTACAACTGTGCTCGTTGGTTTCGAGACCGTCTTTGCTTTTGTCTTGGAGATCATCGTTGGAGGATTGTTGAGCGGTTGACCATTGGTTGGCTCTGGGTCCTTGTCCAAGTCGAACATCGAAAACCAGATGTTGTCGGTCGCATCAAGATTGTACACGGGGCGTTTACTGCTTGAGCGCCAATAACAACGAATTCGGCGCTCATCAGCCGTGGGGGAAGGTGGTGGGCGAGTATAATCATGTCGGAGTATCAACAAGAGATCTTAAAATTTCGATTAGAATGTAGTAGAGCGGTAGCATAAGGAAGATACACACTGGAAATATCGGGTATTTGATCAGAGACTCTTTCGATACGGATACCCGCTTGAGGATGGAGCTTCCGACTTTGTAATGCTGTTTCGAGCCCTTGACGCTGGCGTTTGGTCAGACCAGAGACGCCCTTCCGCATCCGATGTTCGATAGGAAATGGAGTAATGGCTGGAAAGTTGACGATGCGGAATCGTTCAGGCAGGAGAACCCTCGAGGTAAGCTGGTTCCAGGCAAAACCGTTGTGGGTGAACGAATGAAAAATGTCGATGCCAACATCCTCGATGCTCGCTGCTCCCATTTCTTTTCGCAAGGCTCTCGAAGCCTCAGTGGCTTCAGCGCTGGCACCACCAGAAGCCTTGTGGGCAGTCTTTGTGGTATTTCCCTCATTGTCGTTGTCAGAAGACGGCGGGGAAGTAGCTTTGGCCTTCCCCTTTATGCTTTTGCTGGGTGCGGGCGCCTTCGGATTGTGACTTGTACTCATGCTACCAGTTGCTGCGTTGGAGGTAGTCGCGCTACCGGTCGCTACTTTGGACGCAGAGGTAGTCGCGCTACCGGTCGCTACTTTGGACGCAGTGGTACTACCATTGAGTGCTCCTTGGAACGCTTTCGCTACTGGCACTAATTCAGTTCCACTAAAGAAGCATCAGTAGAGAGCAATGGCATCTCTGTTCAGCGACGTACAAGGCAATCGATTGGAACAAGCCAATGATATCATTTTCGTCTGCATGCAACACATCTGGATACTACGAGAGGTATTAGTAAGAAGATAAGAGGGAAAAAGTCACGCTACCGATTGGAGCTTCCCAGTCGCATGCGCCCAACCAAGGTCCTTGTCTTGATTTATTATTGGGGCAACGACAACTGTAAACCCTTCGAAACCAGCGCGCTCAAGACGAACAAGCTAAGTAATAAGGAATGTGAGCATTGGTCTGCAGATAAAGGAAGACAAGCATACCGAGGCCTTGCAGTCTTTGGTAAGCCGATTGAAATTTGCCCGTCGCGACTGCTGCGTGGGTTGTTGAACATTTCTGGCGAGATACGTGTGAAGAATGTGTGTCGCATTGCCACCATGCTCAACACAGAAAGCATCATACGCGCGACTAACTTCCGCCTGTGACATATCAAAGTCTCCATTGATTGTGCACGTTGGATCGACTGGGTCTTCAATTTGAGGCGGACTGAAGTTAGGATCGATGCGGCTGTCAGGGGAACCCCCGCTTCGGCCTCCTTCGGACCCTCCGAACGCATCCGAGGAGCATCCGACCGGCGCCCCCTCGGACGCTCCGACCCACCCCGACCATCGTCCACGGCCTCCTTCGCCCGCACAATCACCGATCCGTCAAGACCCTCCCAACGATCACCTTGGGACAGAGCCTGCGACGCCGCTCAGGCCTTCTGCGCTCTACGTCGGCAGTTACGGACGACCAGTATATAGTTGGCGCCCTAGCAGGCGGACCCTTAGAGTTTCTTCTCTTTGGATCCTCCCCTGCTAGGTCGGTCCCTCCGTGTATTTCCCGTAGCTTTTATTCACGCTTTGGATCCTCCCCTGCTAGGCTTTCGTCGGAGTCTCCAGGGTTGCTCTTACAGCAGAAGAAACTCTCTACGGGATTAACCGGTCAAGATTGCCAGGTTTGGTGCTGACTCAGGCTCGGAGTACGAGTCCGTACCCCCCCTCGTCACCGCCCCTGCCACTTGACCCCTCCTCCTCTGCTCTTGTCGTCTTTACGCCCGCTATGTCTACCGGAGCTGCTCCGGACGCTGATGCGCGCATGGACGCACTTGAGGCGAAACTAGACAACCTCACCAATCTCCTCACCCACCTTGCTTCCCAGGCTTCCGCTGCCGCACCACCTCCGGCAGCTCCCGAACCGCCGCCGGCATCTCCGAATGCCCCCCGACGCGGATGCGTTATTTGGTGACATTACTGTCGCCTCAAAACTGGTCTTACGACCAAACCCCCCGTTTGCGTTTAACGGAGATCGCAAACGCGGCCGCGCCTTCCTATACGCGGTCAAAACCTACGCTCGGCTTGCCCGGAGGCCTTCGTAGTTAACGGAGAGCCGAGCGAAGAAAAGGCCGTCCGCTACGCCATGTCCTATATGGCGGAGGGACCTGCTCAGCAATGGGCAGAGCGTCATGGGAGCAAAAACCCCTTCCCCTTCCCTCGGTGGAGCCAGTTCCTCTCCGAGTTTCGCCTTCGGTTCGTCGAGGAGAACGAACAGGACCTCGCGCTCGCTAAGTTGGAAGCGCGGGTTATCACATGGGAACGCGGGATGTCTACGGATATACCGACGACTTCGAGGACTTGATGGACCTCGCTGGCTTCGAAGACGCGTTGGTTAAGGTAACCAAGTACCGCCACGGACTTGACCCCTTGATCAACAACGGCATCACCTCTTCGAACGATCCCCCAGACCTCCGTGACTATCTAGGCTGGCGCACTCGGGCTTTCCGACAATATGAAGCCCTGGTGCGAGCGAAGCTCATTAAGGGAACGGCTACCCCGCGGACCGCCGGGAGCTCCCGCGGCGCCTTCCCCATCACTCGTTCGGCAACTCCGTTCCCCATCCGCCCGGTGGCCGCACCTGCGCCACCCGCGGCCCGCGCCCCGTCCCGGTACCTCCGGCTCCCGTCCCTATGGAGTTGGATCGTACTAGGGCTCGGGGGCCCCTCGTCGAGCCTGCTTCAGATGCGGCGACCCCAATCACTTGGCTCGGGACTGTCCGCTCCCCGCCGATGTTCGCCATATGGACATCCTCGACGAGGTGATCCAGCAACTTGGCGATGAGATGCTAGGAGAGCTACTTGCGCGGTTGTCCGACACCGCGGCCTTAGCAGGAGCGCATTCGGAGGCTCCGGCAGAGGATTTTGTCCCCGCGACGAGTGACTGGTGTGCCCTCGTTCGCGTCCATAAATCGTTTCACTTGTTTGTATGATGAATCAACTCCCTTGCCTTACAACGAGCCTGAAACGAAAGACGCACCCCCTGCCCCCTCCGAAGCCCCCGTTCGGATACGCCGACTTGCCTGGGAGAAAAAGCTACCTGGCAGTTATACCATCTCTGCCGCTCCTGGCGTTAACTCGCTGCACCTCCCCCTTGAACTTGAGTCCACTGCGAACGCGCTCAAGCTCTCCCTCTCGGGTCTGGTCGACTGCGGAGCCACTTCGGACTTTATCGACACAGAATACGTCAACCGAAACAACGTGCCAGTCCGAAATCTCTCAGTACCCATACCGGTCTACAATGTCGACGGCACCCCCAATGATGCTGGGTCTATTCGCCAAATCGCGGACCTGGTCCTACGATACAACGGACACTCCGAACGCGTTCAGCTGGCTGTAACCCACCTTGGGAAACAGGACTTGATACTCGGGTACTCCTGGCTCAAAAGCATAACCCCGAGATCAACTGGGAAACAAAGGAGGTGAAAATGAGCCGCTGCCCCGAGCTGCTCCACCTGCCGCGACGAGGAACGGACCGAGCGCGCTGAGGTTCGCCGCCTCCGACTCCTTAAATCGCTTACTTGCGGGCGCCTTCCCCACCGTTTGCGCTATCGATATCGCTGGCCCAGACGATGCCGACGACGAACTTCGGAGCTCCTTCGGACCCTCCGGAGCGCTCACCAGACCTTGACGACGACGAGCATCTTGAAGACGGCGACCGCATCTTCTACACCTCCTTTCGCCCAATCGAGGAGATTCGCTGGGAGCACCGTGTCCCAACGCCTTGCAGAGGCCTTCGCCCGTAACTCGGCCCCCCCGCCTTGGAGATTCCGGACTGGGCCAAGGAGTTCCAAGACGTCTTTGACAAGGAGTCCTTCGACACGTTACCAGAGCGGAGGGCTTGGGACCACGCTATCGAACTCGTCCCCGACGCGAAGCCCGCTAATTGCAAGGTGTATCCGATCTCCCCCTTGAACAGCGCGAACTTGACGAGTTCATCGAGGAGGGACTTGCCACAGGCCGTATCCGCCCCTTCGAAATCTCCGATGGCTTCCCCCGTCTTCTTCGTTAAGAAAAAGGACGGAGGACTTCGGTTTGTCCAGGACTACCGCGCCCTCAACGCAATGACGATTAAGAACCGGTACCCCCTCCCGTTGATTAATGACCTTATCAACAGGCTTAAGGGCGCCCGTTACTTCACCAAACTCGGCGTTCGCTGGGGCTTTAATAACGTCCGGATTAAAGAAGGAGACGAGTGGAAGGCGGCCTTTCGGACCAACCGAGGGTTGTTCGAACCTTTGGTGATGTATTTTGGCCTGACGAACTCCCCGCGACTTTCCAAACGATGATGAATGACATTTTCCAGGATCTCATTCTCTCAGGAGACGTCATGATCTACCTCGACGATATCCTTATCGCGCATTCGGACCTCCGTAAGCACCGCGAGATCGTCCGCGAAGTCCTTCGGCGACTCGAATGCACAAGCTGTACCTTCGCAAGGAGAAGTGCGACTTCGAGAAATCGTCAATCGAGTACCTGGGGGTTATCATCTCTCACAACCACGTCGAAATGGATCCCGTTAAGGTTGCCGGAGTCTCCGCATGGCCTCCGCCCGAGAACAAGAAGGACGTCCAGCAGTTCCTGGGGTTTGCTAATTTCTACCGCAGGTTCATTCGGGATTTCTCGGCCCTAGCGCAACCCCTCTTCGCTCACCAAGAAAGACCAGAAATGGACCTGGGGAGACGCCGGCCGCCGCCTTTCAAGCTATCAAAGACGCGGTCGTCTCAGAGCCCGTCTTAGCGATCCCGGACGACTCCCGGCCTTTCCGACTTGAAGCAGACAGCTCAGATTATGCGACGGGGCGGTTCTTTCACAACAATCCGCCCCGGACGGGAAGTGGCACCCTGTAGCGTTCTATTCCAAAAGCTTAAATGATGTCCAGCGCAACTACGAGATTCACGACAAGGAGATGCTCGCGATCATCCGCGCACTCGAGGAGTATCGGCATTTCCTCGAGGGCGCCGCGCATCCGGTCGAGATCTGGACTGACCATAAGAATTTGGAGTATTTCCGAAAGGCACAGCACCTTAACCGTCGGCAAGCCCGATGGTCGTTGTACCTTTCCAGGTTTGACTTTACGCTGCACCACGTCCCAGGTCGCCAGATGGGCCGTCCCGATGCTCTCTCTCGCCGGCCCGACCACGGTATCTCCGACGACAACTCGGATGTCACCCTCTTACGCCCCGAACTGTTCCACGTTCGCGCTTGAGGCCGTCACCGTCTCTGGGCCTGGCTCCGAACTTGTCCGCGACATCAAGGAAGCGCTATCCGGTGAGCCTGACCTAGAGGAGCCCGTCGCGCTTGCGGCCCGGCAACTCTTGAAGGTCCGAGGTCAAGTTCGGGGCCCCCGCTCATCACGTTCGGACGAGTGGGCCGTCTCCGGCGACCTCCTGTACTTCCGCGGCAAGGTTGTAGTCCCTAAAGACAAGGACCTAAGGAGGCGCATCATCGAGCTCTGCCACGATACGCGAGTCGCCGGACACGCCGGGCGGTTCAAGACCTTAGAGTTGGTTTTCGCGCAACTACTGGTGGCCGCAGATGTCTCGCCATATCGGACGCTACGTCGCGACCTGCGACTTATGCTGCCGCCACGAAGGCCCTCCGAAGGCTTCCGCATGGAGAGCTCCATCCGACCGAAGTCCCGCCCGAACGTTGGCACACTGTCACTGTAGACTTCATTGTCGAGCTGCCCGAGGCCCATGGGTATGACGGTTATGGTAGTGGTCGACGCCCTCGGAAAGCGCGCCCACTTCACTGAGTGCCATACGACAATAGACGCGGTCGGAGCTGCCCGCTTGTACTATCGGAACGTCTGGAGGCACCACGGAACCCCCGAGAAGTACATTTCGGACCGTGGCTCGCAGTTCATCGCTGACTTCACGCGCGAACTCTGGCGCTTAATTGGCGTCAAACCGGCTACCTCCACGGCTTACCACCCGCAAACCGACGGACAAACCGAGCGCGTTAACCAAGAGCTCGAGCAGTACATCCGGATCTTCACCAACTACCAACAAGACGACTGGGACGAGCTTATCCCTGCCGCTGAGTTCGCCTATAACAACCACGTTCACTCCTCCACTCAACAGGTACCCTTTATGACGGACACTGGCCGGCTTCCCGAATGGGTTTCGAGCCAGGCGCCCGCTCAGAGTTGGAGTCGGTAAACGAGTTTCGCGATCGGATAGCTAACGGCGTCTCCGAGGCAAAGGCCGCACTCGTTAAAGCCAAAGACGAGTATAAACGGTACTACGATCGGAAACGTTCGGACGCTCCGAAGATTCAAGTTGGTGATAAGGTTTGGTTGGACGCCTCTGACATTAGAACGACTCGGCCCTCCGAGAAGTTCTCCCACAAGCGCCTTGGACCGTTCAAGGTGCTCGCAGAGGTTAGCAAAGGTGCCTACAAGCTAGACCTCCCCGCGTTACTCCAAGCTCCACCCCGTCTTCCCCGTTGTTAAGCTCGAGCCCGCTCAGGGACGACCCCTTCGACGGACGACCCGGCTACGACGAACCGCCCCCGAACTAGAGGACGGAGTTCCCGAATGGGAAGTCGAGGAAATCTTGGATGCCAGGATAAGGTATAAGCGTCTTAACTATTTCGTCAGGTGGAAAGGCTACGATGCTTCACACGACTCGTGGGTTCGGTTCGACCGTGTCTTTGCGCCAGACAAGATTGCGGACTTCTATCGGAGATACCCGGGTAAACCACGGCACATCGCCTCAGCAACCTTCGACTCGCTGCCCTTCCGTATTATGCGTCGGGACGCCGCATTCAAAGGGGGGGGTGATGTCAGGGGAACCCCCGCTTCGGCCTCCTTCGGACCCTCCGAACACATCCGAGGAGCATCCGACCGGCGCCCCCTCGGACGCTCCGACCCACCCCGACCATCGTCCACGGCCTCCTTCGCCCGCACAATCACCGATCCGTCAAGACCCTCCCAACGATCACCTTGGGACAGAGCCTGCGACGCCGCTCAGGCCTTCTGCGCTCTACGTCGGCAGTTACGGACGACCAGTATATAGTTGGCGCCCTAGCAGGCGGACCCTTAGAGTTTCTTCTCTTTGGATCCTCCCCTGCTAGGTCGGTCCCTCCGTGTATTTCCCGTAGCTTTTATTCACGCTTTGGATCCTCCCCTGCTAGGCTTTCGTCGGAGTCTCCAGGGTTGCCCTTACAGCGGCGCATTTCACGGAGGCGATGTTCTGGGTCGGCGACGAAAGTCTGATAGATATTCCAATTATTTGGTGAGCGAGATGGCGTTCCATCGAGCATTTTGACGATGATGTCCTGGATATGCATGGGCTCCAGCCCAGTTTGTTTGGAAGCCTCGGTAATGAGTTCCTGGAATTGAGTGAACACAGACGCGATGATATCCGCCTGCTTCTTCGAGCGAGCACCTTTGGGCTTTTTTGATGGGAGATGGGAATGCTGCTGCTTCCATCCAGAAGGTGGTGGTGGTAGCATCACCTCCTGGAAGCCTCCTTGCGCACGAAACTCCTCCATTGTGCCATGGAAATGAGCGGGGAGGATTGGTTGGATACGAGCAGCGTCTGGTGTCAATGGCTCAGAACACTGCGCGCAGCGGAGTGATGGGAGAACGTTGATATGGTGGGTTGGCCCAATGAACAGAGCGGATGGGTGGTGCAGGTGGTGCGGGTGGTGCGGGTGGTGCGGGTGGTGCGGGTGGTGCGGGTGGTGCAGGCAGTGTGGGCAGCGCAATTGGTGTATGCGTCGCAGGCGGTCCAGGCAGCGTTGGAGCAGGTTGAGGGCTTGACGACTCCGAAGTCAGCGGAGACCCGTTTCCAACGATTTGTGGTGACGAAAACGATAGCGGAAAGTGCTGCGATAATGGTGGTAGTACAGCAGGTTTTTGATGGGGGCCTTGTTGGAGGCCATGGCGAGCATTCTTGAAAGTAAGAGCAGCAGCGCTATGAGTACCGCGCTCAGAGAGCTGTATTTTGGATCGCAAACGAGTATGGCGTTCATCTTCGGGTGACAACGGTGGCGGGTCTCCACGGCCACCTGCTTCCTGATCATCGTCGTTGTCGTATTCAAGCTCGTCAATATCCTGTTGTTTGTTGAAGAATAAGGGATGACGAGGTCCCAAGTCGACAAACGATTCATCGAGAAACGGGTCTTCTTCATCTCTTCCATAGCCACCGCCTTGCTGCTCGAAATTCCACCCGGCATGCAGGCCAATACTAGCGTTCATCGCAATTGTCGGAGTTTGCTCGATGGTGTCGATATGAGGAAGACTGACGTCGCCGGCTTTAGTCAGTTTGGGAACATAATAGTTCAGGTCCGAGATGAAATTGTGATTGAGAGATGGGATTCCACTGAAGGCTTGGCTGTCGAGGACGAGCCACGTCCTGATCTCCTAGGATGTCGGAGTATGACTGTTGGCTTGAAGGAGCAGGACGAAGCTCCTCATTATATGGAGGAGTAGGAGTTTCCGGGCGCTGAGGATATGCCATTTTGATCTTGTCTAAACACCATGTCAGTATTGAAAGACTGTAGAAGACCTTGCTCACCGTTGTCGAGTCTTTTGATGAGAGATAAGCGAGTAGCACCAGACAGCAGACAGGAAAAGACGTCTTCTGGTGGGTTGTCAGCACGCCGCCCGATACATAAGTAAGGCTTGGGCGCTCGCTCACCTGTGTCGAGCTTTTTGATGGTGAATGTGCGAGAAGCACCGGAAAGCGGATAGAGAAGAACGTGAACAACGTCTCCTGGCTGCTGTCAGCACACAACCCAGACCTAATATAGAATTGAAAACAACTTACCTGGAGCAGATTTTGTAGCGTCTTGCAAACAAGCGCTGTTGAGGAGACAACACAGAAGGGAGAATAGAAGGACCTGTTGACAGCGTCTGAGAAACAGCTCAGGGGATGCATATGTATGTACTCACGAGGATTAATCGAGCCCAATAGTGGTTGCTGGCTTGAGAAGGAGCAGGAGGTGACGAATACTGAGGACGGTGTGGTGGTGGTAGTGAAAAAAAAAAAGGGCACGTGGATGAAATGCGCCACTGCCCAGTTTTGCATAAGCTGAAGAGGCTTGGGGAGCATCGGCAGCGTTGGTAGCTGTTGGATAGCATTCGTAGCATTGCCGCCGCCGCCACCCATGAGTTGGAGTCAAAGTGATGTGTCACACCGTGACAGTAGCAAGTGACCTCACCCCGCCTCATCTTCAGTTAAATCTCGCTTCATGATCTTCTTCGTTTTCTAATGTCTTCTTCTTCAAGAAGCAACGACCTGGATATATTTTCACCTCTTCTATGACTGTCCGATCCCAAGGTAAGCACACTTTATAATTTTCAAGCTGGATTGTGAAATGGTCATCTTCACAGAGCTTCCTCCTGCTCCCAAACAAAAACTCGCATCATCTCATTTCACATCGGTCTCGCGATCTACTCAGGGAAAAATTCGACAAAATATGGTGTTATTTTCAAGGTAAGCGTCCGTTCATACCTCTACAAGTCCGCTATCCATTCAACTGGATTAGCATGCATGGACAAGAAATGCATTGAGTGACGTTACTGACTGCATTACAAGCTTTCGTCCTACTATCACTTCCTCGATGACTCGTCTCAAGCTATATCATACTGATGAAGAACGAGCCGAAGCGCAAAGGCGTTATAATCAAACATATAACCAGAGTAAACGGTGGGTTGCTTTCTGAAAGGTATCTACTCCAAACTCATCAATATTTAGTGGTAAATCTGTTCGAGCGGAGCAAAATGCCCTCAGTCAGAAACAAGCGCAAAGTCGCGCTCTGTTCAATCTCGCGGCTGCCAGCCCTCCCCGACCAACTAATCGCATTCGCGCGTTGCCCTCTTCCGGAACACGATATCATGTTTCAAGATCTTCTGGCATCTCCAATCAATCCGGATGAATCTGCGCTTGCCATCTGGAAGCGAGTCCCTCCGTTTAACGTTGACGAGGAGCAACTTGGTCTGGACCATGCTCAGATCAATGAGCTTAGCATTATCCTTCACGTGGTGCGGCAGCGCAACCAGTGGACACGCGATGTCTCTCTGAAGGCAACCATCGCACAATCAGGCTACAAGAAGACTGTCGATAAATTGCGCACGGAGCTCAAGACACGCATTGACACTTGGAGACGGGTTCATTCCATATCATATGATTCCCTTGAGCAGCCCTGCAGCTTCGAGATGTGGAAGCATTACCTCCAATGGGAGGCGCGTAACATATTTCATCTGTACTACTTGAAGTTTCTGTCAACTTAGAGAGCTTGAAGACAACGTGTAAAATGCTTCAATTAGATAGTACAAGATGTGCGAAGAGCTGTCTAATATAAGCCATTTCTGCCTCAACAATATTTACTGCGCTATACCCTCGTAGAACTGCTGCTATCATACATATAACCCATAGACCACAATCATACCCGTTGGTTTGCTGTGGCACACCCTTGATACCAGTGAGTAGATCAAATATGCGAAGCAGGAGGACATACCGCTTGGAATAAGGGGTGAACAAGCCACGGCCGCTTGGAGTGGACAGAGGGGATATGGTGGCCATTCGCACTCGCTAGCTTAGTCATTTGAGCGAGAAGTTTCATGATATCCTCCCATAATGTCAGAAGGAAGTTGCATTACGAAGCGCTACTTACCTCAAGGTCGGAGTTCCAGCCAGTAGCATCCGCAAAACTATCGTAGATAAACAACAGCTGTTCCTGTTTCGATGCGATCGCGAAAACCCAGTGTTGTTGCTGCCGTCGATGAATCGGAATAAGCCAGAGATCCTTCTCCCAGTAGAGTGTCGGTGCAAGATGATGCCAAAGAACGGAGTCGTCCGTGCCATATTGAACTCGGTGGAGATCTAGCGTACTCAGGAGCGCACAGGAGCTGGTCGGAGACATGAAGTTTTGCATAATGATGGCTGCGACACCATTGAGGCAAAAGTTGTTCAGCCATCGTTTGCGATGCAAGAGGCGATCAAGGTCCGTTGAGTCGATGAAATGCTTGCGGCCAGTTATGTCGATGATGGTGCATGAAGTGTTGGCACTTCGTTGAGCGGGATGCTGATTAACGTAGTTTTTCAAGCACTCGAAAAGCTCTGTGTCAACCTGCACAGGAGGCTACCGAAGATAGATCAGTGAAGAAAATATAATCGAATAGATGGCTGACCGATTCGTCACAATGCTTGAATGCGTATACTGTCTCCGCTCCCTCAGGAGAATCATCTCCGCCTTCTTCTTCGAGTACGAGTGTCTCCTGAGCATTGATCGTATCATCCACCAGCATCTCCAAATCGGGCTCTAGTGCCATCTCATCTTGAGGAGAGTCGAATGGCGATTCCTCAGCATCTTGATCGAGTTCATCAGACGGTTGAAGCTCTACCTGAACAGGTGCAGGAAGAGCATCCTGACGGCTTGTCGGAGCTATGAGTGTTGGTATGTCAAGAGTGCGATTACCAATAGAGGTGCTTGTTAAGCCTCTTGCCCACGAAGCTCCTAGAATGGCCAAGTACTCCCGCCGCTCACGAAGGGGCAATTGTACAAGAGCATCTGTATAGTAAGAAGACTCAGAGGAGCAGGAAGCATGTAATTGAGCCTTACCTTGACAATGCTCCAGAGCATAGGTTACGACTCGGACCTCGCTCTCCAACCACCGATGCAGATTCTCCTTCTCCATCCTCAATCGCAGCGCTTCCTCTCGGCACCGATCAAGCGTGTGAAGACAACGGATGCCCTGTCGGACATCCTCGTCATCGAGCCATCGAGGCGGCCGTCCTTCTGTTGGCGTAATCCAGACATCTTCGTGCAAAGATTCGTCGGCTCGCAGGGCACTGAGTTGGGTGGGAAGTGGTTGCGGGACTGGAATGAGACAGTCAGATGGTCGTAGCAGCTCGAATTCAGAGCAATATGCGTTGAATTTCTTGAGAGCCTTGATGAGCGCTGGTTGGCGTTTGGTAATAGTGGAGCGAGTCGCTTGGTACATTTTGGTTCCTGTAAATGAACAATGAGTTAGTAGCTCAATAGATCAAGTGGAAGCATACCTAATGGCTCCCGTCGTCCCGAAACAGCCTGATCCAGAGTCTCCCATTCTTGAAAGGAGCCAATTGCCTTCTTTCGAATACTGATTTTCAGGTCGCGCATCATGAGAAGAAGCCGCGCGAGCTCTGGGGCGAGTCCCTGAAGTGCCGGATATATGCCAGGAATGTTGAGTGAGGCGTACAACTCCTCGGCTTGCCGTTGCAGCTCTGCTTGTGTTGCCTGGAGCTCGGTTAACAACTCGCGCGAGGTGCTTCCAGGAGCTCTGTTGGGGATTGATTGTTGTACGTCGTCAATCGATTTCTCCACTGCATCAATTTGGGCTTGAAGTGCGATAACTTTGTCTAATTCACGACGCAAACGCTTTGGAGCATCTACAGTTTGCTTCAGCATCAAAACAGTAGCAAAAAGTAGCGCTACTTACGTCTTCGCGCAGAAATTTGCGCTGCCTTTTGCTCCTCCCACTCAACTCGAAGCTTAGTGACTGGAACACCACATCGCCGTAGGGTAGCCACGGCCGCCTTGTATTTTGCGACTAGGTTTTTGGAATCTTGTCGAAGTATCCAAGCGCTTAGGTTATAGAAGCCATCCTCATTGACGAAGGCAGCGTACTGGTCGATTGTCCATATACGCCGTGAATTCTAAATCAAGTGAGTTTACACACAGTATCTTGAAAAAACTGCATACCCACTGTCCGCGCGTGATTGGAATAAGCTTGCGAATACGGGACCACAGTCGTTCGATGCATTCATTATCAGTCAATCCCATTCCGACAACCATTCGCGGATTGTACAAGAGTTGGCACGCCCATTCATGCCCATAGGCATGCATTGCATTCAATACGAATGCTACCCGCTGCCGGACTCCGGGCCCAAGAATGTCATACTATGTTTAAATGATGAGCTCTTCTTTTGGTCAATCAACGCAAGGGAAGGGGTGCTCACCAAATTCAGTGTTCGATCAACTACACAACCTACATCGTAAGCTTGCCAGATGGTCGCTACCAAGGGGGAGGCGAGAGAGCACTTCTTCGAGAAGGGCAACAATATAGTGGTGTTGTTCGCCAGGTGTGTCGATGTTGCACATGAAGATCACCTGAGAGTGTCGACAGGTCAGCGCGAAGATGCCGCTCGCGTCATATCGCTTGGGATCCGCCACCCTCTTCTTCTCGTTGGCAGCATTCCAGTTCTCCGCACATCCATCATCTGCTGGTGCTGGTCGCCTCCGTCTTGCTTCGTCCATCCGACGTTTGACTGCATCGACTTTCTCTTTGCCAATGAAGTACTTTGGTTGATATCCTGTCGGACCATCGCCAGCGGAGCGCAGATGGCGATAGCTAAAACAAGCATCTCCGGCTAGCTGGATGTCGCCACCACTAACGGCCAAGTCAGTGCCAAAGAAGCAAACAAATAGAATGCTTGAATACGTGCCTACTGAGTGGACGACCCCAGTCCGTGCTGCTGAAGCACAAGGGGCAGCGCTCCCGTAGAATCCTGTCCGCCTGACCAGTTTGAAGCGTTACTTGAGGGTTATTGTTGTTGTCGACCAGTGGAGTTGGCGTCGCAGAGCTATCGTGGCTAGCTTCGTTCAAAACGACTGACGAGGAGATGCTACCCATTGATGCTGAGTGATCGATGTCGCTTTGAGTAGCACCTTGAGTAGCACCCTGAGTAGCGCTTGTTATAGCATCCTCCGCAGAGGCCAGTACCGCAGTGAGGCGAGACTGAAGGCGGTCTCGGAGGTTGCTTGACCACAGCACGGCTTGGGTCAAGCTCTGCCGAAATGGATCCGAGGCACGAGCACCCGCTTGCTATAAGTGCTATAGTCAGCAGCAGTGACCGGGCAAGTCAATTGCATACCTTTGTTGAGAGAACTTGATATCCACGACGTTCGTAAACGGTACGGAGGGCGTGAGCCAAGGCCGTGATTGCATCGCACGATCGTTCAAATACAGCGCGGTAGAGCTCGAGAAGATCGATGGAGATGCCTATGCGAGGCCGTCTTGGTGACGAGGGGAAAACTCCATGTTGAACAAGAATTGCGCCAAGAGACTTGCAGGAACACGTGGAGATCGACACGGTTTGCATATCTGAAACTTTTTGAGAACTCTGCCGTTGTCATATTGAGAGAACGTACGGGTTGGATATAAACATTGGACAGTGCTGTGGGTGAGCGAAGTACATCCAGATTCGCAGGCGTAGTGGACGGAAGGGGGAATATGGGAGGGGCGGGGAAGCATATGTTGCAGTTCGAAATGCCGTCCATGGCGCTTCCAAGGCTGGCAAGAGAACTAGCCATGCACCTAGTAGGCTGAGCCGTGATTGTGCCATGGCTGGATCCCGTTGAGGCAGTGGGACCTGGATTGGTGCCGGGAATACCATCTCCTCCGCGACATCCAGCACCTCATCCTCCCATTCCATCGATTCCACTATGTCTGGCTGAAGGATGGGACTCTCTTGAATATCACTCGGGGTTTCGCCATTCAGAAGAGCAGCCAATTTGGAGCGCAGAGCAGCGCTACGCATCTCTTGATTTTTGGTAGGCTTCACAAGACGCTTCATACGACCCGCACGCGGCCGTAGGGGGGCTGACATGGTATTTGCCCGCGCCACTAGTACTGGTGCGTTCATGCCGATTGGAAGCGCGGTGGTTTGGGAGGCCTCCGCTCGGCGCCATGGAAGCTCTTGTTGAAAGAAGTGTCACAGCATTTTCGGATCAAGCACGATAACGTGACGCGAAGCACTCTTAGATCGTTCAAGGTAGGTGGTTTAATTACTTACAAAAAAGTATACCTAACAGGTCTTACGGTATGGTAGAAGGTAGCTCACTGGGGTGCCAGGTGTAACGAATACTTCATTAAATCGTTTGACACCGTCTTTTGTCAACTTCGGCATAGTCCCAGTCCACCAGAAAGCCGGCAACTGATGACTCGGCGGACGTATCTTCGACGAAAAGAATATTGCCAACGCTAACGTCGCGATGAATAATTCCCGCGTCATAGGCAATTTTGAGGTCTACCCGTGAGTCAGAAAGAAACCAAGCAGCACAAGGATGACGAACGTATCGAAACATTCAAGAGTGCTTCTATAACCCGTTTCGTCGACGGAAAGTTTTCTATTGACGAACCAACAGGTGTGAGGAGGGTGCGAGTATGGAGGCGTTGCCTTTCGTTGTCTACGCCAAAGCGGGTTTTGTGAAGAGCAGGGTCCCAAGTCTTGTCGAACAAGGGGGATGTCGCGTCAGAAAGATCGATGCTACCGCGACAACGCGCCATCCCAATCGCATCCATGTCAATTCTGGGTTCGGCGGTCTCACAGTGGTGCTCGATGAGGTCGTAGAAGTCTGCCTCGGGACGTCGGCATGCTTGACGCCAAACGTCTTTGAGCGCATAAACGGCGGGAGGACCGTCCTTGTCCAAGTCTTCCTCAATAATGACGCGGTATACTCGTGTCGCACGACCAAACAAGCCGTCAGAGACGGACAGAATTTCGCCCACTGTTAGACAATGAACAAGCTCCTGCTCGTATGACAATGGGTCGCCGACCCGTCGAGCGGCGGCGATGCGCAGACAATGGTTTGTCACTGTTTTTTCGTCCAGCGTCTTGGAGTAATAGGGATGGCGAGAGAGCGCCTTCCACAATTTGGCGACAGTATCGTCCTCGGGGAAAGTGATGGTGTCGTCAAGGCCATCCATCCTCAACGAGGTTGAAGGGTTGTGGACGCGAAAGAAGAAACGAGGAAAGATGTCGATGTCGTGCTCGAGCCAATTAAATTTCGTGGTGGCTATGAAGCCGGCGCGGTCGAAACGGAAAATACGGGCGTATCTAATGGCAAATATGGTGAGGACATAGACGTGACATCGTCCCAAGGCCATAAGGAGGTTTCGCGCGCTCTTGCATAGCTGAGCACGGGCTGCCACGGCTTTTTCGCTCTCTGAAAGTGTTCCCTCGTCGGTGATGATATCGATGTCCCATTTGAGCTCGCCAGTTAAATCAGTGATATACCAGCTCAGTTTTTTGTTGTCCGTCCCAAGCAATCTGCTGAGAAAATCAGGACTAGTGTGGTTCGGAGGGTGTGGTTTAAGAGTAGGAAGTTTGGTGCGATGCGTGTCTTTGAGATAGGCTCCTGCTCCACTAGCAACCAGAACAACATTTCCGTAAGTAATCTGAAGGAACGTTAGCAACGGATCCTGAAAATGAACATGGTGGCACATACGAATGGTTCGGACATGACGTTCTCGTCGCGACCCTCTTTATTTTCATAACGCTTGATGTGTGGTTCAAGGGTTACATTTGCTTGTGCAAGAGCTGGCGCTGCTTCCTTCACTATGCGTCGGATGGTCTCCGGATTTTCGGCAAGCGTCGGTGGCAAGTACTTCTGGAAGAAGACTTCAGGGGACACGACGCTCTGCAAGCTCGACTCGGTCATGCTGTCCCAAAGACCCATGTTGTTTGCGTCTTGTTTAATTTGCTGAGTATGATACTTGATGGGTTTCAAGGCGCGAGGGGTATTGGTGAAAGATACTATTCGCCCTTCGCTCTCAGTGGCTGGCGGTGGAGTGATTAGACGACCAGATGTCGATTCCCGTGGAATAATGTCGAGGGGGTCCGGACTGGATTCCCGTTCGTCAGACCGCTGCAAACGGCGAGCTGAGGTGGACATGAGGATAGTTGGAAAGATAGAACAGAAGCAATGATAGGTTATAAGCACTCACCGAGTCAAAGCACTCGCAAAACCAAGCACTGACAGCGGTCCTCAACAATGCGTGTTCGTTGAGTCACGGGGCGTGACTCAACGCGTTTTGGTTGATCAATGTCATGATCCCATCCAAATCCAATGATGCTGAATCAGCGCAACTTACTTATTCGCTCTGCTACTTCAATACTTGTTGACTGAGCCACATATCTCCCGGCGTGTTATTTGTCCATAAATATGGCATATGTACAGAGAAATATTGGTGAATTCTACCTCACCGTAATCTCAGTGACCGAAGTTGTAGTCAGCACGATGCTTTCGTTGTGCTCCATAAAGTTGGTGGGTCGCTGTCCGCTTTGGCCGCTTAATTGCGACTCAGAGTCGGACGGCACACTCGAGATCGTAAGTATCTCACCCAGCATATCAGATGGCCTGCGAGGAGAATGAAGAAATACTGTCCAGACTCAGTTACTATAGTCACGCCGGCAGACTCACGGTTTGGATTTCTAACTGCAACGACGTCAGTAAAATAAAGTCATCATGAAACAAAGTCAGTAAGATACAAAAGCAAGTACAGTAGAGTACTAATAGTAAATGAACAAAATGTAGCGATAGGTTAATAGGTAGATGATTAGAGCAGTGATAATGTAACTTGGTTGCGCTCGGGATCGGACATGCGCTGAACCCGCACACTTGGGCCAGGAGTAATGTTGTTCATGTCCTGCGGTGTGATGAGAACATACTGCTTTCTATCGGAGCTGTTCGCGGCATCGATCTGTCGCTTAGTTAGCTCGACAACCAAAGAGAGTGTCTGACTCACCAGCATACTCATGCTAATCCGCCTATTGACGGCGTCCATAAACACGTCAAACTCGTCTAAGAGCAAAAAAAAATCAGCCCGGATCTTCCCTCGGCGGATGAATCCTTACCAAGACATCTAATTGGACAGCTCATGGACTCCCAGAGCGAAAGCAGCAAGCAGATCGTCGCAAATGACTTCTCGCCTCCGCTCAGAGACCGGGGGTCCTTCTCGCGACGGCCCTGAGTAGCAGCTTGGTCGTCGGTTTGTACCCGCAACTCCAATGTCTCCTTCCCATGGTCAAAGAGAACCTTGCCATAATATCCACGTTGCGAAATATGCCAGCTGAAGATGTGCTTGCAGCGAACCGAGATATATTTTCTGAATTGGTGCCAGCGATCGGATCGGGCTTCCAGCGAGCTTTTAAGAGTCTAAGTCGGCCTATCAGTCGGATGGTCGTATGTGCGAAGAAAAGAAAAATACCTTGTAGAGCGTGTTCATCTGCTTCAGGTCACGTGCAGCCAAGGTAAGCTGATCCTGCGCCTTATTGGCCTTGGCTATTGCCTCCTCAAGGGTGGCCCCTTGCCTATCGAGTTGTCAGTGGTAAGAAAAAGAAGCGACAAGATGGTACCGTCTCTCGTGATCTTTCAAAGCATCCTTAACGGATCGCAACTTTCGTTCGATAACTTCGGGAGATAGGTCCGTTTCTACACGTTCACCAAACCCTTGTGCATCGCTGGTCCACCTCTGGCAATTGTTATCAACGATACAGTCCGGAACTAGAACTTGACGAACAATCAACTCCATCTCTGCACGTTCAGCTTCCGCCTGCATTTCGTGGAGCTTGTTCGTTTCGTCTGCCGTTTTCTTTTCCCAGTGCTGAACTTCGGATGCTACCCTTGCGCGTTCCTCTGCTGCTTGCACAATTTTATCCTGCACATGTGAGCATCTAACCGAAATTCAGCGCGCAAGTTCGATACCTTCACAGCTTGCTTTGTGGTATCAAACTCATCCAGCTCGTGTTGTATCCTGTCTCGCTCTGCCGTGAGCTTGGCCTTCTCCTCATTCAAGATATTGCCCTTTGGAGCGATAGCTGTTGCCTGCTTGACCAAGTCCTCCTTTTCTCGTTGCGAACGCTATTCATGGTGATAGTCAGTGTTCCATTTGCAAAATTTGGGGGAAATCGCACCCCAAGTAGGTCTCGAAGAACCCCGATTTGTATCGAGTCTTCTGTGTTGAGCTGGGTCATGAGTTCGTCTAGGCGCATCTTGGCTCTATGTCTACGTTCGTCTGTTGTTCGCTCTCGGGCCTGGCAATGGCACGCTATGAAACTTAGACCCAAACAGCAATTCAACAACTCACTTTGAGATTCTGGAGATCTCGTTGTAGAGTGTTCCGTTGGTGAGTTAGTTTCTCTAACTCGGCCTGTAGGTTCCGACGTTCTTCTTCGCATCGAGTCTTTTGCTGAATGTATTGCCTTTGTACAGTCAAAATAATATGCGCCGGATGAGATGCAACTCACTCGATTTCAACATTCGCTTGCGCAGCGGCGAGAAGCATAGGGTTAACCTGCCTGCCACTACTTGGGACGGATGATTCCCCTCCGTCGCTGTGTAAATATAGTCAGCCACAGTGTCGCCAGGATCATGTAACCACTTACGACCAACGGACGAGATTAAACCCATCCTTTGTCCAAGCATGACCTTGACCCAGCTCTCGAAGAATGCCTTGCCCTTCCAAACGGGTGTGAGCGAGGACACGACTTTCGATGGAAGCCTTGTTGATCAAGATACGCAGGACGTGAGGATCGTCAAACTGGCGCAAATATCAGTTTCTTGATAAGGATCAATGTAGGAGCTTCAGACCTCGAGAGTACGGAGAACAGTCAGAACTCCTTCTGGAGGCTCGCCCTCACTGTAGTCAAATATATCAGGAGAGAATATATGAACTGCAGTCTGGGCACTGAGCGGCGGAAGATGAGTCTTAATTAAACAGCAAGATTCTTCACTCACTTCTTCGTGCTTTGGAGAATCCTCCGAAGAGCCGGCAGGTCACGTGGGTCAGTGATGGCAAAAGACGTCAATTGCTTGCTCAGTTGCTGACGCAGCAGTGGTCCGAAGTCAGGCTGTAGCAGCTTGACATGCAGCCCTAGCGGTCCCAACGGGGTTTGACCATACCACTGACTCTCTCCAATTTGCTTGATGACGGACTGGATATCATTACCGTAGACGGCGTAGCGATCTTGTTCAGCCTTTTCGCATTTTTGGATGGCTTCTTCGGCCTGGCGAATCTCCAGCTGTAAATCATTGGCTCGGCGTCCAGCAGAGGTTTCGCTTTGCTTCGATTGATTGAGCGAGACTTCATTCTTCTGGATATCTCTGCGAATCTGTTCGAGTTCGGAACGAGCCGCTTCTTGCTGTTGTTCCACTTCGTTGCGCTGGTTCTGTATTTCCCGGCGTGCAGATTCGGTGTCTGCTGCGAGGCGCTGTTCTTCCGTGGCAATTTGGTCCAGGTGATTCTTGATAGCAGCATCAACCGCTTCAATTTCTCTGCTCATGCCCTTCATCTCTGCCTTTATACGATTTAGTGAAGGTTTCGACACCAGTGGGAGACGTGGACGCACACGAAAGCCCTCGATATCATCATTTTTCGCGCGAATCTTCATCTGAATCTCTCTCTTTTGGCTTTGAAGGTCATCGGGTGTGCCGATAGCGTTGTGTTCGGCCTCAAGAGACGCCTTCAGTTCGTTCACTTTCGCGAGGTTATCCTACATTTGATGGCAATCAGTCAGACAAGTCAAGGTAAACCAAAAGCAAATCTGGAACCTTCGCTGCGCCGAGCTTCCCGTCGACCTGAGCCAGACGGCGCTCCTGCTTCACGATTTTCTCCTGACGCGTCTGCAATTCGGATTGCTTGGCCTTGACGTGGGACCAGGCCAGCTCAATGACAAGCCCTTTGGCCGTCGCAGCCATCTTGCGGGCTTGCATCGCTTCATTAACCCGGGTCTTGGCATCTTCGAGGCTCTCCTTGAGGTCTGGGATTGCCTTTTTCTTCTGATTGAGAATGCGCTCGGTCGCGAGAAGATTGGTGTGACATCCCGTATACTCCTCCCAAAGTTGCGATAGTTGCGTCCCCCGCATGAAAAACTGGAGGGGCGAAAAGTTGAGTTCTAATCGATCTTCAAAAAAGCGACATTTACCTTGTACTTGTCTCTTGCAGAAGAAGCACCAAGGAACTGCCGGGCGGAGTCTACCGATCATGGCATATCAACAAAGGCTTTGTAACGGTTGGGTCAACTATGGCGAACCTTGGGTCAGCACGGTGAGCGGGTTGTCGATTTGAATATTCATATGGTCGCAAATAGCCGTGAGTTCGTCCCTGCGCGTACTAATGATGCGACCCTCCTTGGTCTTGATCTTCCAGGAGCCGTTGCCCTCCTTCGTAAAGCGACGGTTGATAACAATAGATTTCCCATATTGCTCAGGCTTGTATGCTTCTTCGCCCTGGTTCTTCAATGTGAGAGTTACTTCGGCAACGCTAGTAAATGCATCAGCACAAAGAAAAACCGTATCATATGAACGCACGATTGTCCTTCACGGATAAAGGATTTTATCCCAGTTCCACGGCCTGTGGAAGAGGTCTTGCCGCCCAATGCTATCGTGATGGCGGTCAACACTGCACTCTTCCCACCTGGTCGAAAATAAACAACGCCTGATTAAACTTGCATTAAAACCTACTTCCGTTGTGGCCTTTGAGTGGTAGTTCTTCAGAAGGGCATTATCCTCCTAGGAGACCACTCACCGATGATGAAATTCATCTGTGGCCCGAAACTGACATTGAGATGCTGGTGGCACATGAACTGCTTCAACTCAATGCCCTCGAGGATGCCGCTCTCCGCAACGCTCTAGCCATTATTAGCAGAGTGGCGAAAGGCATATTCGACTCACCCCAAACACATTTTTCTTGTTCCGCTTACTTTCGTAGGTAGCACGGATATAGGCTCCATACTGTGCTTCAAACTCACTCTCCGTTTCATCGTCCTCTCGTTCGGGGTCCGAATCTTGCTCAGGCGCCTTGCCGTTGTCTCTTGCGTAGGATGTCGGTTCATCGTCGGTCCGCGCCCGTTTGTGCGGAATGTCGTCAATAGACGAGTCGCTGGAAGTTTCGGAAGTGGCTCGTCGTTTGGGCATTGCGACTATCAATTGTCTGCAATGTAGATTTCCTGTTCATTGATAAGATACCATGCTCGGAGCGTCAGGAATGAAGCTGTACCGGAAGATCGTCGAGCAACACCTCATGGGTGCGTGAAAAACAATGTCAAACCTACATAAATCACCCCCGTGACCGTGACTTTTTCAAGTTGCTCCCAAATTCTCAGCGTTTGACGCGATCCTTCCCCGGAGTACTTTGGTTCTTCACTCGACAAAGATAGAACGGGCAGTAGCGACGCAAGAAATGTTTTCCGAACGAGTCGATCAAAATCAATCCGTCTCTCTACCTCAAACTACCACTAGAACGTGAAGGATGAACGTCCACACGCCTCGCAAAATTCTTGTTGTGGGTGGGGGACCCTGCGGGCTTGTAACTCTGCGCAATCTCATAGACCGAGGACAATTCGAGCAAGCTCTACTTGTTGAAAGACGAGACGATGTTGGCGGCGTCTGGTCAGTGCGTTCATTTTTGGATCACACTCTGTTCTCAAAAGTTCATGTCAGGTATTTGGAAGACCCACCACTGCCTGGGGTGCCTCGCGATAGGCCATACTGGCCATCTCCTGCCTATCCGGCTCTCGTCGGCAACGTCTTGTCCGAATATCTGTCCTTCTCACACCATCCATTTCCTGAGCTTCCCTCACAACTTCATCCATATCCGACCCTCCTCCAAACACATCAATATCTAAAGCGTTTTGCGGCACCTTTCCTTGAGTCCGGCCATATTCTTTTGTCAACAGAGGTGGTTTGGGTCGATGAGTTGGCCGATGGACAAGGCTGGAATGTGACTTTGCGAGATTGGCGATCTGGATCAGCGGGGAACGAGCGGGTAGAGACTTGGGATGCGGTCGTCGTGGCCACTGCATGGTATGACTTTCCATCATGGCCGGATGGCGTTCCAGGGCTGGCTGAAGCGAGAGAAGCTGGTTTGGCAACACACGCGAAGAATTGGAAGGGGCCAAGTGGATACGAGGGAAAGGTCTGTTATTTGTCGGGTCTACCTTTGTGGTGGAAATTCAATCTCATTAGAAAATCGTCGTCGTCGGCAACGCCAATTCCTCGAACGACATCGTGGCCCAACTCAAATCTGTTGCTCAAACGCCTGTTTACCGCTCCATTCGTCGACAGGGCCTGCGGAGATTTGCTTTCCTCCCCGATAACCGAGTGGTCGATGTTGCTCAAATCGCCTGCTATTCAATAGACGCCAACAAAAAGCTTGATTTAGAACTTCTTGATGGACAAATTCTTACTGGAGTCGACAGTGTCATTTTGGGCACAGGCTATAAAGCTGCTGCCGCGCCATTCGTTCGATTACTCGAGAATGAAGTCATGACTCCGATGACTTCATCTTTAACTATGCCACCAAGAATCCCCGCGCTTTACGAGCACATCATATATTCGCGAAACCCCAGCCTTGCGTTCATCGGCACCATTATGTCATACACACCATTCACACTGGCGGATGTTGCTTCGACATTCCTCTGCCTCGTCTGGAGCAAACATATCACTATTCCCAACTCGCTCGAGGGCCGGCTGGCCGGAGAGCAAGCCCGGATTGCCTTTGTCGAAGCGACACGGAGACAAATAGACGACCCGTCATCATTCGTGGCCTATCATATTCTTGCTGCTGCCGAGCAGGGCTATGCCCAAGGACTGAAAGACGCAATCAGAAAGGTTGATTCGGATGGGGCGAGGAAGTGGGCGGAAGCGTTGCCGGAATGGGAGGATGGTGATTGGAAGCGGAGGGAAGGCATGTATGAGCGAAAATGGGCCAGTTTGGAGGCAGAGGCCGCAGGGGAAGATCAGTTTAAAATGGATGCAAGGTTATAACCGCGCTGTGATTGTACGGTTTGGGCTACAAAAGACCGAGCCAAGACTACTTACTGATCATCGGCATTCCTATATCTTGTACCGCTCACTGCAACTCGGTCATTATCATATTTGTTTTGCGACTGCTTCTACGGTGGTCTTTCCTTTCCTCTCCCAAAGTAGTTGTACCCTCTTGTTCCACTTCCCTTCAAGGCTGAACTTGTGCAATATTAATTTGGCCATCTCTCCCAAAGCGCGGTGGATTTGCCATAGCATTTACCTTCAACGAACCGCGCGGCCAACGTATTGATGATCGCGACGAAAGCAACAGGCCATGCCTGCCGCGTAGGCAAAGGCACAGAGGATTGTATGCACGTACTTAGTGGTTCAGTTATTTCGATGACACCACAGGGCAAAATGAGAAAAAGCTCGGCCGCCAACACTGGAAAAGATTCGAACAAGGAGCAATTGAAGCTGACCACGATCAATGAATTTCGGTAGCATGTACTAGTGTGTTGACTATATGACAAAGTGGTCTGACGCTCCAGTTTGCTCAGTCGAGGAAAGTGGAAGTAAAGGAAGACATACATGTCAGTGTAGGCTGTCTGCAAACTGCATGTATCACAATTGGAGGCATTCGACTCTCAGTGTCTCTCACTCTCCCAGGTAGGCTGTAACATTACTCATGCTGAAGTTGGCTGAGATGGGAGAAAAATGGGAAGTGAAGGAAGACATACGTGTCGGTGTAGGATGTCTGCCAAGTCACACTCCGGAGCGAGCCTATCGAGAATGACGCGGGTAACGAGCCTGGCGCCAGCGTGTGTACGAGTCCAGTGGTGGTGGCGGCACTGGCGATGTGCGGTAGGGGTGCCAGCGCCTGGTCTGGAAAAAATATTGAGTAAGAGTTGACAGTGAACCTGTAGCAAGAACAAACTTGCGATCGGCTGAGACTTTTTGCACGCATTTCTTCCAAGACATCTCGAGTCACATTCTCCCTTGCGATCTGAGCACGAGAAAAGGATCTCGCCGGCATGCTCGCCCAGTGCTTAGTTGTAACTCGCCGAAGCGGTTCCAACAACCCCCATAACCATGTCAGGTGGACAGGAAGTGAGCTTTCTTCCTCGCTGACGAAGTAGTAGAAGACGGCGAGGTCCAGATGCCTCGAATCGGCGATTGCGGGAAGATTGAGGTTGTTCGCGATGATCGACATTCGAGCTTTGTTATCGAAGGTCGCTTGTCGAATCCACTGGTGGGATTGAGCATCCAAAAACAAAAGAAGCAGGCAAACACACCGTCAACTCGGCCTGGGGCAACTTGGGGGCCGCAAAATGAAGAACACCATTCGCATCCCTGGCCAATCTCTTCCGACCACAATCGAGTGCCTTGATATATATCTCGCTGCTGCTCCTTAGGCCACGCATAATCTCAAAAGCGGACAGGGAACGTCGATGAGGACAGACATGGAAAAGTTGTCCAGGTGATAGAGACTCGAGTAATCGACGGAACTCGTAGGAACTCTGGCGTTCTTCGTTCCGGGGACGACTCGCGCGTATGTTTGTTGGCGTGTTCATGAGGAGGAGAGTCTAGTTATGGTGTGTGATGAGCGAGGTGAGACAAGGAGCTTTCATATCGAGCGTAAAATGTCTTTGTCATATGAGAATAGTCTGTCGGGGAATAGTTGTCCTACACCAAGGTCCTCGGTCACTTCTGCTTTCATCTCTCTCATCTTCACTCCCTGAAATAGGTCAGCGAGGTGTTGGTAAACAAGATGTGCTGTTGACCTTGACATCACTATGTCAATTAGATCCATGAATATATATTCCATCCATGCGTAAGCTAAGGTCCAGTTGTAGCGTGCCAGGGCTGAAATATAAACTTCGAAAGCGTCGGCCTTCTCTTTTGCGAAGGGTTGTTGGCAGACGCCAAAGGCACAGAGGAGAGCATGGAAAGTCGTATTTGACAAGAGAATCTTTCGAGCCACCTGCAGGATTAGATGCCTGTCCCGACCCGGCTAGAGCCATTCACCTCGCGTTCATGGTTTAAAGATTTAGGGTATCGGTGAGCCTGCAACATTGCCACGCACTCTGCCACGATGACGTCTCCTCGAAGCTGGTTGTTCCCAAGCGTCTCTCGGTTGTCTGGATCATCAAGACCGTCCCAGATAGCGTCCGGAATCCAGGGTAACCGGTCAAAGCGGGTTCGTGCGATATGGCGATTGACGCGTTGCTGCAGCTTGAAGGCTCGAAGCGACAGATGTGACGGAAAATTGCGCGGTTTCGACGAAGGGACTTGGTTCGTGATATCTCGTAGAGGCATAAGAAAGATAGACTATAGATTGTTGTGTGTGGTGGGAGAAGACAAGTGAACTTGACAACGACGTCGCACTGGATCGTGATTGCTCTTCTGCGACTTACATAATTTCGAAGCTCAGCAAGTCGCAGCCCACAATTGGATGATATCAGATTAGAAAGGTTGTGCAGTGCAGAAAAATCGTTGCAAAGCAAATTACAGATTTACAAAAGTAGAGAAACGAGCGGTGCAGAGCGGAGCGACATCTTCCGTAACATTAGCGCCAGTATTTTTACGACTGGCGGATCCATCGGGGAGCGCTTGATGATACAGGGCGCGCAAAAGAGCTTAACCTAGAAGCTAGCGCGGAGTCGTTCGCTCGAACCTGCTGCAACGCAAGTCGAGTCCCGGCAGCGCACCCTCCCAGGCCGCCTTCTGCCCCTTGACCTCCCCTTTGGCGAGTTGTCGTTGTCGAAGACTTGAAGTGAACCTCGGACTTGAAGAATGAACCTAAACAGAATCGGGTCCATGGATGTCCGGGAGTCGTGTCCACACTGGGAAATTCAGGAAGAGTCGCCCACTCGTTGCCGCTCGTGAAAAACAGGTTCTGGTGACAGTGCATGCTGAGACGTCGGCTTCCCTAGCATCGAGGCCAGTATTTTTGCGACTTGTAGTGCAAGGGGAGGGGTAAGTGTGCAAGTCGCGCAAGAGGACTTCAGCCTTGAACCCAAGTACCGGGTCACCAAAAAGGGTCCCCAGCAGCCGGGGCACGAAGGTTGTCCACTGCCACTTGCTCTCCCTTCTTTATTGCCAGTGAGGAAGGGGGGCACGTCGCATCGGCACTGGGGAATTCGGGAAGAGACGCTCAGCAGTTCCTGGTGTCGTCGCAATGTGATCGAGTGGAATAATCAATCGAGAGAAGTCGTGTGGTGGCTAAGACATGCCTGTGCAAGACGAGATGGAACTACGAGCTAGATATCAGTAGGTCCTGATCAAGTAGGCGAGTAACAACGTACTGAGAACAGTGGAAATTGAGGAATGAGAAGACGATTCAATTCAGTGTTGTGATGGGTAGCCTGAGTGTGTGCTGAGACGTGGTCCTCCCTCGCATCAAGGCCAGTATTTTTGCATCGTTGAAGTCGTGGTCCGTCCAATGAGAGTAATTTTGAATAGAAGCTAGAAAGAATCGATAGATCATCACATAGACAAAAAAAAACGTACTTGGAGTTCGGTGTTGATAGGTGGGTAGCCTGAGTGCGTCCTGAAGCGTCATCTTCCCTAACATCAAGTCCAGTATTTTTGCAGCGGAGGTGTAGTCCAATGGGAGTAATTTAAATAAGTTAGTCGCGCAGAAGGACTTGAGCACCATGACCTATGCCCGCTGTGGTCTAAGCCTGCGTCGCCATAAGTTAATAAGCGCCTAGCGGGCACGGGCACAAGGGCTGTCCTCTGCCACTAGCTCTCCCTTCTTGGTTACGTCCTGGAGGGGGAGCCTCGTCGCATCGGCACTGGGGAATTCGGGAAGAGACGCTCAGCAGTTCCTCATTATCGGCAAGCCGGTCTCGAGGTCGTCGCAAAAAGCCATCTGCAAATTCAAGTCAGTGGGATTTGAGGAGTACTATTAGTGACCAACTGACGATTTCGACATGCGCGCAATGGGTCCAGCAGATCGTAGAAGCTAATGACAAACGATGAGGGTGGAAGACCAGTGTTGAGACAGAAATCACCTCAAGGCGAAAGGAAAGAAACGGTCTGCTGTGACCATGCCGTTACAGTGGATCCAACGACTTAAAAAGCAATCCAGTTGAGACTGTTTCGGATGCACAGCCGAAACCGCACCACCTTCCGCCAGCGGTTGTCTTGGGTGTTTGCTTTCAGAAGGTTTCATAGTCTGACCCGATGCTCTCATGAGAATAGGATGGAAATTTCTAGTAATGTACTTGAAGAAAATATATGATAGACTAGTTCAAGCGATGTGGTTCGAGCGATGCCGGGACCTCGAGTCGAGTGGTGCAGGGCTATAGGTCATGTGAGGCGCAATGGCTCGGGATACGCTGGGCCAGTTATCTGTCTCTTCGTCCGGTGCCTGGATGCAAAGTCAGCAGCTATCACAACCGTGTTCGTCCGCACTCACACCTGTATACCCCAGCCACTGAATAGTTTCGATGACGGTCCGGGTGGTCGTTTGATCTCTGGTGTCGAGGCGCTGACGAAAAGTCGCTCTGGAGTTTGCAATCATCACTCGTGCAGGACTCAAAAGATTCCAGACCCAGGTTTGATCAAACGGCACTGCTCTTTCCAGTTCTGCGATGAAATAGTACAAAGCGTAAAGGCCGTCACTGCGTCGGCGAATCTTTTTGCAGGGAGGTATCTTGAGTAGTTTGACTAGCTTGTGGATACGTTTCGAATGACTGCAAGTAGCAGCTCGGAGTAGCTGCCAGTGGATAATGATAAAAAAACTCATCGACCTCAAAACCAGAAACATACGGTGAGATCGCCACTAGAGGCGTTGGGCCAAGCGTGTAAGAACACCGAAAGACAGTCGCGTATAAACAGCGTTTTCCCTCTGTCAATTACACCAGCAGCGCGAGAGGGTTCAAGCAAGGATAGACTGCTGAGGACGCCTAGTGGAGGGCTGGCAGTCACGTCGAACAGGCTACCAATGGAGCACGATTTCAGTTCTAGGCGAAACTGCAGGCGAGAATCGTCGTGGTCGTCATCGTGCCAGTGGCGTGGGACGTAGGGTTGGGGCTGGCGGCGTGTCGTTGTCAAGTCTCGTATTTTCTGGGGAGAAAGCCAGCCTGCGAACGGATTGGGGATTGTCCAGAGAGTATTGCAGTGTGCGTATGTCTCAAGACGTGTTCGTTTGAGGGGGCTTGGCTGCTCCGAGTCTGCTTCTTCAAAATTCTTGCGTTTTACTCCGCAGCCCCGTCTTGAACAATCGATTGAGGGAATAGAACAGTGAAAAGAAAGACGCACGGGCTCATGACGATATGTATCAGATCAGAGAAGACACGTTCCAGCCAGGTTTCTGCCAAGATACAATCTGACTTGACCAGAGCGCGAAAGTATATTTCAAAGGCATTTGCAACAGTCTTATCGAATGGCAGGCGTGTCGCTTCGAACCGGACGAGGATGGCGTGAAACGTAGCATTGGAGACCAAGGATCGACGAGCTCTCTGGAGTTGGCTGATGAGAACGGGGGAACGATAGTACCTCATTTAACATAAACGCACCTGCCGCTCAATCACAGAGCTCCGTGGATACAACATCTCTTGCTGAGTGGCCATAGAAGCATTGACATCAGCGTCGCCTTGCGTTTCACTTGATCCAAAAGATTGCCTATTATTGTAGAGAACGTGGTCCCAGTGTCGAATATCAAGTTGCGGAAACCAGATTTTGTGGGGAAGCACGCTAATGTACCAAGTAATTCGTTGCTGATCAGTTGCAGGCAGCGGGTGAAGGCGAAAAGGCGATTTCTTCTTTGAGGTAGTTGGCGGGGAAGGCGAGGAGCTCAGCGAGAAGGAGGTATCACTGCGAGACTGAGGCATTGGACGAGAAGAGAACGAAGACTGGGGAGGTAGGATGGAAGGAGAAATGATGTTATGTCACATCCTCCGCACTCTATGACACGCGCGACAATGTAGGTATTATTTCCAAAATAGACTACGTAGCAATGTACAGAATACTACAAGCGTTGAGGGGAATAACAATCTCAAGAATGTCTGCCAAAACCTATGAGTTAAGCGATTGTAGCAAATGGTAGTACGAACTGTGATAGTCTGTGGTGTTCGAGCCCTTCCTTCGTGAAGACCCGCTTCGAGGTAGGACACTGTTTGCAATGCAGTCGGCCTTTGAGATTGGCAACGACAAGATCAGGATCTTGATCCTTATGGCTGTAATGCGAGATGATCTGACAATATTGACCATTCTTTGGTCGCACTCACCAATCCACGATGTGGTCCCCCATTCCGACACGTGAAATCATTCGCTCGCAAAAACGACATTGTACCTTCCCTCCTCCAAGGCCAAGTGCGGATATTTCGGCCAGAATCAGTGACCGATTGTCCTCCCAAACTGAAAGCCATTAACCCGTCATCCAGATTTGGTATCACAACTTGAACAGACCCTTGCGAGTAATCAACGCGAGATCGCGATTGAACGAGGCTAGTATTTGTTGCACCTTCGGCACATCCTGAAAGCGCTTTGGTTTGATGTTTTCTTTGGCCCAGACGCTTTGAAGACTAAATTGGCAAGTCAGACCCAAGCCAGAATATCAGAGAAACGAACTGAACAACTGTATATTCAGTGCTATAACATCCTTCTTCTCTTGCAGGTACTTGGCCGACCAAGCTTCCAGTTTTTTAGCGTTCTGATGCAAGTTAAGGGAGTAAGCTCGAATGACATGAGCAAACCTTCTCCAACAGCGGTCGGGCGCGTTCTCGACGGCCATATTCCTGAAGCAAATCTAAGCTTGTTTCGACGCAAAATCCGTGACCTACCTCCACAAGCGCCGTTTCGTTGCGAAGTACGAAGATGCATGATGCTGGTGGCCGATGTCCCCGGAGAGTACCTGCTCGCGTGAAAATGGCCGCCGCTTTGGCTTCTGCTCGCGCCGTTTGAAGAGATTTGAGATTGTAAACGTAGGTTGTAGTATTGAATATGGCTCTGGGTAGCCATTTACCAAATGAAAAGTTGTCGTATTCGTGCTTGATATCGAAATAGAGGAACCTGGATCTGAGTGGGCTGTCAGTTGCTGAGGGAAAGATAGAATTAGGAGCACGAACGTCTTGAGAATTCTTGCGCAGCGAGGCTAGGAAATAGTCAAGGGCAGATATGTATTGGACGAGAAGTTGCGCACCGAGCATGCTCTTAGCCGCAAAAGAAAATGAGAGGGTAGCGATGATGTCAATTGACCACAGTGCTTTACCATTCAGTCAATAGGCGCAACAGAATGAGCACAAATGAGCCCATACCGAACACGGCCCTCCTTGGAAGATCCATCTAGCATATGCGACTTGAGAAAAATTACCACTGGCTTCTATTGCTGGACAGGAAGGGGGAAGTGGGCATTGACCGCGTGAAACGTTGGAGAATGCGATGGACCACAAGTACGAGTGGTCGTTTATTAGCCTACGAAGGGAAACGGAGGTGGCAGCGAGCTCGACCAGATCGAATGGGCTGCAATGCTCGAAAATCTGGAATCCCATCTAAGCTTTGCAATAGTCAGCCGCGGCACAAGTTTCGACCCACCAGCAAGCCAATATCGCGAGGGAAGGCAGCAAAAACTTGAAAGGAAGTGTCGCCTGCATGTGTGGTTGGGTTGGGACGAGGCATTTATGAAAGGTATTGCGTCGTTGTGATGGTGAAAGAATGAAAGTGCGTGACCGTTTCCATCTCCGAGTCTCCATCCTCACTACTTATCGACTCCAGATCGACTCTCTATAGCCTCCTGAACCAGCTGCATTGCATTTTGATACCTTGCAGTGAACCTTTCAATTGACGGAAGCGCAGATAGCCGGTGTTACCGTGACACGGTATGTCCAGTTGTCCGCCTGACCGCGATGAGAAGCTTCAAATTGGTTCCGGAAACATTGGTCTCGAGCTACTATGTCGACTCTCCCAAAGACCATGAAAGCTGTCCGCTGGCATCCACCATCGTTTGACATCCGAGTTGAGGATGTGCCTGTACCAACGTGAGTTGCTTCTCCACCTGTCTTGTTAAGCCTCAGGAGACGCGATAAACAGGATCCAAGAGCCGGACGATGCAATAGTCAAAGTCACTGTGAGTCTTGCACTCTCATTGTTCAGCAACCATGCTGAAACCTGACAAGTTGGCTGCTTTATGTGGTCGGTTTGCAACTATTCGTGGTTCGAACACATTTTAAAAGCTACCTCTTCAGGGAGCGATCTCCATGTTTATCGAGGACACGGAGGCGTTAACCAAACGTTCATTATAGTTTCTACAGTCGTTCCAAACGCTGACTTCTCAAAGCCATATCTCTGGTCACGAATTCATGGGCGAAGTGGTGGAGCTTGGGTCAAGTTATGGTGCTAGCAGCGCACAAGGAAGACCTGACCTATATGCAAGTTTGAAGGTTGGGGACAAGGTGTGCTTATTGTCCATCATTCATCGAGTCGTTGACCTGTTTTAGGTCGTGTCCCCTTTCACGGTGAATTGTGGCGAATGCAAGTATGTCCATGTCCTTTTTGTCTAAATAGCCTTGATAAAAATAGTGTCTGTCGCCTCGGTTATACCTGTCGCTGTCCCACGGGTGCGCTCTTCGGTAGTCCAGCTCTTGAAGGTGGTCAAGCACAATATATCAGGGTCCCGAAGGCGGGGGGAACGCTATTCAATCTCAGCGACCCGAGTTCTTGGCATTCAACAATGTCGAACGAAACGAGAGCAACAGCGCTCGAGGGAATAAACGACAGTTCCTTACTCATGCTTGCCGATATTCTCCCAACTGGAGTATTCGCCGCCTTGCAAGCTGTAAACCACCCCAAAGTTGCCCCTGCTCTCACAGGGCGTGCCTGGCCGGCTAGTTTCTTCTCGGATGGACAGAGTGGGGGTGTTAGCGCTATGACAAATGAAGACCGCGCGTTAACATTCGCCATCATTGGACTCGGTCCTGTTGGGCTTTGCGCTTCTGTGAGCCTGCTGGATATGCTTTCAGCACAGTCTCTTCCGTTTCAAATCGTTGCCATCGACCCAGTGGAGGAGCGAAGACAAAAGGCGATGGCGATCTATAACAAGATCGACGCTTCTGGGAAAGGATCGGGCCAGTTCGTTGCCCTTGGAATCGACGACGCAAAAGAACAAGTGAAGAATTGGACCGGTGGAGTCGGAGCCACAGCGATTCTCGAGGTTGTCGGCAATCCCAGCGCGATCTCGCTTGCATATGACTTAGTGCGGCCATTTGGAGCGATCGTCTCAGTTGGTGTTCATGGAGAACCACAAATGCCGTTCACTGGACGGCAGCTCTACAACAAGAATGTCTCCTTCGACTTTGGGTGGGCTGCTTCAATTAGGTCAAGGGTTTAACTAACGCCAATCAGTCGATGCCCCGCTCGCGCGATGTTCCCGATGGCATTTGAACTTTTGGGTAAGATTCATTGTCCTATTAAGAGGAGAGCACGGCCTCACAGAAACTAGTCAAACGACAAGACGTGTTTGGTGGTATTGGAGGTCCCGACAGTCTCGTGGACCGCATCGTTGGCCCAGATGAGGCTCCTGAGATGTACAAACAATTCGAGCAGAATCAGGTTGGAAAGGTTGTGTTTGATATGTGGAAATAAACAAGGAAGGAGAGGAACAAGTCACAAGTGTACAATACTAGCGCCTCTGTAGCTTATTCCCGACTCCGGCACTGGAGTGGCCATCACTTCGATCAACGGTTTGACCACTCTTAGCCTCCTCCCCAAACGAAGCCTTGCGGTGAAGGTGAGGACCATGTCTTGCGTGCTCCCTTCATGGCGCATAACTTTGCGCGTCCTAGAAATCTCCGACGACGGAGGCCCCGCCGAATGGACCTTCCTCCAACACCAATCACGAACGGAAGTAATGGGATCGACCACGCAGCTCCGCCAGCGCCAGCAAGTGTAGTTGCCTTCGATACGGAAGTTTTTCGCGTCTATCTGAGAGCATTACTGCCTCCAGTAATCGCGGCTTCTCCAGACGACGTGGAATCCCTCTTTGACGACTCCTTTGACGACCGTGTCGCAAAGTTTGCTTCTGACCCAGCAGCGACCTTATATGTTGTAAAATCGAGGTTTAGTGGGGAAGAGGGGACCGAAGGTGTGTATGGCCCAGTTCATCTCCGATACAAACTACTCAGAATCGGAACCAACCAGACGAACCGTCATCCTACGAATACTCCCTCACCTCCCAGCTTACTTACCACTCATCCCATGTCCTCACCCTTGCCCTCATCAAACGAAGTCCCGTTCTTGACCCCTCGACATCCCTCGCAACCCAGTTACACTTCCTCAACTTGTTTGGGGGAGACGAAACACCATACGAGAGTTTGCATGCCGTCGTTTCCTACGGTGTGAAACCATGGTTTGACGCATTCGTCGGCTCGCGGGGGTCTGGCGCTGTGGGGAGGGATAACGCGGACAGCAAAACAGGCATTCCAATGACCAAGAAAAAGTTCGCGGAGTTGGAGTTGTCTCTGTTACACCTCCAACAAAATGTTGAGATTCCTGAGACGAATCTTGTCATCCATCCGGTGATTCAACGGGCTGTTGAGCAGGTGCGTGGTTTATTTTTAATGATCATGCTCTAACAATATGCCCAGGCTCAAGCAGCCAACGCTCGACCAAGTATAAATGAGCTTCCTGCCAAGTTACTTGCCGACAGTGCTTTCCTGAACTCTCTACACGCCAATGTCAACTCATGGATACGATCTATTCAGGCCGTCACCAAGCTGAATCGCGATGTAACATCTGGGACGGCTTCGCAGGAAATCAATTTTTGGATCAGTTTGGAGCGTGAGCTTGAGGGTATCGAGACGCAACTCAGGAGTCCAGAGGTCGAGATGGTCATGGATTGTTTGCGCAATGCCAAACGATTCAGGGCCACAGTCAGTTTCATCGCTGATACGGGCTTGAAGAACGCGGTGGAGTCGGTTCACAAGTACAACATTCTTATGAAGGACTTCCCGTTGGACGAGCTTCTGGCAGCAACCGACCTGGGCAAAGTCCAAGAGGCGATTTCGCTGATTATGCAACATGTCAACCGCAAGCTACGACTTTCCCCGTATCCCATTCGCCGAGCTCTTCCCCTCGTTGAAGCCATTTCTCGCGATTTCAACGACCAACTTCTGCGCATATTAACGTCCCATCGCTTGCCGTATACACCCTATGAGACCTTCGACCGCCTTCTTGGCCAAGTCACCGCCATATTTCGGACTTGGGATGAACTCATCAAAGAGTTCACCAACGTTGCTCGCGAAGTAATGCGTAAACGAGATGAACGGTTCATTCCTATCAAGGTCGTAAATGCCCATGTGAAGCTGCAAGAACGAACGCGGTATCTCCGCGAATGGCGAAAGCAACACGAACAATTGGCGGTTATGACCGGCCCAACACGTGGAATTAGTGGCAGCGTGTTGGATATGGGTATCGGCGGAATGGATATGGAGGAGGAGGTTAAGGAAGCATACGAGATTGTGAAGAGTATTGACGTGCTTGATGTTTCGGTGGAGGGGACCGAAATTTGGATTGCTGCTGAACAAGCGTACAACGAGCGGGTATCGAGGGTCGAGAACCAAATCATCGCCAGACTACGCGATAGGTTGGGCACGGCGCGAAACGCCAACGAGATGTTTAGGGTTTTCTCAAAATTCAATGCGCTCTTCGTTCGCCCCAAGGTTTGCATATATGCTTGTATGTCAACCTTGAGTTACTCACCGTATGCCTAGATTCGAGGAGCTATCCAAGAGTACCAAACACAACTGATCGACTCCGTCAAAGAAGACATCAAACTTCTACATGACAAGGTCAGTTTGTACACTTGTTGTTTCGCCTTTCTCAACTGCCCAGTTCAAAACACGTTTCCGTGATTCGGAAGCCTCCCATATGTCGCAAATGCGCGACCTTCCTGCCATATCCAGCGCCATTATTTGGGCACGTCAAATCGAACGACAGCTTCTTACCTACATGAAGCGGGTCGAGGATGTCCTAGGAAAAGGATGGGAGCTTTACGCAGAGGGTCAGAAACTGCAATCGGAGAGCAGCGCATTCCGGAAGAAGCTCGATACTCGACCAGTCTATGATGCTTGGCTGCACGATATCAACCGACGCAATATGGGTGTTGATGGACGACTATTTGAGATCATTCGTCCGCGAGGGAGTGGAAGTGCTGCTGGATTATACCAATTGGCGGTGAACTTCGACCCACAGATCATAACACTTTTCAAGGAAGTGCGGAATCTATTGTGGTTGGGCTTTCAAGTACCACATGCCGTAGCAAACATGGCCAAGGAGGCGAAGAGAGTCTATCCTCACGCAGTCAGTCTGATGGAGACGGTGCGGACGTATGGGCAAACGCTGGATCTTGTGGAGGAGAACAAGGGAATCGAGTGGCTGGTTGCCGAGTATCGGAATGACTCTCAAAAGATGATCTCTAAAGGTAAATTTTCCACACAAGTATCTGGCGACCACCTAACATGACGAAGGGATGAACATCAAATGGGATTACTTCGTCAGTCAATATGACTCGGCAGTGCGGTATCTTCCTAGCGCAGATGGACGAGAGAACCGACATATTCAGTTCGTCCGTGAGTTTGCTAGCGTCATCTCAGTGCTGCAGGACAAGACGAACAACGTCATCGACTTGTACAAGGACATACTACGGGCAGTAGAAGACCTTTCGACCTGTTCATATACGACAGAGGCGTTCTCGGAACTGCTGAGCAAAGTGCAGGGAGCCATCGATCAACTTAACCTCGAGGGCTATGCCAACCTAGAGCAATGGGTAGCAGAACTTGACAAGCGGATTGAGGGTATCTTGCTGCAGCGACTTGTCCAGATCATCGAAGTCTGGTGTGGTGAATTTGACCGAGCCGCGGACGACGCTGATACCGGTGGACGACCAGTTCTAAAAGAAATAACCAACAAGCGGAGAAATGACAAACGAGGAAAGGAGGAGAAGGTCACGTGCTCATTCGGACCAAAAAAAGCTGTTTGACTGATATTCAGCAGTTCTTGGAGGGCAACATGACGCTCAAGCCTGTTGTCCACGAAATACGGATACAAAACCAAGTCATTTTCTTGGACCCGCCAATAGAGTATGCTCGTGCGAATTGGATTCGACAGCTCCATGATTGGTTGGGTGTGGTTTGTCGATTACGGCGAATACAAAGTTCGCGGTACGAAATTGGACTGCAAGTGCAGGGCACGAGTGTAACAGAGACAAATTACACTGCTTTGGTATGTTTTATGTTTGAATTGATCAGTTCTCATAGTGTACTGACAGTTAACCCAACTACCCGATACTGTTCTTCAACGACCATTCGCATTGATCGAGACAAAAGTCCAGCAGTTGACCGAGTATGTCGGGAAATGGCTGCAATTCCAGTCCCTCTGGGATCTCGAAGCCGAATACGTCTTCAATCGACTGGGGGACTCATTGCAAAACTGGCAACAACTCTTGACCGAGATCAAGAAGACACGGTCAACGTTCGACACGTCGGAAACACAAAAGTCGTTTGGGGTGTGCATCATCGACTACGAGCAAGTCCAGGCCAAGGTGAATGCCAAGTACGACGCGTGGCAGCGAGATATTCTCAGTCGGTTTGGAGTCAAGTTGGGCAATGCTATGAAGGAGATGCATGCAGCCATTTTGAAGGCGCGGAATGACCTGGAGCATCACTCAATAGAGGGACTGACTGCGGGAAGGAGGTAGACACCCGTTCTTTACTACTGATACCTACTGGATATGTACTTTCTAGCTAATGACTTAATGACCGGCAACGAAAGAGGGGCACGACTTTCCATATCGGGAAACCAAAAATTTTCATCTTAATGGCCACAACCTCGACAACGCCGGCCCCGCCTTCTGCTGCATCCATACTTTTTGCGCGCGGCGTAATTGCGCGGCTGGCGATATGGGATACCCTCCGACTGGCGATTCAGGAAGGCTGGGGCGGGGGCGCGAATGGCCCAGAAAAACGGACATGGCTAGCGTCCGTCATCGTTGACGCATTCGAGGAAACTGTGCCCATCCCCGACGACCAATATGTCGAAGAAATACTCGTCCAAGTGCTAGCTGATGAATTCGACACGGTTCTGCAGGACGGCAGTGCCGAGCCTGTTGCGGTGGACATCGTTCGCCTGTGGGAAGAAACGAGTATTGGGAAGGACGAGCTCGTGGTCAAGTTTGAGACTAAGGCGGACGGGCTTAAAGGAAAAAAGGCTGTCGCTCAGGAAATTCCTGGCGGAGACGAGGAGGAGTGGATTAGCGATAGTGGGTCTGAAGATGATGATGCAATGGATGAAGACGAGGCACCACAATTAATCGAAGCTCAACAGTCAGAACCCAGAAAACGAGAGGAACCAGAGGTCGACGAAGATGGCTTTACGCTGGTGAAAGGCAAAGGAAAAAGTCATAGATAGGTGCGTCTTTCTAAAATTTTTGACCTTGGCTAACTCTGGTAGGATGATATCTGTATTTTACTTTTTTACTTGTTAGGAGACCGATCATACTGAAGCTTGCTTCTGACCATCATGCCGCCGCCTTCGAAACTTTTCGCCATCCCAGAACTCATCGAGCAAGTCATTGACCACTTATACGCGGACCCAACATCCCTCCTTGCTTGCGTCAGTGTCAGCCGCACTTGGGTTATCCCTACCCAATTCCACTTCTTCAGCGTTATCGACATCAAGTCAGAAACACAATGTCGAAGGCTTTGTGAAGTCATAGCCTCTTCCCCGTATATCGCCTCATACATTCGCACCCTCCGGATCCATTTCCGTACTCCGTGCCTCTCCTTTCTCTCGCCAGACTCCAACTACCCCATCTTCGCACCATCGTTTTGGCTAACTGTCCAAATGTCGAGCAGATGAGGCGTGTAGAGCATTTACTCACCCTACCGTCTCTCAAACAAATCCGCGTTTGGTCGTCTCCAGCAACAAAGCAACCCCAATTAGCTTTGTTGGGGAAAATACGCGGACGTGTCGATACTCTCCAGCTTTCCTGTGCCTCCGATGTTGTCGCAGATGAAGACATGCCTTTCGAGCTCTCACCCGACACAAAACCACTCCAAGTCTCGCATCTCCATCTCACGGGACAAACTATCCGTAACGTGTGTCGTCTCCGCGACCCCAAAGTGCTCATTTCTGGCATAACTCAGCTTACCTATGACTCTTCCTGCATCCAAACGCTGAGCGTCTTGTTGACCTCTGCTCGTTTCCGCGCCCTGAAGAAACTCTCCATTTCTGTGGCCTTCATGGTCAATGCTTGCAAATCTCGCGAATTTACCTCACTATCTATGAACAGCAACTACGAGGATAGGGGAGTGAAATTCGTTCACGAGGCAGAACGGTTTTCGCAGCGACATTGGCTTGCACTCAGTTACCATTTCCTCCCTGAATTGCGGTACTTGCGGCTATATGACGTTGCAGTGTCAAACGAGTACGGATCCGAGAGTGATGCGCTCGAAATGGTCAACGCTGTTGTCCGTCAGTTGGCCGATTCCGAGTCCTTCCTCGACAGCGTCCGTAGGTCGCAGCGAGACGATGCATTGCTTGCCGAGTTAAATCTTACGGTAAAACCTAAGGCCAAAGGCCGTCGAACCGGTCGAACCGAGCCGCCTGTTCAGCCTCCGACCGAACTCGCACAGTTTACCCTCCATCTTTCTCTGCGTCCCTTTCCTCGCAATTGTAGGACACGTGGATCGGATTATCCAATTGAGGCGGCGCTAAATACGACTGACACCTTTTGGCACATGGACGGCAGCCTCAGCGATCTTGCGGAGGGGCCGATAGACCCATTAACTCCATACCGCCTCGCGTGTCTCCGTGTGGACCGTGATGAACGTGCGGTGATAGACTGCAAGACACCCAGAAAACCTATCGAAGGGGGGAGGGGAGTATCGCTGACAGAGACGGAGCAAGCCGCGATTCGAGAACAGCTGCCAAAGGCGGTTGCACTGGGATTGCTTAGGTTCTGACAAAAGACTGTGGTGAATTGAGCGATTGCCGAGTTAACATTCGCAATGGTGTACAAAAAACTTGCGTAGCTAGCTAGTACCAAAATACAGATGTCGATTTGGCTGGGCGCCAAACAGCGATAGACGCCGAATTCCAGCAAGGTCAAACAACCAAGACAGCCGCTGGCGGAAGGTGGTGCGGTTTCGGCTGTGCAACTGAAACAGTCTCAACTGGATTGCTTTTTAAGTGGTTGGACCCACTGTAACGGCATGGTCACAGCAGACCGTTTCTTTCCTTTCGCCTTGAGGTGATTTCTGTCTCAACACTGGTCTTCCACCCTCATCGTTTGTCATTAGCTTCTACGATCTGCTGGACCCATTGCGCGCATGTCGAAATCGTCAGTTGGTCACTAATAGTACTCCTCAAATCCCACTGACTTGAATTTGCAGATGGCTTTTTGCGACGACCTCGAGACCGGCTTGCCGATAATGAGGAACTGCTGAGCGTCTCTTCCCGAATTCCCCAGTGCCGATGCGACGAGGCTCCCCCTCCAGGACGTAACCAAGAAGGGAGAGCTAGTGGCAGAGGACAGCCCTTGTGCCCGTGCCCGCTAGGCGCTTATTAACTTATGGCGACGCAGGCTTAGACCACAGCGGGCATAGGTCAAGGTGCTCAAGTCCTTCTGCGCGACTAACTTATTTAAATTACTCCCATTGGACTACACCTCCGCTGCAAAAATACTGGGCTTGATGTTAGGGAAGATGACGCTTCAGCATGCACTCAGGCTGCCTCCCATATCAACACTGGATTATCTCCTCATCTCAAGTACGTTGTCGTTCGTCTATTCGATGGTCTGTTCATCCTTAATTCGTGATATCAGAACCGTTTTGCACAGGCATGCCTTAATCGTTGCCCATTTTCTCCTGGTTGATTCCTATTCCAGCTCCTTCTACTCGACCACTCCGACTCTATCGCATCAGGAATTGCTGAGCGTCTCTTCCCGAACTCCCCAGTGCCGATGCGACGTGGCCCCCCCATAGGACGTATCCAAGAAGGGAGAGCAAGTGGCAGTGGACAATCTTGGCGCCCCGGCTGCTAGGGACCCTTTTTGGCAACCAGGTACTCTATCGCCAGCAGCATTTGGGTCCAAGGTTCAAGTCCTCCTGCGCGACTTGCCTACGTAAGCCCTCCCTTTGGACTACAAGTCGGAGCAAAAATACTGGCCTCGATGTTAGGGAAGACGACGTCTCGGTATGCACTGTCACCAAAACCTAAGTGTGGATGCTTGTCCGTTGTAATAATAATATTCCCAATACTCTATGCGCATTAAGTCTGCATCAGAGTACAGATCAACTACCAAATATTCCTTTTTGCTAGCGCCAGCCTTCGCACGGATATCGTTGTCCTATTGCCTTCGTTGCGATGCACTCGCGGCAGCGGAGTTTCCGCTCCCCCTGGCTCCCTTCTGTGTTCCACTAGCATTTCGTGAACGCTTTCGGGGCGTTACTGCCAGATTTGACAGTTTCAGTAAAATCGCTCTCCTCATCGGATGTGGAGTTACGATCCTCTGCGTCGCTAGCGTTGAGTGGAGAAGAAGAGAGTGCGGAGGTTGGTCTGTGGAAGGGAAGGGCCTTGTCTCCGGAAGGCCAAGAATGTTCTGGCAGGAAAAGCTCGAATAACTGATGCACCATACGGTGGCTGATGCATTGGGAGGGAAGAGGCTGCACCGGCGGAGCCACCATCGAAGCGAGTTCTTTTTTAAGCGGAAGAGTGCTGGGGATATATGCTTCTTCGGCATTTTGACGCGAGACTGCGTTGGCAAACATGTGCAGTCCGGTAAACAAGGGCAGCCCGCGGGTATTCTCGTCAAAGAGCTTGAAGAGCTCTTTCCGTTTAAGCAGCTCGCTTTTCGTGGATCCATTTGCCGAGTTAAAGTACCGGTCGCATGCGAGCTCGTCTTTAGGATCAATATGCACAGTATGCCGGAGCGACATCCAAATTAACACCCAATACAAAGACTCGAGGTCGTGGTGACTTTGGTGCCGAAAAGCTTCGTCTTGCGCTTCAACGTCTATAGTTTCAAGTGCCATGAATGGGAATGTTCCCTGTTCGAAATGAGTACGGAAACAAAGTTGGTGAGGAGACGAACCGTAAATCGTTTCAGACTTTTGTCTCTCTCCTCGCGATCAACAGGCATTCGTCCAGTCAGAGTGCCGTCCTCAAACTTGTCCGGTCCGCCTCCGACGAGTTCTGCGTAATCCCAGTCGACGAGAAACGCATCCGGAAGGTCTTGCTCCATCGTCCGCTCGTCAAACAGGATGTTCCCCTCGCTAATGTCACGATGAAGGACGCCAGCATCAAACGCCGTTTCGTGGTCTGAAAATGATTGTGAGTGGTTAGACAAAGATGGCTATGAGGATCTCACGGAGTGCAGCGGTGTACAAGGCATTGAAAAGTGCCTTTGTTGAGGGGAACTCCTTCAGTGGTCGGCCGACGGGAGTGATAAGCGAGCGAACATGGTGACGCTCATAGTCCATTTTACTAGTCGATTCGCTGCTCGACGCTGAAGCTGTTTCAGCTGAGGCTTGAGTACAAGTTTTATGAAGGGCGGGATTCCATTCGGCGTCTTCACGAGCTTGGGAGAGATCGATGCTTCCGTGGCACTTGGCCATCCCTTCCGATTTCTCTTTCTTCGTCAATTTATCTTCTGGATGCGGTGGCTGGCTCGAGTTGTCCAAGGTTGCGATATGATGCGCGATGACGTCATAGAAGTCAATCTCGTCTCGACGGCAACCTTGCTTCCAAACATCCTTCAAAGCGAAGACCGAAAGCTTGGCTGGGAAGTCTTCCATTATTGCAACCCGGTAGACACAGGTTGCACGGCTGAAGAGACCGTCACTAATAGAGAGAGCCCGGCCCATTGTGATACAATGAACGACGGTGTTGGACGCATTGAGATCATTTGAGGTTCGGCGAGCAGCAAGCATTATTCTGGAGTCCTTCAAGCTGTCGAGAGTTGGGAACATAGCTTTGTAGAACTCGTCGAGTTGGATGGCGGAGAATAGTTGCTTTTGTTCGTCATCGGTCGCTGCTCGGACTGTATCGTCGCCTCCATCAACGAGCTTATCGGCCGGAGTAGGAGCCACTTCCGAGTCCACCTTGGTGATGTCTGAGAGTCGAATTCGATACATTCGGACAAAGAGTTGGATGAATGGCGTGAGGTCACGTGTCCATTGGAATTTTTCGGTGGCCTGGAAGCCTCCGTGGTCGAACCGGAAGATGCGGGCCCACTCGTGGTCGAAAATGCTGACAGCGAAGACATGTGTGCCACCCGAACTCATCAACAAGTTCCGCGCACTTTTGCCTAATTGCCGAGCAGCCAGCAAGGCCTCTTTACTCTGCTTCAAGCCGCCTTGTGCGTCGATGATGTCGACAGTGAGCTTGAGCTCGAAAACAAGTTGCAGTAGACGCCAAAGCCACTTCAATGGCTTGCGCACCCCGGCTTTGCCCATAACAACATCTGGGCGAGTCCCAGGCTCGTCGGGAACAAGCGATGGGACTGGGGTATTGCGCATATCGGCAAGGGCGGGGCGACGGTCCTTGGGGAAGAGACGGAACATAGCTCCAAAGACGTCCATCTAATAGAGCATCAGAATGAATCCATTGGCAATTTGAAATCTTACCATTTTCTGTTGCAGAGCACTCTCGTCTTGTCGCTGCTTTTTTGTCTTCTTGCGTGCACTGCGAGCGTTTTTCTGTTTCGAGAGGGTTTTGGCAGCCTCTGTGGCCTTCAGGGACGCGTCTTCACAATGACCGAGAATAGTCGCTGTCATTTCTTGGAGGTTTGGTGGGGCAGGATAACCCATGGCCTGTTCGAAGAATTCCTGGAGCGGAAGAACGCCCCCAAAGCCATCATTAAGCATCTCTTTCCACTCTTTGACGACGTCCGGGTCGTCTCTTCCCACCGTTCGGCGGGTGTGGTTTCCGTGTTCAGAGACTCGATTGCGAGGTGTTTGTGACGGGATAGGCTTCTCTGAGCCGTTGCCACCTTTCTGCGAGGCCGAGCGACCTACTCCGGAGCGTCGCGGAGGTGTTGACTGAGTAGGGCGAGATTCAGACGCGACTGGTGGAGAGCCACTGTCTGCAGTGTTTGTGGCGAGGTTGAGACTAGTTTCTGGGTCTGACATGGTGATTAGAGCGAGAGAAAGGGTAAAGAGTAGCGCGAAGAGGACTCACCTTGTTATATTAGTCCTCGTCTCAAAAGTCAAAGCGTCGCCCAAGCATAGTCAACGGAGGAACAATGCGTGTTGCGGACAAGACAACGTGATATGTAACGGTCACTGATTTGTGACACAACGCGTTTGCGTCAATTTGACTTTTCTTTCGCGCCGACTCCCGAGTGCTACATCCTGATTTTCGCCATTAGGCACATATGACGTATAATGCCTATTCTACAGTGTAACATCCAAATGGTGATTTCGATGTCTCATCTTTCAAGCACTCTTGTTGTCCAACCCAGCCTCGCAATAACCCCGTATATTCGATGTGATGAGCAGCCAGCTCAATGTTGTGCTGTACTCAAATCTCGTTCTGCTTACGATTCAGACGGTCGTCAAAAACACAGACAACCAGGGAAAGGAAAACTGCCGCTTTAGGCCTTCTTGGATCTACGACGGGTGTTTTGTGCAGGAGTTTTGTCAAGATCTATGGTGACGACTTCTGGTTCATCGACAGGTGGTGTCTTTCGTTTCGTACCAGGTTTTCTGCTACTCTCCGCGGCTGTGTCGGCATCCGCGACCGTTTCTTTGGCTTTACCACCACGAGTAGACTGGGTGGTCGTAAGTTTTCTGCGCCGGTTACGAGCGGCATTGCTGTTCTCGACAGACGGCTGGAACGGACTTGCTTATTCGTTTGCTCTGCCTCGTTGACGCTTCCACCTTCTTGCTCCCCTTGCTACGTTGCGTCGGCTTTCTTCTGGTTTGTATGGGCGTCTCTTCAACCTCCTCAAACTCTTCCTCATACACAATCGGCCCATCCCACCTCGCCTCCGGCCATGTCACATACTTCTGCTCTCGCTCAGTGAGATACTCCAACTTGAGCCTTTTCCGACTCGTCCACAGCGTGTTCTCATCGCTGCTCTCCCAGCGCGATTTGCGTTTGTGACCCGCAAGCACTCCGGCAACGATGGCATCAAATAGGTCTGTTTGCATGACTTGGGAAGGACGGGACTCGAAGGCGGAGATGTTAACGATGGCAACATCGGTGGTGTCGATGTCTTCATAAACATTGACCGCATCCTCATCGAGCCTGGGTATTTCGATTGGAAAAGCACATATGGCGCGCAACACCTTGCAGCTGCCGCTATTGGGGAGAGCATCAAAGACGCGCTGCAACTGAGATTGGGTGGTTTCGCCAACTCCCTAGTCAACTTGTGAGGTTGCAAAGATGGAATAATTAGCAAACTGACCTGGAAGAATTCGTTGGCATTCAAACCTGACAGTGTCGCTTGCAGATCCGAAAGTCGCACAGGTTCTTGGGTTAACAACGCCTTCAACGCTACCCAGACAAAATTTCCATCGGCCAGTTGGATGGCGAAGAGTAAGTCGGCGTTTGATGAATGCGGTAAACAAAACACGGTCCCAACACGATGTTCCATCCACGAAAGAGTGTCCTGTATAGAGACCGCCTGATGGGCAAGTGGCCGGAAAGATTCGAAGTCATCTGCAGCCACTGGAGACCATTCTACCTCGTCGGACTCTGTTCGGTAGAAACGAACTAGAGTTGCAGGCTTTGCCGCCCATTGCGGAGAACCACGTGGAAAAGGGAAGATCCGATCCAGACGGTCGCCCTTACCCAAAGCCTGGGTAAGATAAAAGACAAGATAGTAGGCAAGAGATTCTGATGTTCGAGGGATGTTTCGACGAAGGCTCTGAATGAAGGTTGCCGGATTTTTGTTTGGCCCTCCTGATATTGGTCGAGTCGGAAAGGGAAATAAGGTCCTTGCGATGACGAGAAGCGGTGTCGGTTCATCGAGTACCAACTCTGTGAAGTTTCCATCCTGAAAACGCGCTAAATCGCGATACATCAGAGGAATTTGATCTTCTCCGAGCAGTGGCGAGGCATTGTGGGTTGCCAAGTAACGCAATAGGATTTCGAGAAACAGGTTCTTGTCCTCTAGGTCAATCATTAGTATTCAACCTGCAACCGGCTTGTAAATTAACCTTCAGACACTCCACGAATTTTGATTGGATAAAAGGTTGCTGCCCAAATCGGCGCCTCCCCTTCAGCCCCTACGCACTCGACTGCATCCATGGGGCGAAAGGAGACAGCATGCTCCATGTATTTATCCAAATGCGTATGTGGAAAATGGAGACCCTCGACGAGCAGGAAAGCAACGAAAGTTGCTGTAAACCGATGTCTGATGAGCAGTTGATAAGCATTTTTGCTCCCACAAAACAGGAACAGTACCTGCCGCGCAGCCAGCGCCAAGTTCTTGCTATTAGAAAACGGCCTGCAGGAGACTCGCGGAAAGCCGGCGGCAGAAACTGAGACACATATTGCTCTTGCCGAAGAGGGTCATCGAAGGAACCAGTATTCGAGGTCCAAGCGAAATCGCTCCCAGCTCCATCTGCAAAGCGTTCTCGGGGTATCTTGATTCCCGCACAGATGATTGGACATTGTCCTTTCGTCAGGTCTGTCCACGTCTGGAGGATTATTTGCAAGAGAGGGGTGTCGTTGAAGTGGTGTGAGTACATGTCGACAACATAACTTGCTTCGTCCAACACAATAAACAAAGGGTCTTCGCCGATAAAGGTCCGAATTTTGCGTAGTGCAATAGTGATGTTTTCGGCGAGGTAAGTGCAGTCATGTTCCATCAGCTTTCTCGTCACCTCTTCAAAGGGTTCGGTGTTTCTGTCGGCAAGATTTCTGGGCAGTAACTGGGTTGTGAGCCACCGCTTCTTTGTCTCATCCGAAAACTCTGCCTCATCAACGGCTGCCTCTTGCAAAAACATCAAAAACACCAATAATCGGGTCAACAAGATAGCACCGAATAGGTTGGTCATCACTTGGAGCTTTTGAGATACGTCTTTGTCCATGAGATCAGTTCGACATTCACGTAGTAGCAATTGCAAGTCGTACGAGCCGAGGCGGCCGTCATCGATATGGCCACTGAGGTAAAAGCCCCAGTTTGAGCAAAGCCCCTCATAACAAAGTCGAGTCTTGCCATTCCCAGATGCATTGACGAGAAATCTAAACGGTGTTAATGTCATCAGCTTTTTAGAATCGATATGTAGCCTCACTGACTTGTTGGTCGTTGTGAATATATTTGAGACGCGCTCACGAAGAACCTCATCGTGGTGGAAACCTCCCAAGTCATGCAGAATTATGGAGAGATATTTCGACTCTTGATAGAGATGGAGAGATTCCAGGAAGGTGAATGTCGCCTCGTCTGTGTAATCGGTGTGTTTCCGTGGCTCCCAAGGCTCCAAAAGTCTGCCATCGATGGCCTTCTTCAATGTGGGGCGAAAATAGTCGAGGCATGACCGTGCAGGGGATGAAACAAAGGGTGGTATGTAAGCTGTGGTTTGTTCAGCGTCGCAGAACACCGTTGTATTTGACCTACTGACGCGAATCGGTGACCTGCGTCCAGTCTTCAGCCAGTCTTGCACTTTGTATTGCATGATATAGTTGCGGGTGAGTGTGAAGAAGTTGGGAGCAATGGGGAATAGCGATGATATCTTCGTCTACTGGCCGCCTTGCGTCCAAAAACAACGCCTTCAGCAACAGCGAGAGGAATTGTGAGGCAGCATCCAAGCTTTCGATACGGGAATAGCGTATCTCCAAAGCAGTTAGCTGCTCACGAGTCGAAGGAGGTGCTGATTCCATGGGATATTGGAAGGGATGCAATGGGGAGCCATTGTACTAGTGGCTTTTGTGTCACCTGCCCTGCCCAAATATAGCAACAGATCGGATGTGTTGATGGGACCCGATCAACACATCTCATCTGTATGAAAACCATTCATTTCTCTTACTCTCTGACAATACTCTCCCAGAAACCCCCAACTCGACTTCTCCCTGAGCTCGGTGCTGTCCGGGCGGCCTGCCGCTGCCATCAACGGCGCGGTGGTGTTACTCGGCGTGACACCCACCCCCTCTGTCCGTCACCGTTGCGCGCGCGTCGGGCCTCGGCGCCGCGCGGCTGACGTCACAGCGCCATCATCGCGTGACGCATGGCCGGGCTCTGTCAGCTGCCACGTCGACCATACCCACCTGCTCACTGTCCTCCCGCCTCACTGTCCGCCCGCTCGCTGCTGCCGCCGTCGCGCAACCTCACAACCTGGTCATCGCACTGTGACGTTGCGGCTGCATCAGTGGCCAGGTCGGCCCAGCAGCAAGCACTCCAGCCCACTGTCAGCGGCCAGCCTGCCCGCCGCCACCACGCTCGTTACCATCGCGCTCGTTGCTGCCGCGGTCGTTGCCCTCCGCATCACCGCCGGACTGACACATCGCATCACTGTCGCGCTTACTGTCGACGTCACGACACAGTCACCGCGTAACCCGGCCACGTCGACCCGGCCACACGTCCTTCGTCCACCGTCGCTCTCCTCTCACACCGCAGCGGCACACATCTCCTCCGCCGTACCGACGCCCGCGGCCACCGCCCGCCTATGCTTGCCGCCCTCGCGCTCCATCCGCGTTTGCGCTGATCAACGCCGCAACGCCGCCTGCCCACCTATCTCTCGTTGTTGCCACCGTCGTCGCGCTCGTTGGCTCCGCATGCGCCGCTATTTCCCGTCCTCGTCAACCACGAGCGCGTGGGACAGCTACGTCATGCGGCATCTCTTCAGGCTGATCTCGCCCACTCGCTACGCGCTCGCCGCCTGCTCTTCTGTCGGCCGCCGCGGCGCTGCAGTGACAAGCTGAATTCACTCACCGGGAGGAAATTGGGCGCTGCGGGACGACGAGTGCGTCGTTCCGCTTGCGGTTTAGAGGAGATGGGCAGGCATAGCGTCGCTGCCGCTGGGTGAGCTCCCAGGCCGAACGCGCGGGAGGCGGGCCGGAACGCCGCTCGTCTCTGAAGACAGAGGCAGGGCCGGGAAGAGCCAACCACTGACCCGTTGCGCTTGATATTTTCAGGAAATAGAGGAGATCGCTGCCCCTCTGCATCCTGACAGTCTCAGGCGCAACGCGTAAGAGCTCCGCCCAGCGCCTCCGGGCCTCGCTGACACCCATTACAGCAGCGTCCGCTACGTTCAGAGCCAACGGCCCATGGGCTTCCCATCTTCCGCAAGAGGGCAGGACTCTCCGCACGGCCCTCCACAACCTCGCGGTCACTCGCTGCCTGCCCATCGGAGGCATTGGCCTGTTGGGCCATGATGGGGGCTTAATTGGGCATGTAGTTCTCCTCAGTTGCCTCCATGTATGATACTAGTCTACAATAAACCACATTTCAAGTCAAATGTATATTTCAGGGACCATAACAACTTCTATCAAAGCTTGTGCTACGGAGTAAGCGTATGAAACAGCCTCCCATCACTGAATCATGTGGTTTTGATGGAGCGGATGTTGGACTATATCTCCACATCCAGACCACGGATATGAATGATTGAGTACTCATTTGAAAGGTATGAAGGGCTCTAATATCAACCATGATAGATCAATGTTGCTCAACACTCTCATGCAATACCATTCAGCAGTGATTGACTGTATTTGACTACCTAGGGAATAAAAAGCTGAATTCTTCATATATACTGGGTGGATAAGATTGATCTAAGTGGATTTGATCATAAGGGATGGAATAATGGAATCTGACCCATTTTTGAGCCAGGGGCACTTGATGGTATCACTCAATAGTAGGGTTTATTGTGCATATTGTATTCTGCCTTCTGGTATGTCTATCTGGAAGCGCATGTCAGTTTCTGGGAGCTACACATACACGCTACTAGCCCCCACACTACCAACTTATTCTGCCAAAAATCAGTACAGATATGGAGGAGCTGATTTTGGCAAAGATAACACTGATTCCTCAATCATGTAACATCCAAGATAGCTAGTAGACTGATTGAAGTGTCAGAAGAGTTAGTTTGAAGTCTTCTAGTTGCCTATTTAAGTCTCTTGAATCCTGCTTGAAATAAATTTTTGACCAGTTGTAAGAGCGGAGACAGTTCTTTTGGCCTGAAGTGTACCAACCCTGTCTTCAGGTTTGAGGTTTGGAACTGCTCACAAGAATGCATATATGTCATCAGGAACTGTCATGGGCCTATAAACACACCACTTTCTGACCTCTGTATCATGTATTCCAAACCACAAGTTCAATATTTGAGTGCAAACAGTGTCACAAAAGTGACACATGCAACATTCACCTGATTTCACCATACAAAAGGCTTAGGATTTCATACCTAAATGAATATTATGGCAGATGTAGGTCTATCCTTCATCTCTACACTCTTTGATAGCTTATCTAACCCCAGATTTAGGAAGATCTTAGGCATATGTGATAAAATATTCAACATGATCTTAGGACCAAGGATGGTCTGATAAGGCAATCTCAGTTCTCCAACTGAGCCAATACATATTTCAAGCACCTCCACCCAGTTCTACAATAAATTCTGCAGACCTCTCTAAGTTAGAGCATTGGCAATGAAATTTCCTGTGAACTATCCTACAATGCTTCCTCCACTTCTGTAGATATGTGAAGGGCATCAGACCATAGTGTGATGTGCTAAGCACTGGGAGCAAACATATCTGGACAATCTAGGAAGTATTAGGTGAGATCCACTGGCATCATTTATCAGGGGTGAGAACAGTTCTAACATGCTATTGTATCATCTTGTAGAGAAAAAAAGGAAAATATAGTTAGTTGACACTTCCCAAGAGTGGAGAGCCACAACAGTAATGTGGTTGTGATTGCTTGAAGCATCCATTTGTAGAGATATAGTACAGTCAAGATAAATGATGGAAGATCACTCCTGATCGGAGGGTGATTATCAATAGTTTTGTGATAACTTTATGGCATCACTATGACATTCTTCGACAATGATCCACTCTGCCCTATTCAACGTTTTGCTTGTGCAAGAGTTGGACAACATCTGACAACATCCGCGATGATCTATACACTAAGTAGCGCGTTGCAGCGGCAAGCGCCAATGTGATGCCGCCACATCCAATGGTGTCGAGACTGCGGTGGCAAACCAAGCCGTGGTGGGCAGATATTGAGGCACAGGCCGCTATGCTGTGGGTCACGCGGAGGGGACCCGACGCGTCGGCCACAGGAGCAGCGTAAATGGTGGGGCGTCATGTTATGTCGGCGACGTGGGATAGTCGTGACAGGCAACGAGAATGCCAGCTGTTGACATGGCAGCTGGCACGGGTTACGCACTGTCATTGTGACATGTGCGCCGCGCCGACGCGCGGGCAACGAGAGCGGCATGAGCACGCCTAGTCGCGAGACGTGGGGACTGGGTCGACGTAGCACACAGTCAGCGCGCGCGGCGCTGATGCGCAGGCGCACAATAGCGGCGGTCACAGCTTGCCGGAGTGGACGGCTCTATCAGCTGACGGCGCTGCAGGATACGCAGTTATTGCGTGTCGTTCGACATCCAAGGCGAGGCGGCGCTGCGGCAATGGCGGGAAGGACAGCGAGCGGGCAGCGAGGGTTGGATGCGGGTTGTCGCTCACGGTCACCGGGGCGGAGCGGCGGCAGCGGTGGGAAAGACCGCGGGTGCTGACCGCGCGGTAAGCGGGGCGCCGACGGCGAGGAATCCAGTCCGACGGAGGCGACCGTAAGCGGGTAGTGCCAGGGTAGGCAGATGGTGATCGTGCTGATGTCAGTCCCGCGGGGCGCCAAGGACTGACGGTGGGCGGGTAGCGAAGAGTTGGCGCTGGCGCGGAGCCAACGAGCGCGACGACAACGGGCGGACGTAGCAGCTAGCGTAGCGGGTTGACGGTTGCGTGCCGTGACTTTAACAGTAAGCCGTATGGCAGCAACGAGCGGGCAACGAGGAGCCGCCGTGGCAGCTGACAGAACGAACGGTGAGTGCAGAGGCGACGCGGAAGGCAGCGAGCGCGCTCAAAGCATGACGGCGGCGGTAGCGAAGGGGTGGACAGTGAGGTGATGGGCGTGGTCAACGTGGCAGCTGACCAGAGCCACGCTGTCACGCGATGATCGCGGCGCGCGGCGCCGAGGCCTGACGGGGAGCGCGACGGGGACGGCGGTGGCAGGCAGACGGTCCAGACAGCCTGAAAGGGGACAGGTCACGCCGAGTGACACCGCCGCGCCGTTGATGGCAGCGGCAGACCGCCCGGGCTGCGTTGAGCCTAGGAGAAGTCCAATGGGGGAATTGTCGGAGAGGATTCTCAAAGAGTAAGAGAATCAGATGATTTTCATACCCCGGAGATGTGTACGGTAAGCGAGACGGTTGAGGTTCGATTTCGATTTGACAGATCGAAGATGCCAAAATCAGACGGATGTCCGATATCGGACATAGGCCGATAGAGATCATTTGAGTGCTGCAAGGACACCACCCACGAACATATCATAGCAGTAGCATAGCACAGTTGTTATCGTAGCTTTACAGGCAGTAATTTGAGGGACAGACTACACTTGATCGTCGCCCGAAAAGGCCGAGTTGTCATCTCCGGTAATTCCCCCCTCTGATCCGTCTGTCGGATCCGGTCCGAGAACATCCGTTGTCAGCTCAAGTGGAAAAACCTCGTCGAACTCGAGACGCTTGCAGAGCTGGTTGCACTGATGAGAGTTGACAAAGGACTCGATGCCGTCCATCCCAAAGTCGCCAAGGCCAGACCCACTAACAAATTTAGTCAGTAAGTATCATTGGAAATAGTGGGAGCGAACCCGTCGGGAGTGTGAGTCATGATGTCGAAGAGGATGAGTCCATCGTTGCCTCGGACCGTGGCCGGAGTCCCTTGAATGTCGGCCATAACAAGTGTCCCATTGGTGGCTCCGAAGACATAATGGGCAAAGCTATGGATTGTGAGCGTCTGGAGGTCAGTGCCGCGAGCCTTGTGATTGAGAGTGGAGGTAAACTGGATGACGGCGGCGGCGCGTTTGTCCTCAACCAGCCAAGTGATGCCGTCGCCGCTGATGTCGAAGCTTTCAAGGTCTGATGCAATGCTTGGGGCACGGGTGACTTGGATAGACTTCTCGGTCGCGAGGTAGGCAGGAGTAAATTCAATTGCTAAGTAATCTTATCAGTATGGAGCTATATAGATGAGATTGGAAACACACCAGTGAAGATCGCAACATCCATTTCCTTGGCGTATGAGAAGAAGTCGGCAAGTAATTTGCGTCCAAGGGAAATACGGACACACTCGGCTTCCAGAAGTGCCCGGTTTTGAAGCGAAGTGACATTGCCCGATGTCGAGAGCCTGTCGTCGTCGTCTGAGGCCCGATAGACACGCTTGACGACAACGCGCCTGTCTTCCTTGCCATCCTGCATGATGGTCATCTAGTAAGAGAAGATAGTAAGCTTAGTAGGAGGGAATATAATTTCCGGACGCACATCAAATGCAAGTTTTGATCCACCTTTGGCAAAATAGATGTCACCAATGAATGCCTCGATGGTCCCAGGGCGCCGGAAGACCTCAGGTTCGTATGTCTTTGGGTCAACAGAGACATCAAACTGCTCGAGCGTAACCCTCGACTGGGACTTGACTTGAAGCGGTACCGCGGCGCGACTGCCCGAAGGGCCAAAGCGGGAGCCAAGAAGAGACCCGATATCTGATGGTTCAATCGGTATCCTGAACAGTAAAAAGACTGAATTCACGCACTGTTGCTGCTTATCGCGCGAAGCCGCTTGCTACCCACCGTGGCTCCAGTGGTGGACGCTGTACGCTTGCGGCTGGAGTTGCTGCCGCCGTTTATGTCGTCTGTCAAGTTTCGCGAGACAGCATCAAGCTCTTCGCGATCTCCGTACTAGGAAAACATGTCAGTCAATGTTGATGGAAGACAGAATATAGTAACATACTGCGTCCATATTAACGACCAACTCAAGACAGAGTAGTTTTTGTGTTGTGACCACGGGCCAATGTCTTAAAGACAGACGGGATGTTGTTGATAAAGGTCGAGGTCTTCTCGGTTGTGCAGGAGTGCATGGTGTAGAAGTTGGCCAGGGTTCCCGTCATTGAATTGACTTCGGGGAGTCGATTCCCAGACCAGCGAAGATCGACATCAGCGCTAGATATAAGTTAGAATCATTGATTCCTTCCGAGGACGGCACAACTCACAGCTCGAGAGGAAGAGTACCCAGCTTGTACTTGATAAACTGCGGGGAAACGACATCAACGATCTCCTGGACAAGATCTATAGGCAACATGAGACGAGTGTCAACGGAACTGGGTAATATAAAGTTGGAGGCAACCCCATACCTGGCATTTCTATTGACGCGGGATACAACTTGATTAGGTTTCCGATCTTTGCATTGGGCGTCTTTGAGTCGCTTGTGCGTGTCTGCAGTAAACATGAGCTCGAGCAAGAATAGGCACGATGACGCAATGATGACATACCATCACAGCCACGCGAATCCTTTCCTCGGCAGTCTGACTCCCAGTCCCGCCACCCTCATGGAAGATCAAAGCAGCCGTGTGCAAGGCAGTTCCAGGCCTCGCCGACCCTCCAAGCGATTGCCGAAGGCGCTGTCTGGTCGCAACAATACGTTCAGCGAAGGTCTCCGGAACATCACGATTGGTGGATCCAGAGTTCGAGCTAGCTGGGGTCGAGGCGCCTTAGAGAATCGAGTTAGCAAGGAGGAAGCAATGGTCTAGGGACACGAACCTTGGAACTGTGCCGAGCCTGAGTTTGCATTTCTAGCCTCAGCGACGCAACGGTCAGCGCCGCAGGTCTGTATCGCGCCAATCAATGGCATCTTGTTGGGACGAGTGAGTCCACAGAGGGCACACTGGGGTTGATCCTACACATACAGCAGTGAGTACTGAGATGAGATGCAAAGTCAAGGGAACTACTCACTTCAAGAGCTTGGTAGTCGGCACTTCCGTGCTTGAAGCGGGAGAGCTTCTCGCATTTTTGACAGATACTGTCATCGGTGCGAAGTAGGAAGGTTGTTCCGCAGTCGGAGCACTCGGAAGGATGGAAGTCAGTCATTGGAGTGCAGATTGGAGCAGAGAAGGGTAAACCTTTCGCTCCTGGGCTCCTGCTTTTGAAGGCAAGTCCCTCTTCCCGCTCGTTAGTGAGATGCGAGACATGTTTTGCATTGTCCTGCCGATTATTTTGCTAAGCGCATTGTTTATAGGCAGTTCGTGGGATTGCTGAATGCCCATGCGCATCAGTGCCCGACGCATCGGGTGAGAGGTAACAAAAAAACAAAGTAAGAGTGTGCGAATCTGCTCAGTAAGCCACTCGCAATTGTCCATTCTTCGACTCATGGGGCTAACAAACTGCTTTGATTAAAACCAGAACCGATGATACAGGCAGTTTACGTCTGTACGATGCCGAATTATACCGGAAAAAATGGATATGCTGAACAGACACGTTTGTTTCGACTCTTGGTACCCGATTCCGTCTCATGACTCACGCCATTCTCCAGCTCCCGATGACGAAATTTTGAAGGAGGCTCTTCTGCGATATGCTCGTCAAGGGATGACTCGTGAACTTCAGATTGCAGCGTTGGGAAGGGATTTTAACTATCATATTCGGTGAGCAAGCTGCTTTTCATTTTGCTCTGTAAGCTTACGCACCCATTGATTGAACTCTTTGGCCAACGTCAAGCGGCGACTTGGCATCACAGCAAGTGTACGAATGCAGAAAACACCTATCGACAAAGTTCGTCAAGCCGTTATAGACGAGGTTGAGGTCGATCCCGCGCAATCGAGAGGTCCAGCATTCATCAAAGATCAGCTTCGCCTTAAGATGATATTTGCACCACGGTGAGCAGCCAACTTGAAGCCGGAATTCCTCGAACCAATTATATTCCAGCGACCTCATTCGTAGCATTATGATTGAACAATATCCCGGTGGTTTCGATGTTCGCTTCCCGGGGAAGAAGAACCGACGTGTCATTCGTGTTCCACTACGCGCCAGTGGTCCTTACCACGAAATCAGTAGTGACGGTCACGAGAAACTTGCGCCAGCCGCTCTTCGAATGGGTGGCGTAGGGTTTTCCATCTATGCCTACAAGGATAAATATGGGGATTCTGTCGAACAAATGCGAGTTCTCCCTGATGTTCGCAGCGCTGGAGCTGGTGGGCATATTTTTCTCGACTTTGTGGAAGACACTGGATGTGAGTTGCTTGTTCATTGGTGTTGCAGCGGCTTGTGAGTCTAATAATTTCGCACTAGGTATTCCCATCCAGCTCACGACAGACAAGGGTTCAGAGGTTGGTTGGCCCTATGCGTTCATGGCAGCGTTGAGGTATATTTCTGCTCAATTTTCATTTTATGCCAACTCACATGAGAACTACAGAGATATGTATGCTCCAGATATCGATCCAGCCCTCTATCCATTCCACGTTATGATCAAGAGCACACACAACACAGTTATCGAGGGTTTCTGGCGACACCTGAAGGATCAATTGGGCCTGAACTTGAAGGAGTTCCTTCTTCGTGGCAAGACACAGCATCTCTTCAACTCTCATAATCCATTGCACGAGTGAGCACCAACCTAGTACTAAACTAACCACTCAACATTACAGGCCGTTGTTTTACTGGATCTTTGCGCCTCTTATTCAGAAAGAGCTCGACGACTTCGCAGACTGGTGGAACAATCACCGTATCCGCCATCAACACGAGAAAATCCTTCCCTCTGGCCACGTCCCGTCTCATGCAATGAACTACCCGGAGCTGTTTGGTGCTCTGGACTGCCGAATCCGTATCCCACAAGCCGCTATCGACGAGCTCCGCTCCCAACTCACTGCAGAAGAAGGGCCGAAGTCCCAGTTCCAGTCGTGGCCTGGCCTAACTGCAGAGTTTTGACGCGTATGCGGAGCGTGTCTACGAAGAAATTGGCAGACCGATGCTTACCATGGCGAAAGGATGGGATGTCTTTACATCAATGGCTGTAGTTATGGCAGTAGACGGTGTACAGTAGGCTGTAATCATATCTGATTCGAACGGGAACCGATGACGTAGACGGTGGTGGAGAAAATTTGCTCGACTTTAATATACGTCATAGCACTGCCTCAAGCGCTGGGCGGATCAGCGCTTCCCGCCCATCGCATCACCACTTCCTCACATTAACCTCCCTCTTGCCCCACATGGCGGCGCTGATAGACGCCTTCCTACTACTCCGTTAACACTCCCTAACCCCGGGATAGACAGCTGGAAAAACTGGTGAAGGCGGGGTCAAGAAACAATAACAATTGATGGTACTTATCTTGCCGAGCCCATGACAGATGAGATCTGTCAAATCGAAATCGAACCTCAACCGTCTCGCTTACCGTAGATGTGTTGATCGGGTCCCATCAACACATCTCATCTGTTGACATATTTGGGCAGGGCAGGTGTTTGTGTTTGGCCGTTGTGGGTGAGGTCCATCATTACGCTGACCAATCAGCCGGTCTACGCGTACTGCCTCAGTGCCTGCAGGTGGCTTGTCTATCGGTTGGGCCGTCTCCGGATTGCCATCCCGGCTCCTTCTCTTCTTGCAAACCAGGCTACGATCTCCATCCGGATTACGGTCAAGTCAGAACTTAAAGTTCGAATTCTCAGAACGAACAATTGGCAAAGCTAAGAGTCAACTTTCACGAGAATTGTTGTCAAATATGTATACTTCAATTATCTGCCATACAAGCATCGGCAGCGCAACTTATTGACCATCGTCCAGCCCATCCTCGGGTTGTGGTCCTTTCCGCTTGCCATGAGCAACAACGGGCCTCTTCTTCTTAGTATTCGCAGCCGGTGACAAACCCCTCCGTTTCCTCTTCCTTGGCTTGCTCTGCCTGACCACAAGCTCCTCGTTATTTTCATCTTTCTCAGCCACAATCGGCCCGTCCCACCACACTTCTGGCCATATAAGTAGCCTCTGCTCTCGGCCATTGAGATACTCCAACTTGAGCCGCTTCCGACTTGTCCACAATGTTTTTTCGTCATCATTTTCCCAGCGCGACTTGCGGTCGTTGCCCGCTAGCACACCCGCGACGATTGCATCAAAAAAAGACAGCTGCATGACTTGATAAGAGCGAGATTCGAGAGCTGAGATGTTGATAATAGCAACGTTACTGGTTTCAAGATCCTGATCAAAACCAGGAGTCTGATCGGCCTCGAAAACAGGAATCTCGACAGGAAAGGCACATAAGGTGCGCAGAATTTTGCAGCCACCAGTCTTCGGAAGCGAATCGTATGCAAGCTGTAGTCGAGTTTGAGTGATGTCATCGATTTCCTGTATGAGCATTCAGAATGGATATACAGAAAGTCACCAACGAACCTGCAGGAGAGCGTTGGGCTGTAGTGATGATAACATCGCACGGAGACTTGAGGGTTGAATAGGCTCTTCATTGACCACTGCTTTGAGGATGACCCAGACGAAACTTTGACCGTTGATGAATGTGGTAAACAAAACGCTGTTCCAACCCGATGTTCCATCCACGCAAGGGTATCCTCTACTGATGTTGCTTGATATGCAAGCGGTCGGAAAGATTGGAAGTCGCCTCTAGCTACCGGCGACCAAGCCACCTCGTCTGAATCAGTTCGGTAGAAACGAACCAGCTCTGCGGGTTGTTGGGTCCACTCCGGAGGTTCACTTGTAAATGAGAAGATTTGGTTGAGGCGCTTGCCCTTGCCGAGGGCCTGGGTAAGATAAAAGACAAGACAATGCGCAAGACGTTCTGATGTTTGAGGGACGTTTCGACGGAGACTGCGAATAAAGGTCGCCGGATTCTCATTTGGCTCGCCTGGCCTTGGTTCTGTCGGGTAGGGAAAGAGTGTCCGTGCGATGCCTAAAAGAGGCATGGGTTCGTCAAGGACGATTTTCGTCATGCGCGTGTCTCCGAAACGTGCCCAGTCGTAATACATCAGAGCCACTTGGTCGATTGCCAAAGCGGGCGAGGTTTGATGAGTCGCTAGGTAGCGGAAGAGAATTTTGCGAATCAACTCCTTTTCCTCTGTTCCCATCTCAGTCAGATATTCGGAGAGCTCCGAAAAGACACACACCTTCGAACATGTCCGAGGCTTTTATTGGATGGAATCCCCCGGGCCAACTTGGTGCATCTCCTTCCGCTTCCAAAAAGTCGACAGCATCCACGGGTCGGAAGGATATGGCGTGCTCGATATAACCATCAAGCCGCTTATGAGGCTGGGAAAGCCCCTCGGACAGAAGAATGGCCATGAACGTCGCTGTAAGACGATGTCTAGTAGTTACGATCAACAGCTGATTATTGCTCAGATAAAGGTATTACCTTCCTCGCAGCCAGCGCCACGTTCTCGCCACGAGAAAATGACCAGCTGGGGAATCACGTAGCGATGGCGGCAGAAACTGGGCGACATAGCGTTCTTGCTGAGCAGGATCGTCAAATCCACCCGTGTCGGAGGTCCAGTCGAAATCACTACCTGGGCCGTCTTTGAACCGCTCTTGTGGTATTTTGATACCGGCGCAGATGATGATGCCGTGTTTTCTGGCCCTTTCTGTCCATTCTGCAATGAGAATTTGCAGAAGACTAGCATCTTCCAACTCATCGGAGAACATGTCCACGGCGTAACTCGCTTCGTCGACAACCAAAAACAGGGGCTCCCCAATTATCTGATGAATCTTGTCCAGAGCAATTGCTATGTTCTGTGAGAGATAGAGCGAGTCGTGCTTAACCAGATTGTACGCGAGGCGTTCGAATGGGTCATTTATTACTGGTGGACCATTGATGTTCGTTGGATTAAGTTGCATCGTGAGCCAACGCTTCTTGAGATGGTCGTGTGAGCCTTGGAGTTCGGCAACGTCTTCTGCTTCGAGGAAAACCAGGAATAAAAGTAGCCGAGCAAGCAAGATAGCACGAAACGATACCGCCAGTCGTTCGACTTTCTTGTCGTATTCGTCGGATTTGATTCTCAACAGAAAGTCCTCTTGGCATTTACGCATGAGCCTCTCAACATCATACGACCCCAAACGACCCTCGTCGTTATGGACACAGACATAAAAGCCCCACTTGGTGCAGAGCCCTTCATAACAAAGACGGGTTTTGCCAGTCCCGGAGGCGTTCACAAGGAACCTAGGAATCTAAGTCAAGGACAAATCCAAAACGCAGCGTACTTGTTTGTTGGACTGAAGATGTCTGAAACGCGTGCACTGAGAATTGGGTCGTTGCTGAATCCTCCCAAGTCGTGCAGAATAATGGAAAGCGAGTTGTATCGGTGGGATAGCCCGAGGGATTCCAGGAAAGTGAGAATGCTTTCGTCCTTGTAATCTGTGTGCTTTCGCGGCTCCCAAAGATCCAATATTTCAGATGTCCTAATATTCTTACTGACTTCGTCCAGAATACGCCGACAAAATGAAGAGACGAGCGCGGGAGCCAGTGCTGTACTCTTTCTTCAGCGCCAAGTTATTAAACCAGAACTCGATCACGTACGAGAACTGGCTATGGCTGCGAATTGGACATCCGAGTTGACGGCTAATCGTGCACGTTGCAATTGAGAAAACAACTTGGGTTTAGCGGAGAGGATGTCGCGACAAGTCGTGACCGCCGTAAGCCCCTCGTCTTCTGGGACTGAGGCTTGCAGGAATGCATCTGCCAGGAGGACAGATAAAAATTCTGCTGCGACATCCAAGCTTTTGATTTGAGGATAGCGTGTTGTCAAAGCATCGAGTTTGCTGCGGGTTGAAGGGGACACTATCTCCATGAGTCGCTGGAAGAGAGAGGATGGGGAGCCATTGTTGACGTGCTGCCACTGTGCTATTGTGTTTGGCGGTTGTGGGTGTGGTCAATGATCATTCTTACATAACACGCAAACCTCACTTCTTTTCGAATCGGCTGAAAATTGCAACTGCTGCCATTACAAAGACGTTGGCCTTCGCATACATTGGGCTCTCGTAGTCCGAGTTCCTCTGCTCTTCTAGCTCGATCGAGCTCACAGCAGTACCCTAGCGTTTCCTCCTACCTAGCAGCTGCAGAAGGTTCACAACGACTCCAACGAGTTTTCTCGACTACCGTTTGACCTTCGTCGTTGTCATCAATTTATTGCGTTTTGGCAAGTGCAACAGCCTATGCGACATCCGCCGGCGGAAAGTGGTGCAATGTATCAGTGCAACCGAAACAGTCTCAGTTGGATGGCCTTTTAAGTCGTTGGACCCCACACATTTGCTCCCAGCCGCAGATCGTCGCTCTCTTTCTCTCTCCCACCATCATAAGTAATTCCCGTCTTCATCAGTTAGCAAACCATGAATCTCTGACAGTCAGCTTTCTTTGACGACTTCGAAACCGACTTGCCGACAATTAACAGCAACTTTGGGTCAAGGTCGATGTCCTTCTCTTGAATAACTAACCCTTCCCTTGCCTGCAACTCCGGCATGAACTCTACCCTGAACATCGACTACGAACCTGGTCTCTTTCGCCTCTTTTCACGATCTCAAGTACGATTCAACAGTTGTTGTCGTTTCTGTGCTGATTGTCCATCAATTTGGCTCCCGGTCTTCGCAACGAGTGGGCGACTCTTCCTGAATTTCCCAGTGTGGACGCGACGGGCGGATATCCATGGACCCGATTTTCTTTAGGTTCACTTCAAGGTTTTCGTCAAACGACAACTCAGCACAGGGGAGGGCAAGGGGCAAAGGGCGGCCTGGGAGGGTGTAATGCCGGCACTCGGCTTAAACGCCTGATCGATCGCCGACATCACGCTAGCTTTCTGGTCAAGCACTTTGCGCGCCTTGCATCATCAAACGCTCCCCGATGGATCCGCGCGTCGCAGAAATACTGGCGTTAATGTTACGGAAGATGTCGCCCCACTCTGGACCGTTCGTTTCCTACTTGTTTTGTACTGTCTCAATCTTCTGAACTCCAATCACTACCGCGGTTTTAAATCCATTCGTGAATTAGACCATGACTCGATCTTGGTCCTTACCAACATGTTGAGCGACCTTGGAAACAGCATTAGTGAAGAGAGAGATTTGTTGCGCCGTAGCCGTTTGACGGCCTCGTCAGTCCAAGCTGCTGCAGCTGCCAACCAGGAATTCATTTTGCTGTCGGAGACCTGTGACCAGACAGAAATGTTGTTCAAGTTCAAGTGGGAAGTTGACACTTGCCGTGCCACATTGCCCACACCAAGTTATTTCAGCCAATGTGTTATATAGCAGCCTGATTATGACACATGTTCTCCCCCCTTGTCCTTAAGCTGATGAAACAAGTCTTCAATCTTATCCTCCATCATCCGGGCCACCACATCTTTGAGGTTTTCGTGTGTGACGGCAGGAGACGACTCTTGCCTTGCCTTGGCCTCGTGCTCCTTCTCTTTCGCCTCTTGCTCCTTCTCTTTCGCCTTGCCCTTCTCATATTGTTTGTCCGGAATGAGGAAGCCATCTGGGAGCTTGCTCGGCATCATTTCTCCTTCATCAGAGTTTAGCTTCTGGACCATATACCCAAGTATCTGTCGCAACTGAGTCTCTGATTGAACGCAGAAGACTTAACATACCTGCGGGCCAGGGATTTTCACAACAAAGCCATTCGAATACGCCTCATAGTTGCTCGACGACGCCTCGGAGCTACTTGAAGAACTCTGCGCGTAAGAGAAGCACAGGATACCGCCCGAAGCGGCCGAGTTGTGCGAATCATACTTCTTTCGGTCTTCTGACTGACTTGTCCCATGGGTAATGCGAATGACGATGTCTTTGGCCAGAATAAAAGCGATCGGAAAGCCAGGCATGAGCCCCGTAACTTTGTCCTTTTCATTCTTCACTTTGCTGGTCCAAGATATGTCCTTGTTAACCTAAATCTTCGGTCAGTCTTGTGCAAGCAGAAAGAACGAGAAATGCACCTTATAGAACGCATTCGATTGTTTAAAAAATTGGGGCTGGAACCAACCGCCCCGATCGACGGTGACCAGCGTCGCACGGAACGCGAGTTCAATTGTGTCGTCACTGGCCGTAGTCTTCTGCGACGAGTCTGCACTTTCAGAAGACGCACTCCCGGATGCCGAAGCGAACCACAGGTTACATGACCATTGCTTTGACTGATAATCTGTTGAGTGACAGATGGCGCAGCCAAAAAGAGAATCTTACTGTAGCAGACGCATTATTCTGAGTAAGCTTCTTGCGAGTCTGCGAGCTGCTCGTGAACGCAATCGTCTGCCAGCGACTCCCGCCAGAGGAGCTCTCCCCAGGTAATTTGATAGGCGTCTTGGGAATTTCCTCTTTACTGCGATCAGGCCGCGGATTGGGTTTGGCACCACCCTCAGTGCTATTGGCCGTCAATGTTTTCCATCGCAGCTGCAGCTGGTTAAGCTCCTCCGTCAACGACTGAATCCGCAGAGTAATTTGTTGTTGTTGGTCCTTGGTATCAGACGCCTTCGCGAGTGCATGCGCAACCTTTATATCGGTTAATGCACGCGAAGACGCGGTGAGCCGTGCTTGTGCGTCCTCCAACTTCTCCATCATAGCTTCTATCGGCTTCAGGAAATCGGGCGTTTTCTTGACTAACAACGCCAGCGCCTCGATGTTGACCTTTCCCGCAGCGTTGAGACACGTCTTGGCCGTCTCGACGATGTTAGATGTGTAGGTTTTGAGCAAGTTGCTTTTCGCGGTGTCGACCTCGCCTTGCTCGTCTTTGACCTTCTTCTCCAACTCCGCGGGGTTCCCGTTCTCGCCTAATTGTAAGGAGACGAGTTGGGAGGTCAATGTGTCACGTTGTTGGGACTTGGCGCCAATTTGCTGTCGAATCAGTTCGGGATCCTGGGTCAAATCTTCCATGGTGAATGATGTCGACAGACCCTCGAACCAATCAAGAGGAGTGAGCTGAATGGGATAAACTTTCATACTGCCGTCGAGAGATGACATGGCGGATTCGCGTAACGAGTCTTTGGCACTCTAAGTTGCACGAATAAGACACGCCATCAACTTTGAGCAAATATTCACCTGCAGCGCCTCCGCGGGACTCGCTATATCGAGGTACCCAAGATACTCTTTGATGGTGTGCGAATGACCGCGGACGACTGCGTCATTGTATTTCTCGGCCAACAACGCTTGCCGGGATGCAGTTATGTGAGAAAGCTTGCGCGCGAGTTCGTCCAGCGCTTTGGCCGATTCAGCAGTCCCAAGATCAGCCTGACAAGTGACATGAGTTCGACAAGTAGGATATCATAAGTGAGACCCCGCACCGCATTAGCGTGCTTCATTAGCGCATCGCGCTCGGTCTGCCAGTCTTGCTTCGTGTACAGATACTCGTTCATGAGCAGCTGGCTGAGCTCAATGCGATTAATTGTTTCCTTGTTGTTCTCTGAGTCATCTCCAGAAGCACTCTGTTCCTGTTCATGTTCAGCAGCTAAGCAGAATCGTTAACAGTTTTCAAGCCAAGGCAAAACATTAACACCCACCGATTTGTTCTGCGGTCTTGGTTCCCAAAAGTAGCGCCAAAGCATCAGCTCGTTCTCGTTCTCGGACCCGATGGCGCGCTTGGATATCTTTCATCCACTGCGACATCGGCACGTCTTGTGTCAACCAGTCGCGAATTTCTGCTTGTTGGGTACCAAGCCCATTGGGTACAAATTTCGGCAATAAATTATTCAACAGCTGAGGAGGGAAAATCAGCCACTTTGCTTCAAGAAAGCAACTATTTCACAGACCTGCTCATATACAATCGACAGATTTGTCCCGTTTGGTCCACCCACCACGTCTGAGAGGTCATAGAGTTGATCAGCAAGGCGAAACTCCGCCTCATTGACGACAGTCGGTTTTACGAACTGTCCATTGATACCTGCGTCGGCCGTGTTCCACGCATACGAGTTCTGATCGAGAAACCGCCCAGGGAATTGGAGGGTAAATTGTTGACTTTGCCCTGGATTGAAAAACTGCTTCAAGTTTTGCACAAGCTCGTATAAAAATCCAGTTGCTTGGCCACCCGACTCTGCCGTGTCACTATCGGCGAGAATGCCAACCTCACCACCGGCGTTCGGTGCAACAAGGTTGTTTTCTTCACCTGTACGTTCCCGCAGATGAATATCCGCTATAGGTTTTGCTATCCGGGGGGCAAGATTAATGTCGAGGGCAATGCTGCTACGTATTTTCTTGATTTCAGTCGCATTCACCTGCGAGGGTCGCGCAATAGCCAATGCCACTTTAGCGAGAAGGGATTGTATGTCTGTTGAAGAGAACTGCATTTGTCGTAAGGCATGCGCAAATGCACTATTGGCAGTTCCGTTATCCGGATACATCAACTATTTGGAGAGATTCAGTTGGGGCTCAAGTCAAAATCTTATTCTTACTCTAAGAAGAGCTAGGTCGGTGGCGGACGGCGTTGGATTGGACTTGCAATAGGTTGACAGCTGTGAAGCTTTGGGGAATGGTTTGTTTCGGTATAACATGACACTATCAGGATCGATCTGTTGCCAAAAAAATGTCATCGAGGACAGTGGTTGCAAAAGAACGACGAACCATGCTCGCGACCAGGAGTTGACCGATGTTATTTGGGGTAGCAGATGTCGGCGCTTCGGATTGGTGGGAAAGACCAAATATATGGCCAACTTCATGATAAACAGCCCGAGTCGCTTCTGCTAGATGTTCTTTGGATACTTCATGTGGTGAGCCGTGAGGGAGGCCTGCCAGGAAAGTGGTTGCATATGCGAGTGCGCCAGCTTTAGGAAGTCCATCGAACTTTCTGGCGTCTGCCCCGGTATAAGACCAGCCCCAAACCCATTTCTCTGCCGTCTTCTGAACAGGACCCCCGAACGCAATACGGATATCGACACGGTGGCGATCTGCTTCACTCCAAAAATCGGCGGAACCCATGAGAGTGTCCGACACCTCTTCAAAGATGAGAGAGGTGTGTTTGGTATATTGTGCGATAACCTCTCTAACGAATCGTTTGCGGTATTCGGTGGGTGCTGTCTCCCTTTCGGGACCAAGAGATGGCAAGAAACCATACGTGATTCGTTCATGGGGCAGCCACAGTTGATCACGCGATTCGAGGTGGCGGTGAGAACTTGGTCTGGTTACGGAGGTCTTGGAGACAGCATCGTCACAAATCGCCGAAGCACACCATACATTTGCTGGCTCGAATTCAGGATCTAGAACGCCATGAGTCTAGCATCAAATCGAATTCAAGAATCTCACCTATCAGAGGGCCCGACACGTATGCTAGATCGTTGAGCACAGGTGCGCTTGTTGAAAGTCGTCCACGGCGATAATCTTGATTGAATGCCGTAGCGATGCTTGACCAGAGAATACCGATGAGTCCCTCGTCGATTTTGTTCCTTTCGCCGATAACTCTTTCAGCCAAGGCCAAGAGATTGCTCCGGTCATCCGGAGAGAAATTAAAAGCGTTTAAAGCAGCAGCAAACTTGCCATTGCTTGAGCCATTATCCGGGTACAGGAGCTGGAGGTGTGCTTAGATAACTGATCCGCCATCTGTCAAATTGCTCACACGTAGTAGGTCCAAATCGGTTGGAGAAGGAATAGTATTGGAGTTTGCGTCCCTCGAAGTACTAATCATGATGCTCATTGGGTCCACCTTGGGAATCATCAGCACAGAAACACTTGAAACGGACCAGGTCACGTGCCAACGATGATCTCAAAGAGTTTGCAACATTTTGTAAATTCTTGCTGTCAGCCGGATGCGATAAACCTATCCATAAGATGAGAGGACGCTTCAGATCATGAATTGAAAGACGCACCAAGAACATGACCAAGTTCATGATAAATCGCGGCCGTTGCACGACCATTCTCTTGCGCAGTGCTCTCGATCCAAGGCTGCCCGCCAAGCCACATCGTTGCATACCTGGGGCCAGGAGCGCTGTGCACATTACCGGGACCCGCAAACTCGAATGTCGCAAGCTTCTTCCCATTTTGCGACCACCCGTACCGCACTTTTCCACCCACTGTCTCCGGTTCACCAAACGCGATACGAAGGGGGCATTGAACACGGTCTGACACTTTCGAGAAATCCAACGAACGGAACTCGTCGTCTTCAACCTCAATGAATACGAGCGAAGTATGCCTCATGTAGAGCTTGAGAGCATTGCGAACACGGGTCTTGCGAAACTCTGTAGCTTCGCAGCCCCGTTGGTTCGAGTCAAAAAATCCAAATCTGATTTGCTGGTGCGGAAGCCAAAGAAGTTGTTTGGGGCTGATGCCTCGGTAGTTTTGCTGATCATCAAGAGTCAGACACCACTCGTCTGGTGATTCCTTTGCTGCTGGTGGATTTGAGATCGGGTCTACTTTTGGAGCCGCTGGCGATTGGTTGATTCTCGCTGAAGCCTGAAATGTAGCAAACAGGGCACGGACACTGGCGATGTCTCCAGCTTTGTGAGCTGCTGAAATTTCAGCTGCTGCATCTTTCCCGGTTGCCGAAACTTCGAGAGCGTGGTCTAACGTCCATTGAGGAGCGGAAGCATGTGGCGTTGGCCTGGGATAGTTGATGACCATGTAAGCCATGTCTTGGGGCGAGAGGGCTTGGTTGGTTTCGACAGCAACCCCTTCGACAGTCAACTCCGAGGGAATTGGATATCTTCAATTCGATATCAGGCGAAGAAGAAGGATCAAGTCATTGGACTCACTTCATAATGGATGCCATGTCTATCTCACTGTAGTTGGAGACGTCTGTCGTATTATAAACATCGAGAATACGTTGCTTGATCGTCTCCTTGTTCCAGCCTTGCGCTGCTGTATAGTATGCGTAGACTGCCTCTTCTTTCAGTGTAACCCCTCCACCCGCAGTGGGGTTATGGTGCTCTGATCACGGACGATTCAATACTCGATCAAGCACAGAAAATTCAGATTTACCGTGCAGCAAGCCAAGGCAATGTCCGAACTGATGCAAAATGGCTCCTCGGTCACTGACAGTGATTGTGGTGGTGTCAGCGACCGAACCTAGGTTCATTGTTGGAGCAGGACTAGGGATCTCTTTACTAGCATTCCCAACTGCGAAGAAATATTAAGAGAATGCGAAGTATAACTGAACAAGTACGTGCCATAACTCCAAGAAGCCTGGTGAGGGTCGAAGGAGATGCGAACGGTACCAACAGCTTCGCGCTGGAAAGCGATGTTGGCGTAGGGAAGCCTCCAACATTTGAGGTAGGGAGACGAGGAAGGGTAACAAAACTCACCATTCGAGCAGTACTTTGTCGACTTTTTCTTGCTGATTTTGAGTTCCCTCGATGAAGGAATAGGTGACGGTCTGGATATATGTTAGAAACTAGAACTGGGTTAGTGTCAGCATACACACCGCTCCACTATCCCACAAGCCGTCAACTTTTGCGTTCACCGCATCTTGCTGTGATCCCGCAGGTCCACCAATGGCACTGACAATCTTTTCGTCGCTGATTGCTCTTCTCTGCTGAGCCTCTTCTATCACGCAGGCGTGGGGGGTGGTTGAATCTGTAGCCATTGTAAGACGGATGGAGGCTGGGGTTAATGGCCCTCACTCGCTCGCTCTTCGCCATTTATCGAAATTGGTGAGGGACGAGTGTCAACAGAAAAAGCCGGCTTCACCAGCCGTAGCCGTAGCCGTAGAACAAGGGCTCCAAGCGCGATTCAGGGCGCAAAACCGGTGACAGGTCCAACCAGTCCGACACTAAAGTGATGTTGAAACTTGTAAATGAGCAAGTGGAATGGACCCCAAATGGTACGCGTACCTGATAATTACGACATGTCGTTGTTGTGAAAGGAGCCTGAGTTGCTAATAAGCTCTAATGCGAGTTTCTGGGCGGTACGGCAGGCGGGTGAAACTTGGGATGAAGGAACAGAACAAGATTAGGCGCCGATGACAAGTCACGCTTTCGTTACTCGCTTTATGACGACGACTGTCGTGCTCGGGTCGCAGTGGGGCGACGAGGGTAAGGGAAAGCTCGTTGACATCCTTGCTGCGGAGGCGGACATCTGCGCCCGATGTGCTGGTGGTAACAACGCTGGCCACACAATTGTTGCGCCTATCAATGGCGTCAAGACAACTTTTGCCTTTCATCTCTTGCCCAGTGGCCTTGTGAATCCTTCATGTATCGGCCTCATCGGAAACGGCGTTGTCGTTCATGTGCCCTCGTTCTTTGCGGAGCTCGATGCATTACAGTCCCAAGGCAAGCCAGCTGTCGAGATCTACCGCGACAATTTGACAGTCTTATAGGGCTTGACTGTTCTGGTCGACTTTTTGTTTCTGACCGTGCTCATTTGGTCTTTGACTTCCACCAAATTGTCGATGGACTGAAAGAAGTCGAGCTAGGAGGATCAAGGTGATCTTTCACTGTGGTCTCCACAATCGCATCTCAAGTTGTTATCGTAGCATCGGAACGACAAAAAAAGGAATCGGCCCAGCGTATTCTGGAAAAGCCTCCCGCTCTGGCCTGCGCATCCATCATCTCTTCGATCCGGAAACATTTGCGGACAAATTTCGCAAACTGGTCGAGGGCCGGTTCAAGCGCTATGGCTCGTTTGAATATGACACAGAGGGGGAGATAGTGCGCTATAAGGTGATTAAAACATGAATTGACAACCGTTTTTCTAAAAATCCATTTAGGAACTCGCTGAACGCCTCAAGCCCTACGTTGTAGATAGTGTTGTTTACCTCCACAAGGCACTGGAAGAGAAGAAGCGCGTCCTGGTTGAAGGCGCTAACGCTGCGATGCTCGACCTTGATTTCGGGACCTACCCCTTCGTGACATCATCGTCTACGACAATAGGAGGCGTTTGTACTGGCCTCGGCCTACCTCCACGAGCAATTGGCAACGCTGTCGGTGTCGTCAAAGCATACACAACTCGCGTGGGTGGTGGTCCCTTCCCAACGGAGCAACTTGATACTATTGGAGAGCATCTTCAATCTGTCGGACACGAATTTGGCGTAACTACTGGCCGAACACGTCGTTGTGGCTGGCTGGACTTGGTCGTTCTCACCCACTCCTGCTTGATCAATGGTTACGACGAGCTCAACCTCACCAAACTCGACGTTCTTGACGGACTGGCTGAAATCAAAATTGGTGTCGAATACAAAGTCAATGGAGCTGCCCTCCCAGGTTTCCCCGCCGACTTAGGCGTCCTAGGCTCAGTCGATGTTCAGTATTTCACTCTTCCCGGTTGGCAAACCCCGATCTCTTCGATCCGCAAGTACGAAGATCTACCAGAAAACTGCAGGACCTATGTGGAGTTCATCGAAGGGTTCTTGGGAGTGCCGATAAAGTGGATTGGTGTAGGTCCTGAACGAGACGCCATGTTGGTCAAGCCCAGAAAAGCTTGATCAGTTTAGAAAGGAAGGGAAAGAAGTAAGTAGTTCAGTGTAGCTTAGAGTACTAGATTATTGGCTATATAAGCTCATACCAACCGTAAACGATCCTCCGTCGAGTCCAAAACGCTGCAACTGGCCAGAGATCTTTCAGGCTGAGTCATGTCGGGCAAAATCGGACCATCGGCTCGGGATAATTCCGCTCCTGTGATTGGTTCCGGCGAAGACCGGCATCAACGTGATTTAAAAAGTTTTGCTGGCACTGCTGGTTGTTCCTCTTCCACTTCGTTGTACATTAACCAACCCTCTTTCCCCTCAACATCAAAATGCCTTTCGCACCTGGCGAGTCCTGTCCACCCTGTATTCCTTCTGGAGGCTAATGACGGTGCAGGAGACGCTGGTAAGGGAGCCGGTCTGTTCAAGACTCGCTGCGCTCAATGCCACACCGTTCGTTTTCTCTCTTTCTCTCGATCTGCTTTTGACCTCAAAGCTTACCTCTCCTCTAGCTCGGCGCGGGTGAGCCCAATAAAGTCGGGCCTAACCTCCACGGGTATGTCGTTGTCCATGTTGACACCATGAGCTAACTGTGGGCCCTCCAAACAGCATCTTCGGGCGCAAGTCTGGTCAAGCTAAAGACTTCTCATACACCGCTGCCAACGTCAACAAGGGCGTAACATGGGACGAGTCAACGCTCTTTGAGTACCTCGAAAACCCGAAAAAATACATCCCCGGCACGAAGATGGCCTTCGCCGGTCTCAAGAAAGACAAAGACCGGAACGACCTTATCACGTATATGAAGGAGGCGGTACGTTGCGCTGTCTTTGTGTTCAGGCTGTGAAGCTAACTAATTTGTTGCCAGACTGCTTAGACGGAGTTAGGGCGCGCCATCGGACGACTAGACTACTACATACACATTATAATCTGTCTCGGACGGCAAGCGCGTTTGGGTTCATTAGACGGTATTGTGGTCGTATATCCCCCCACTCATATCATTATTTGCATCATCAGCATGAGCTCATATGAGGATGTCGGATACTTTCCACATCGGATTCGGTGTACGCTTGACCGTGGTTGACATCATTGCTCACTTCATATAGGCCTCAGTCATGCGCTCTGTAGGCGTTGAATACTAACGGTCCGACCTATGAGGAACGAACGACTAGGTGAACACGTCCGGTCACATACGCGCTGACTGTGACATTCTGGTTCCAAAATCTACAGTGAATCGTGCTCTCTTGTGCTTGTGTCGACAATGGATAGTGTCGGTGGTGACGCGAGTGTTCTGTCTACCAGCGAGTGTTCTGTCTACCAACGAGCCATCCAACGAGCCAGTTCAGGGAGAATAGCTTGAAGTGTTCGCGAAATGTACTCAGGCACCAGCGGAACCTTCAATGCATCGAAACAGGCCCAGAAATCGGAAATGGTTTTGCAAGTTAATAGGTCAAATACAGCACGATTCAAACCACAAGATCTAGCTCATCATCATGACCACTCTTTCATCCGTCAGCTGGTTTTTTTTCTATGGGGGCGATCTAGCCAAGGATTTCAAGATCGTGGTTCGGTGCGTGGATATCGACTAAGAAAAGCTTATGAACAACTAGACGCAAAGCAGACAACTAGACAACGCACGGTCGGATTTTGCTTGAACAAGTCGGGCGTGAACGTGAGCGCCAACATACGAGGGCAGAGGTTTTTCCTAAAGACAGGGTGAATATCTCGCTTGGTATGTATAAGTAGTTACCTTGTTCGAACCAGGGACTGGCGGTTGCAAGAAGGGGACGTCTTGAACCGTCAGAGGGTATGGCGGATGGGCACGGTCTTTAAGAATACCCTCTGCTCGGCCAAGGAGATTATAATTGGCCACCAGCCGAGTAGGACGAGCGATATCCCAAGTAAAAAGGGACCTGTTTTTTCTGGAACGATAAGCAAGACGAAGCTCTTTGATATGGTATTCGACGCCTCCGTTCCTATAGGAAGTCGGCTGTTAAGTTGTGCAACGTCGAAACTTGTCTTCACTTACAGAGGCAAGTGCAAAAGATCAGAAAGAACTTGTTGGAAAGTCTGCCTGTGGCCGTCCGAAATTGCAACGGTACCGAGGAGTGCGTCTAGACCGGCAGGAAGGGGAAAAACTTCGTCGTAGTCATACAAAACTTCCATAGGGAGTTCATCTTCTTCTCCAGTGAAAGGTGGGCGCCACGGTTCTACGGGAGGAGCCGTGACCGCGAGGTCGATGTAAGCCGCCACTTGCTCAGCGATAGTTTTGTATAGGGGAGTGTGGTCTTCTGCCATTGAGGGCTGGGGGCAAGAAGCTAGAGCGGAAGACGAGCATTTATGGGGCTTCAAGTCACTAGCGCCAAGTCGAGTTAACTTTCATAAGTTGCGTGCCATCGCGGCGGAGGAGCTTGAGCATATAGTAAGTATGAGCATAGGTAAATTTCAATGCTGTCCTGCAAAGACAAGCTAAGACGCGTCGTGTCCGAGTCACATCAATGTTTCTGTTGCAGCTTGCAGAGATGAAGAGCGAATCGTGGCCTTCTCAGTTCAAATGGAACAGCGAGGATTGTCAGTTCAGAAAATCGCGTTGCGAGAACTAGTACGAAGGTACAAAACAAGTAGGAAACGAGCGGTCCAGAGTGGGGCGACATCTTCCGTAACATTAACGCCAGTATTTTTGCGACGCGCGGATCCATCGGGGAGCACTTGATGATGCAAGGCGCGCAAAGTGCTTAACCTGGAAGCTAGCGCACTGCCGGCGGTCCATCAGACGTTTAAGCCGAGTGCCGACACCACACCCTTCCAGGCCGCAGTTTGCCCCTTGCCCTCCCCTGTGCTGAGTTGTTGTTTGTCGGAAACTTGAAAAACCTTGAATTGAAGCTAAACAGAATCGGGTCCATGGATATCCGCCCGTCGCGTCCACACTGGGAAATTCAGGAAGAGTCGCCCACTCGTTGCGAAGACCGGGAGCCAAATCGATGGATAATCAGCACAGAAACAACGACAACTGTTGAATCGTACTTGAGATCGTGAAAAGAGGTGAAAGAGACCAGGTTCGTGGTCGATGTTCAGGGTAGAGTTCATGCTGGAGTTGTAGGCAAGGGAAGGGTTAGTTATTCAAGAGAAGGACATCGACCTGGACCCAAAGCTCGATTCCTCATTGTCGGCAAGTCAGTTTCGAAGTCGTCGAAGAAAGCCGGCTGCCAGAGATTCAAGATTTGCCAACTGATCAAGACGAGAATTACTTATGAAGGTGGTAGATAGAAAGCGAGCGACGATCTGAGGCTGGGATCAAATGCATGGGGTCCAACGACTTAAAAAGGCCATCCAGTTGAGACTGTTTCGGTTGCACTGATACATTGCACTACTTTCCGCCGGCGGCTGTCGCATATGTTTGCTTCTGGACTGTTTCATCGAAATCATCGTCCAAGTGGTGAGCAAGAAATGGGGATATACTTACTTGGAGCTTTCCGCTACGAGGCAAAAGGAGGACAAGTTTGTTGTAGATCGTGGCAAAAGGAAGTTTTCCAAGAAATTGATGACAACGACGAAGGTGAAACAGTAGTCGAGAAAACTCGCTGGAGTCGTTGTGGACTTCTGTAGCCGCTCCGTGGGAGGGTGCTGTGAGCTTTTGCGAGCTGGATCGAGAAGAACAGAGGGACTCGGATTGCGAGAACTCCAACTCCTTTGTAATATGTAGCAGCAGTTGTGTATTTTGAGCACAGTCGATTCGAAAAGTGATCACGAAGGCTTCCGAAAGCAAACATGGGCAAACGCGTTGTGTCACAGTTCTGTGGCTGTGACATATCACGTTGTCTTGTCCACAACACGCACTACGCTAGTACTACGCTTAGGCGACGCTTTGATTTTCTAGACGAGGACTAATATAACTCGGTGAGTCCTCTTTGCGGTGCTGTTATATCTTTCTCTCGCTCTAATCACCATGTCAGACCCAGAAACTAGTCTCAACCTCGCCACAAACACTGCCGACAGTGGCTCCCCACCAGTCGCGTCTAAATCCCGCCCTACTCATTCAACACCGCCGCGGCGCTCCGGAGTAGGTCACTCGGCCTCGCAGAAAGGTGGCAACGGCCCAGAGAAGCCTATCCCGTCACAAACACCTCGTAATCGAGTCTCTGAACACGGCAACCACACCCGCCGAACGGTGGGAAGGGACGACCCGGACGTCAGATGCTTAATGATGGATTTGGGGGTGTTCTTCCGCTCCAGGAATTCTTCGAACAGGCCATGGGTTATCCTGCCCCACCAAACCTCCAAGAAATGACGGCAACTATTCTCGAGCAATGTGAAGCCGCGTCCATCAAGGCCACAGAGGCTGCCAAAACCCTCTCGAAACAGAAAAAGGCTCGCAGTGCACGCAAGAAGACAAAAAAGCAGCGGCAAGACGAGAGCGCTCTGCAACAGAAGATGGTAAGATTCCAAATTGCCAATGGATTCATTCTGATGCTCTATTAGATGGACGTCTTTGGGGCTATGTTCCGTCTCTTCCCAAAGGACCGTCGCCCCGCCCTTGTCGATATGCGCAATACCCCAGTCTCATCGCTTGTTCCCGACGAGCCGGGGACTCGCCCAGATGTTGTTATGGGCAAAGCCGGGGTGCGCAAGCCATTAAAGTGGCTGTGGCGTCTACTGCAACTTGTTTTCGAGCTCAAACTCACCGTTGACATTATCGACGCACAAGGCGGCTTGAAGCAGAGTAAAGAGGCCTTGCTGGCTGCTCGGCAGTTAGGCAAAAGTGCGCGGAACTTGTTGATGAGTTCGGGTAGCACACATGTCTTCGCTGTCAGCATTTTCGACCACGAGTGGGCCCGCATCTTCCGATTCGACCACGGAGGCTTCCAGGCCACCGAAAAATTCCAATGGACACATGACCTCACGCCATTCCATCCAACTCTTTGTCCGAATGTATCGAATTCAACTCTCAGACATCACCAAGGTGGACTCGGAAGTGGCTCCTACTCCGGATGATAAGCTCGTTGATGGAAGCGACGATACAGTCCGAGTAGCGACCGATGACGAAAAAAAGCAACTATTCGCCGCCATCCAACTCGACGAGTTCTACAAAGCTATGTTCCCAACTCTCGACAGCTTGAAGGACTCCAGAATAATGCTTGCTGCTCGCCGAACCTCAAAAGACCTCAATGCGTCTAACACCGTCGTTCATTGTATCACAATGGGCGGGGCTCTCTCTACCAGTGACGGTCTCTTCAGCCGCGCAACCTGCGTCTACCGGGTTGCAATCGTGGAAGATTTCCCATCCAAGCTTTCGGTGTTCGCTTTGAAGGATGTTTGGAAGCAAGGTTGTCGTCGAGACGAGATGGACTTCTATGACGTCATCGCGAACCATATCGCAACCTTGGACAACTCGAACCAGCCACCGCATCCGGAAGATAAATTGACGAAGAAAGAGAAATCGGAAGGGATGGCCAAGTGCCACGGAAGCATCGATCTCTCCCAAGCCCGTGAAGACGCCCAATGGAACCCGACCCTTCATAAAACTTGCACTCAAGCCTCAGCACAAACGGCTTCAGCGTCGAGCAGCGAATCGACTAGTAAAATGGACTATGAGCGTCATCATGTTCGCTCGCTTAATCACTCCCGTCGGCCGACCACTGAAGGAGTTCCCTTCAACAAAGGCACTTTTCAATGCCCTATACACAGCTGCACTCCGTGAGATCCTCATGGCCATCTTCGTCTGATCACTCACAATCATTTTCAGACCACGAAACTGCGTTTGATGCTGGCGTCCTTCATCGTGACATCAGTGAGGGGAACATACTGTTTGACGAACGGACAATGAAGCAAGACCTTCCGGATGCGTTTCTCGTCGACTGGGATTACGCGGAACTGGTCGGAGGCGGACCGGACAAGTTTGAGGACGGGACTCTTACTGGACGAATGCCTGTTGATCGCGAGGAGCGAGACAAAAGTCTGAAACGATTCACGGTTCGTCTCCTCACCAACTTCGTTTCCGTACTCATTTCGAACAGGGAACATTTCCATTCATGGCACTGCAAAGTGTCAAACCTGAATCTACTTTCCGACACCAAAGCCATCATGATCTCGAATCTCTCTATTGGGTTCTGCTTTGGATGTCGCTTCGACACACGACGCATATCGACCCTTCGGAGGACACGCTCGCATGTGACGAGTACTTCAACTCGTCGGATGGGTTGAAGAAACGCGACTTGCTGCGATTCGACGAGCTTGCTGCTCTTTTTGACGAGGCTGCTAAACGGCTGCCGCTTTACCGCGCGCAACAAAGCTCTTCACCAATGCTGTTCTAAGGCAAAATCCAGTCGCTCAATACGTTGATGAAGACGAGGATGTGCAATACCCCCCGACACTCGCAGCGCTATCAGCAGCAGCACAACCCTCGGCGCATGGGGCGAACGACGTTTCGCAGCACGGCAATGAACCAATCTTGCTGACCCATCGTCTTGTCAATCAGCTTTTCGAGGCTTTCAAGCAACGAAACACCTGGCCTGTCGACGATAAATCGCAGCCTTTTCACCGAAAAACGGCGGCCACATCTTCAGCTCACGAGATGGTTCCCAATAATGATAGTGGCTCGGACACCTCGTCGTCTGACAGTACTTCTTACACCGAAACACTCAAGTCTGGAAATGCTCCGAAGCGTTCGCGAAATGGGACCGGGTCGCAGAAGGGGGCCAGGAACAGCGTGAATTCCGATGCAGGGAGCGCGACGCGACGAAGGCCACAAGACAACGATACCCAGCCGGTCGGCCGAGCCCTTCGCAGTCTAACCCGTGCAAGCACAAAGAAATAAGATTAAGACTGTCTGTCATCGTGTACTATGTAATGTTACTTGAGACCATGTTCGTAGTCGATGCCGGAGGTAGCCTGAGTTCAATGCCGAGACGTCGTCTTCCCTAACATCTGGGCCAGTATTTTGCTTCAGAGTTGTAGGCCAAGGGAGGGGTTAGATGTGCAAGTCGCGCAGAAGGACATCGGCCTTGACCCAAAGTTTAAGCCGCTGAAGGTCACTGCGCCGTAGCGTCAAGTGCCCGCTAATGCTTCGCCAAAAAGGGTCCCTAGCAGCAGGGGGTACAAGGCTGTCCTCTACCACTTGCTCTCCTTGCTTGGATCCGTCCGGTTAAGGCCTCGCCGCATCGGCACTGGGGAATTCAGGAAGAGACGCTCGGCAGTTCCTCGTTGTCGGCAAGTCGGTCGAGAAATTGTCGCATAGAGGAATTCGAGATTTGTAGAGGGCCGGAAGATCACAGCAACTATGGATGAACGAAGAGGGTAGAAGAGCGTCGTCAAGCATGAATCACCTCGAGGTGCAAGAAAAGAGACGTCTGCTGTGACCATGGCGTTACAGTGGGTCCGAGTCCAACCACTGGCACTTTAAAAGCAATCCAATCCAGTTGAGACACAACCGATACCGCACCACTTTTCCGCCGTCGGTGTGTCTCATCTTCAAGTATGTTTCATGGGCTTCACGTGCATCAGCTGGTTCTGGTTTGCTTTCTGGTTCCTGGCTTCCCTTTTATCTTCAGATTCTTCACGTTGTTGGCTTATTCTACAGAGAATATGGGAAATACAATTAGTTTACACCTATACTTCTAAGGCCAGCATCCCAAGCCATAGGTAATACTAAGTAATAGTCATTAAATCAGTCATTTCGAAGTCATCTACGTCAGCCTCTGGAGGCTCTGAAAGCGCCACCGACATCGACACATCTCGATTTGTTGCCATCGATGGAGAGCGCATGTAGTCATCAGAGCCTTCGCGTTGCCTTTGTCGCTTTGAGATGTTCGGCGCTGCGCTAGGCGTCTTCCGCTTTCGAGACGTTGTCGGCGGAGGGGGGCTTGAACTTGGAGGCAAGTTCTGAACTCGACTAGATCTACGGGCCCATATGTTGACCTTGGGATCCGGCTGAGGTGAGGACTTGTTGAATGTCGCCCGCTGGTCAGGCTTCTGTTCGTAGTCTGTTTTCCATTTGTTTAAGAAATCCCTGTTGTCTTCTTCCAAGATAATTTTATCCCAATTAATGGTACAGATGGGATGGTGGCCAGGATCGTTCAGCACTTCTTCGTCCACTGACTCGAGACCTAAATGAAGGGGGAAAAATGCAAGGACGCCGAAGAAGTCGAAATCCGTGTCGGTCAAGGGTGGCTTTCTTTGGCGCATCGGGATTAGGGAAAGGTGGCTAACGCCATTGCAGCCTCTTTACGCAAATTTGGGCATTTTACATGTTTGTAGGCGGTGCCATTCTAAGGGTTCATCAGTTGGAACACCTCCAGCGTGGAAAGAAACAAACTTGTAACATCCAAAAACTTTCTTGGCGTCACCGTTTTGATTGCTTTTTTCTCTTTCTCTGCAATCTGTGCGGGGTCCCCGTGAATTTTTTCCCCTCCACTCCAGTTTTTGCACTGTACTACCACCCAGACAAAGGAACCATCATCATCATCTAGTTGTAGTTTGAGGATGACATCTGGTCCCATATTCTGACTAGGGAAGCATATCGGGGCGCGGAAGGGGGTCGCAATGATTGAGCCACTCGAGAGTAGCCTCCTCGCTCCGACACTGACGGCCGAGATGCCCTGTTGGAAGCAAGTACTCTGGCCAGTTCACAGGGTAGACCCGAGCAGTTGAACCAGGACCGTCTTCGCGATGAATTGAGACCAGACGAGCGCGCCGATTTCGCATCCAAACAGGGTTGTACTTCTCATCGAAAGAGAAAACATCTGAGAGCGGCGCAAAGTTGCCAAAGGCGCGCGCGAGGACCAGGGCAACATAACTTTCGAAACCATTATGTTGCGAGCCAAGCCTTGTTAATGTAGCGCTTTCGACTTTTCGCATAAAGTACTCCCCAAAGGCATTCCGAGCGCTGCCCTGTTCGTTTTCCGCTTGCTCTATTTGCCAGATGGCCGCAAGAATGATCAATGGTTCGAAGAGACATGTTTCCCCTAGCTTCTCCTTTTGGGTGAAGCGAGCAAAACCAGCCTCCACAAGAACATGCGATGCGCGTGTAATGTCCAAAGCCGAGGAACGAACGAACGATTCAAAAATCGTGTTGACAAACAGTTCTCGGGTGGAGGCACCTGTAAAGTCAAGTGGTGAGATGCTGTTTTAGACCATCATCTATGCCAGCAACCTACTTTTCGCAATCTTGCTGTACTTCAATTGTTTGATTAGAGTATTACGATGCTCGCCAATATTAAGGGGCAGGCGTATCTCAGAATTTGGCGAGTCTGAAGGAATAAATCCAGTATTCAACATGATCCAGTTGTCAAGTTCGTCATGGGGATTCTCGAAACCCGTCTCCAACAGGTACGAAATGGCCGAAGCCGTAGTTCGGTAGCTGCGAAAGCCACTGAATTGGGGAAGTAAATAAAGAAACGAAGAGAACGTACCGGCCGGTGAGCCATATGCTCATACGCTTGATGAGACTTTCTCGTGAAAGAACGTCAGGCGGAACAAACTTGTTGAGATATGCGATGTGCGCTCGAGGGTCCTCGTAAAATCCTCCGATAGTTGTCTTGAACATAGAATATCTCGGAGTCCCCTTGTAAGCCACTGAGTGTGCAGCGTCCTCGATGACTTCAATATCCAAGCCAGTGCCAGTGAGAATAGCAGCAAGACCGGCCAACACCAGAAAATTGAGAATGACGATGAACTCCCTTAAAAGAGGACGCTGTTCATAAATGCCTCGACTGTTTGGCTCGCCTGAGCGGAACGCATTTCGCATTCCAGCAGCGAGCTGGGCTTCGTCTAAAACAAAAGAGTAGGCTTTGTTGTCGACTTTCTGGTCAGGTGGGTGGTCCGAGTGGGCCGTGATAAGTTCCGAGACTGCCTGGAGAATCTGCTGCCAGAGTTCTTCGAATCCGTCCGTGGTCATGGTTGGAATTAATTTTCGCTGTGCATAATTGGGCGAATCCAAATATCTGGCCAGATCAAGAAAGATGTCTGCATTGATCGAACCGAGGAATGCTGGATGAATTTGGAGCAGGGTCCATCGGCGCTTATCAGAGGCAGAAATTTTTCGTCCGGACTTGACTATAGCGGTGATAAAGAGCCTGAACAAAAGGATACGAGCGATAATGACATGAATAAAACAACTCTGTGCACACAGTTGATTATTCTCCAGTTTCGCCTTGAATTTTTCGAATTCATCATCGTTTGAGTAGCGCGGAAGGTGAGAAGTGAAATAGCCTTTTTCCTTCCTAAGAGTCAAACGGTGGATGATATTGTTCATGTCACCCGAGCCCAGATCTCCCTCTTTGTCTTTGAGGCAAAAGTAGAAGCCCCACTGGTGGCACAAGGCTTCCAAAGCATGACGTGTTTTGCCGGCACCTGAACAGTTCATGACACATCTACAGAATATCAGAGGGAGGTCTCATATACTTTCTGGAAGCGTACGTTAAGCAGCCTTTCTTAAATAACTCTTGGATCCGCTGGTCCATATTCTGGTCTTCCGCGTAGTTACCTAGTTCATGAAGAAGCAGACTGGGTGTTGACGAAGGCTCGAAACTCGGTATACGAAGATTTCGGATAAAATCTAGACGGTCGGGGGACAAGGTACCCCGAATATTCTCGGGAGGTTCCCACATCGGTATATTCTCCTTCTCCCAAGTAGGTTTGACGAATTCGAGCATCTTCTCGAAGTTGTCGTTGAGCAGTTTGATCACTTCGTCGGAGAGGTCCAGCCCCCAACTTCGTGCATCGAAGTCGCAGTCGGATGTCGAGGACATATCGTCGTGGAGAAGAATGGGTCTGTTCGGTTGATAGTGAAAGGGGAGACGGATGAGAATCAAGGAGGGCACAGAGTTGTTTTATAGCCCGAGAGAACAAAAGACTTGGTTGCGAGATGCTATTATCGTTGTCAATGATGAAGGAATAACAACAACTTCGTCGCGAAGGATTGTTGCCGCTGGGCCGATTGGTGGGTATTTTGAACTGCTCTTGTCTGTACAAACACATCGTAACTCATGGCTTGTCCTGGGCGGTGAATACCGGATTTGGAAGATGGGGAGTTCAAAAAAACAATAATTCCTGTCGAAAGAAGCATCACCCAGTTGACAGACACGATGATACATCCCAGTACATCCCACGGACCCACACTGGCAAGAATTCAAAAGCGTGTAGTGTCAGCAACTGGCGCGACTAGTAGTGGCTCAGTAGGGTTTTTCATGCGTTGAAACGACCTTCGGTGGTTGTATGAGGAAACTTGCTTGGACCAATGTTACACCTAGACGGGCTGGAGTCAAGATCAAAGAGTGGGACCTACATACATGCACTACACACAACGTGACCGTGACTGTCAAACATTCATGCTTCAAGCTGTTGGCCCACAAAAGTCTTTCCATGGACTCGCCACTCTCGCTGAACGACAAAAAACTCGATGCATTAAACGCAGCTCATGCTCGCATCGAAAGTTTGGAGGTCGCCGCCGATTTTTTGTCTGTCTTTCTGACAGATGCATTCTTGAAAGCTGAGGTCCCGGTGGACGAACAGCTCACAGCAGTGACCTCCTGTCGCAACATTCTCTCCACTAATCCCAAGCTATACAGTAAGATTCAACGTGCGCGACTAGCAGGCGACTCGGATGCCCGATTCGCAGCCATAGCCAGCTCTCGTAGGGCACAAATCATTTGCGAACGATCGAGGCTGACATAGTTTAGTTCCTGCACTCGTATCCTCGAATGCTCGCCTTATCCTGGACAAATTCAGGACGGATATTCAGACAGCGGAGATACTGGATCTTTGGGAGCCCCGAAAACAGACCGAGTACAAGGACGAAGGCATTCTCGCTTTCCTGGAGTCCCTCCGGCTATCCCACCGATACGACTCTCTCTCTATCATTCTGCACGACTTGGGAGGATTCAGCAACGACCCAATTCTCAGTGCACGCGTTTCAGACATTTTCAGTCCAACAAACAAGTACGCTGCGTTTTAGATTTGTTCTTGACTTAGATTCCTAGGTTCCTTGTGAACGCCTCTGGGACTGGCAAAACTCGTCTTTGTTATGAGGGGCTCTGCACTAAGTGGGGCTTTTATGTCTGTGTCCACAACGACGAGGGTCGTTTGGGGTCGTTTGATGTTGAGAGGCTCATGCGCAAATGTCAAGAGGACTTTTTGTTGAGAATCAAATCCGACGAATATGACAAGAAAGTCGAACATCTGGCGGTATCGTTTCGTGCTATCTTGCTTGCTCGGCTACTTTTATTCCTGGTTTTCCTCGAAGCAGAAGACGTTGCCGAAGTCCAAGGCTCACACGACCATCTCAAGAAGCGTTGGCTCACGATGCAACTTAATCCAACGAACATCAATACACCACCAGCAATCACTGACCCATTCGAACGTCTCGCGTACAATCTGGTGAAGCACGACTCGCTCTATCTCTCACAGAACATAGCAATTGCTCTGGACAAGATTCATCAGATAATTGGGGAGCCCCTGTTTCTGGTCGTGGACGAGGCGAGCTATGCCGTGGACAAGTTCTCCGATAAGTTAAAAGGCGCTAGTCTTTTGCAAATTCTCCTTGCAGAATGGACAGAAAGGGCCGGAAAACACGGCATCATCATCTGCGCCGGTATCAAAATACCACAAGAGCGGTTTAAAGACGGCCCAGGTAGTGATTTCGACTGGACCTCCGACACGGGTGGATTTGACGATCCTGCTCAGCAAGAGCGCTATGTAGCCCAGTTTTTGCCGCCATCGCTACGTGATTCCCCAGCTGGGCATTTTCTCGTGGCGAGAACGTGGCGCTGGCTGCGAGGAAGGTAATACCTTTATCTGAGCAATAATCAGCTGTTGATAAAGAAAAACCAGACACCGTCTTACAGCGACGTTCATGGCCATTCTTCTGTCTGAGGGGCTTTCCCAGCCCCATAAGCGGCTTGATGGTTATATCGAGCACGCCATATCCTTCCGACCTGTGGATGCTGTCGACTTTTTGGAAGCGGAAGGAGATGCACCAAGTTGGCCCGGGGGATTCCATCCAATAAAAGCCTCTGACATGTCGGAAGGTGTGTGTCTTTTCGGAGCTCCCCGAAAATCTGACTGATATGAAAATAGAGGAAAAGGACTTGTTTCGCAAAATTCTCTTCCGGTACCTAGCGACTCATCAAACCTCGCCCGCTTTGGCAATCGACCAAGTGGCTTTGATGTACTATGACTGGGCACGTTTTGGAGACACGCGCATGACGGAAATCGTGCTTGACGAACCCATGCCTCTTTTAGGCATCGCACGGACACTCTTTCCGTACCCCACAGAATCAAGGCCAGGCGAGCCAAATGAGAATCCGGCAACCTTTATTCGCAGTCTCCGTCGAAACATCCCTCAAACATCAGAATCTCTTGCGCATTGTCTTGTCTTTTATCTTACCCAGGCCCTCGGTAAGGGCAAGCGCCTCAACCAAATCTTCTCATCTCTAAGTGGACCTCCGGAATGGACCCAACAACCCGCAGAGCTGGTTCGTTTCCACCGGACTGATTCAGACGAGATAGCTTGGTCGCCGGTAGCTAGAGGCGACTTCCAATCTTTCCGACCGCTTGCATATCAAGCAACATCAGTAGAGGATACCCTTGCGTGGATGGAACATCGGGTTGGAACAGCGTTTTGTTTACCACACTCATCAAACGTCAACCTCGTATTCGTCATTCGCATAGCAGACGGAAGTTTCGTCTGGGTCATCCTCAAAGCCGTGGTCAATGAAGAGCCTATTCAACCCTCAAATCTCCTTGCGATGTTATCATCACTACAGCCCAACGCTCTCCTGCAGGTTCGTTGGTGACCTTCTCTATATCCATTCTGAATGTTAACACAGGAAATCGATGACATCACTCAAACTCGACTACAGCTTGCATACGATTCGCTTCCGAAGACTGGCGGCTGCAAAATTCTGCGTGCCTTATGTGCCTTTCCTGTCGAGATTCCTGTTTTCGAGGCCGATCAGACTCCCGGTTTTGATCAGGGTCTTGAAACCACTGACGTTGCCATTATCAACATCTCAGCTCTCGAATCTCGCTCTTATCAAGTCATGCAGCTGTCTTTTTTTGATGCAATCGTCGCGGGTGTGCTAGCGGGCAACAAACGCAAGTCGCGCTGGGAAAATGACGATGAAAAAACATTGTGGACAAGTCGGAAGCGGCTCAAGTTGGAGTATCTCAATGGCCGAGAGCAGAGGCTACTTATATGGCCACAAGTGTGGTGGGACGGGCCAATCGTGCCCGAACCTGAGGATTTGGAGGCGGTCGAAGCGACGCACACGCAAGCCAGGAGGCCACCAATGCGGCGCAACAAGGGGAAAAATAAGAAAACGGAGGGGTCTACAGTAGAGAGAACGCGAACAGACGGAGCCTACAAGTTGTCTACTAAGAACACCAAGACTACTCAGAGCAAGCGAAGTAGGCCTCCGACTGACCAGACTGTGGCGCCTCGTGGTAGATCGAGAAGAACCACAGCAGATGTCGATGGCCCGTCTGAGCCTTCTGCGGAAAGCAGCAAAAATCCTCGTACGAAACGAAAGGCGCCGCTTGTAGATGAACCAGAAGTCGTCACTATAGATCTTGACAAAACTCCAGCACAAAACACGCGCAGTAGATCCAAGAAGGTCTGAAGTTACAATTTTCTCTTTCTCCTGACCTGTGCTGTCTATTTTGCTTTCGTCGTTCTAGTTCGCATTTTGCCCTGTTTTCCTGTTGCTTTCAAGATGTATTTGTACTGTACTCGGACGTTATCTGCAATGTCTGGCCGCTGTTGAATCAATTCAAGTTTTGAACTTGATCTCTACACTGCCACATGCCTTTCCCTTGATGACACTTCCACACGCAGACAACGGACTCGAAAAGAGAATGGTCCTGAAGAGCAATAGAGGGTGAAAAGGTGGGACGTAGTCCTGAATTGCATCTAATTAGGCACCGCTTACCTCAAAGCATAGACGATGTCCTGGACCCACAAGGAATGTCACCCAAACAATGTTCATCCGAACCTACGATGGATGACCAAACCCTATCAAGATACTCCTCGAACGAGGAAGGTCTGACTGTCTTCAAGGAACGCCATAGCCAGATAGACAACTTGGATGCCGCGGCAGAATTCCTGTCTTTAGTGCTCAAGGTCTCATTCTCGAGAGCCGAACGGCCAGTCGACGAGGACCTCACGGCAATTACTCACTGTCACGAGCTCCTCGTTACTCAGCCTAAACTATATCATGCCATTCAACAGGCAAGGTTGGAGGATGACTTGGCGTTGGTGACGGATTCCCGTATGTGAAAGTATCACTGCAGACAACTCATACAGAAGACTGTAGCTTTTACCCCACCTTTGATCTCCGCGACTTCGCGTCTGTATCTAAACGCCTTTCGTCCAAGAATGAACATTGCAACTGAGGGTAGACTTCTTGGAGCTTGGGAGCCGCGAAAACACACCAAATACACGAGCGAGAGAACACTGACGTTTTTAGAATCCCTCAAGCTATACCAATGTTCGGAATCCCTTCCTATCATCCTCCATAACTTAGGGGGGGTTCTTGAACGATGATATATTCAAGTTGAAGGATCGTCTCTCAAGGTTATTTACTCCCACAAACAAGTCAGTCAAGTCTGGAAACGTATGCAGACTTCAAACTGACAACGATTAGATTCCTCGTCAATGCATCTGGAACCGGCAAGACTCGGTTGTGCTACGAAGGACTTTGCTATAAGTGGGGTTTTTACTTCAGCTTCCACATAGACGACAGTCGCCTTGGGTCACTCGACTTGCATATCCTGCTCCCTGAAACTCGGAATGCAGAATATATTAACGGTGAATTGTCCCAGAAAACAGAAGCCCTGACCATTACCTTTCGTGCCATCCTTTTGGCTCGGCTCTTGGTATTCTTGTCATTCCTCGAAGCCGCGGCAGTTGAAGAGGGTCATATCGCTGATGAAATGAAGAAGCGATGGCTCATCCTGCAGCTCGTGCCAGATAATCTCCGCGAAGCATGGAAGATGGCCGACATTTTTAAGGACCTTGCAAGAATGCTGGCAGCACACGACTCGCCCTCCCTCGCGTGGAACATAGATATAGCCCTGCGCAAGATTCGCACCTTTATCGGAGATGACGCTTTGTTCCTTGTCTTGGATGAAGCCAGTTATGCCGTTAATATGTTCTCCCATGACCTGGAAGGCGGCTCCTTCTTGCAAGTTGCTCTTCAGGTCTGGGGAGACGCGACAGAGGGGCAGTGTCCAATCATTTGTGCGGGCATTAAAATACCTCAGGAACGGTTCAAAGACGGCCCTGGCAGTGCTTTCGCGTGGACTTCAGATACTGGTGGATTCGACGACCCTGTTCAGCAAGAACAATATGTGGCTCAGTTTCTGCCTCCTAATTTCCGTGATTCGCCTGCAGGGCGTTTTCTCATAGCGAGGACGTGGCGTTGGCTACGTGGAAGGTGCTGCGACCGTTCTGGTGGTGGAAAATCGTTTGACAATTCTTAGGCATCGTTTTACTGCAATGTTTGTGGAAATTCTGCTATATGAAGGCATCGAATTCCCGCACGCGTGTTTGGACAAATATATCCAGCACGCACTTTCTTTTCGAGCTGCCGACGCCCTCGACTTGGTGGAAGCTGAAGGGAAACCGCCCAGGTGGGAGAAAGGTTTCTATCCAATCAAAGTCCGCAGAGAGTCGGAGGGTGTGTAATTTCAAGCTATACGAACTATCGGCGGCTAATGTTGCGACAGAGAACAAGAACTTGTTTCTTCAGATCCTGTGGCGTTACATGGCGACCCATAACGTCGCACCGTTGCTGGGTGGAGATCAAGTCGTCCTAATGTATGACGACTTGGCGCGCTTTCACAATCCGGAGTTGACAGAAATTGCACTCGATGAACCGATACCCCTTCTCGTCATCGCAAGGACTTTGTTCCCCTTTCCGACCAAACCAAGTCCAGGCAAGCCCAACGAGAATCCGGCGACCTTCATTCGCAGTCTCCGCCGAAACATTCCTCGTACATCGGAATCTCTGGCGCATTGTCTCGTCTTTTATCTTACACAGGCCCTCGGCAAGGGCAAGGGCCTCGACCAAATCTTCTCCTTTCCACCTGGGCCTCCGGAATGGGTCAAACAAGCCGCAACCCTTGTTCGTTTCTATAGAACGGAGTCAGATGAGATAGCCTGGTCGCCAGTAGCCGCAGACGAGTTCGAATCTTTTCGACCACTAGCACATCATGCTGCGTCCGTGAAGGAAACTCTTTCCTGGCTGGAGCATCAGGTTGGCACCGCGTTTTGTCTACCGCATTCTTCAAACGCCGACTTGATATTCGCCGTTCAACTGGCAGATGGAACCTTCACCTGGGTTGTACTCAAAGCGATGGTTACCGAAGAGCCTGTGCAACTAGCGGAGCTGCAGACGATCCTGTCTTCACTTCAAGTTGGCAATTTATCCAAGGTCAGTCTGCTCCTGTGCTCATTTTTCTCATTCTCACAATCCAACCAGGACGCTGACGACACCACTCAATCTCAATTCCAACGCGCATTTGATGCACTCCCCAATACCGGCAGCTGCAAAGTTCTGCGCGCTGTCTGTGCTTTTCCAATCGAGATACCTGCTGATTCTGCCGATCTTCATGGCGATTTAGACACCGCCGCCATCGTTAACATCTCCGCCCTCGAATCGCGCTCCTACCAAGTCATGCAGACAGACTTTTTCGCCGCGATCGTTGCAGGTGTTCTTGCCGGTCATAAACGCAGGTCGCCATGGGAAAGCAGCGGCGAAAACACACTGCAGACGAGTCGGAAACGAATGAAGTTGAAGCATTTCCACCCCGACGAACAGCCGTATGTCACGTGGCCGCAGGCGTGGTGGGACGGGCCAATTCTGGATGACGAGGAGGGAGTTGAAGCGGTCGAAGAGGCACCGGTGCAAACCAAAAAATCAGCGACACGCGGCAAGGGGAAGAAGAAAGCGGAGGCGTCAACGAAACGAGAGACCAACGCCGCTCCATCTAAAGCTCACAAGTTGTCTGCCGAGAAGACTATCCGTAGCAGGCGAAAGGGGCTTCCAATCGACCAGCCTGCGGCGCGTCGTGGCGGTAAAGCCAAGTCCGCGGCCACGGATGTTGGTGCTATAGCTGAGACTCATGCTGAGGGGAGCAGAAATCCTCGTCCGAAGAAACGCAAGGCGCCACCTGTAAATGAACCTGATGTCGGCACTATAGATCTCGACAAAACTCCCGCACAAAACACGCGGAGTCGAACGAAAAAGACGTGAAAAACGGATGCCTTTCCCTATGATACCCTGTTCAATTAGTGCTTTGACCTGCTTTCTTTTGCTATTCGTTTCCGTTGTATCCATATATTGTACCTCTGAGGGTCCCATCATCCTATATCATAGAGCCGTAGCATATACTTATAGGTAGGCATTGTAAGGTAGTAGGTAGTGCTTGAAGCAAGACACGAGTAGCTCTAACCAGAGGTGGCTTGCTTGAAATGGCTACGGCACTTCCACAGGATGAAAGGAAATTTCATTGCCTATGCCTACTTACTCAACACCACCATGATCACGAAAACGTGTTTTCTGGTTTACATACCTACCTAACACACGCACACCTAACTAGTCTTACGATTACCTTGGCGAACTAAAACACACTCAGTATCATCAGGATAAAGGAAGGGAAACTTTTGGCTCCGATCCATGCTTCAACTGCTCGACTTGCGCGTGCGGATGACCTTGTTCCGAAGCTCGTTCTCGCGTTTGGTGAGGTCAGGGGTGGGTTCACGGTTCGGCTAAACGACTCGTCAGAAACCTATCAAAAACGGAGTGGTAAACAACGAACCTCGCCTTCATCCCAGCGACTTTGTAAGGGCAACCCCGGAGGCCTGAGATCAAGGTCCTAGCAGGGGAGGATCCAAAGCGTGAACATTGGTAAGCGAATACAAATGAAGCTGACCTAGCAGGGGAGGATCCAAAGAGAAGAAACTCTAAGGGTCCGCCTGCTAGGTAGCTGACTATATACTGCTTGTCCGTAGCTGCCGCTGTCGGGCACAGAAGGCTTGGGCGGCGTCGCAGGCGAGGTCCCAGGGCGACCGTCGGGAGGGCGTTGACGGATCGGTGATTGTGCGGGCGAGATGGAGGGCCGGACCGGAGACGGAACCGAGTCGGACCGGAATCGGAGGCGTCTCCGAGGGGCCGAAAGGGGGGTTCCCCTGACATCACCCCCCCCTTTGAATGCGGCGTCCCGACGCATAGACCGGAACGGAATCGAGTCGAAGGTCGCGGAGGCGATGTGTCGTGGCTTGCCAGGGTACTTACGATAGAACTCCGCAATTTTCTCCGGGGCGAAGACGCGGTCGAAGCGGACCCATTGGTCGTGCGATGCGTCGTAGCCTTTCCATCTGACGAAGTAGTTCAGCCGCTTATACCTCACCCTTGCGTCCAGGATTTCCTCTACTTCCCACTCCGGGACTCCGTCCTCGAGGTCCGGAGGGGGCTGGTCGTAGCCGGGCGTCCGTCGAAGGGGTCATCCTGGGCGAGCTCGAGCTTGACGACGGGGAAGACCGGGTGGAGCTTCGAGTAGCGCGGAGGGAGGTCGAGCTTGTAGGCACCTTTGCTGATCTCCGCGACTATCTTGAACGGTCCAAGGCGGCGATGGGAGAACTTTTCCGAGGGGCGAGTCGTCCTGATGTCAGAGGCATCCAGCCAAACACGGTCGCCAACCTTAAACTCCGGAGACGGAGTCCGTCTCCGGTCGTAGTAGCGCTTGTACTCCTCTTTGGCCTTAGTGAGCGGCCTTGGCTTCAGCAACACCAGTGGCGATCCGGTCGCGGAACTCGTTCACTGACTCCATGGCGGAACGGACTCCGGGTTCGAAGCCCATGCGGGAGCCGTCCCGTGTCCGTCATGAAGGGGACCTGCTGCGTGGAGGAGTGAACGGGTGGTTGTTGTAGGCGAACTCCGCGGCCGGAATCAGCTCATCCCAGTCGTCCTGCTGGTAGTTGGTGAAGATCCGCAAGTACTGCTCCAGCTCCTGGTTGACGCGCTCTGTCTGACCGTCTGTCTGCGGGTGGTACGCGGTGGACGTGGCGGGCTTGATGCCGATTAGACGCCAAAGTTCTCGGGTGAAGTCCGCGATGAACTGCGAGCCCGGTCGGAGACGTACTTCTCCGGAGTCCCATGGTGCCGCCAGACATTCCGGTAGTAGAGGCGGGCTGCCCCTACTGCATCGACCGTCGTATGACACTCTGAGAAGTGGTGTCAGGGGAACCCCCCGCTTCGGCCTCCTTCGGACCCTCCGAACGCATCCGAGGCGCATCCGACCGGCGCCCCCTCGGACGCTCCGACCCACCCCCGACCATCGTCCCACGGCCTCCTTCGCCCGCACAATCACCGATCCGTCAAGACCCTCCCAACGATCACCTTGGGACAGAGCCTGCGACGCCGCTCAGGCCTTCTGCGCTCTACGTCGGCAGTTACGGACGACCAGTATATAGTTGGCGCCCTAGCAGGCGGACCCTTAGAGTTTCTTCTCTTTGGATCCTCCCCTGCTAGGTCGGTCCCTCCGTGTATTTCCCGTAGCTTTTATTCACCTTTGGATCCTCCCCTGCTAGGCTTTCGTCGGAGTCTCCAGGGTTGCCCTTACAGCAGAAGAAACTCTCTACGGGATTAACCGGTCAAGATTGCCAGGTTTGGTGCTGACTCAGGCTCGGAGTACGAGTCCGTACCCCCCCTCGTCACCGCCCCTGCCACTTGACCCCTCCTCCTCTGCTCTTGTCGTCTTTACGCCCGCTATGTCTACCGGAGCTGCTCCGGACGCTGACGACGCGCATGGACGCACTTGAGGCGAAACTAGACAACCTCACCAATCTCCTCACCCACCTTGCTTCCCAGGCTTCCGCTGCCGCACCACCTCCGGCAGCTCCCGAACCGCCGCCGGCATCTCCGAATGCCCCCGACGCGGATGCGTTATTTGGTGACATTACTGTCGCCTCAAAACTGGTCTTACGACCAAACCCCCCGTTTGCGTTTAACGGAGATCGCAAACGCGGCCGCGCCTTCCTATACGCGGTCAAAACCTACGCTCGGCTTGCCCCGGAGGCCTTCGTAGTTAACGGAGAGCCGAGCGAAGAAAAGGCCGTCCGCTACGCCATGTCCTATATGGCGGAGGGACCTGCTCAGCAATGGGCAGAGCGTCATGGGAGCAAAAACCCCTTCCCCTTCCCTCGGTGGAGCCAGTTCCTCTCCGAGTTTCGCCTTCGGTTCGTCGAGGAGAACGAACAGGACCCTCGCTCGCTAAGTTGGAAGCGCGGGTTATCACATGGGAACGCGGGATGTCTACGGATATACCGACGACTTCGAGGACTTGATGGACCTCGCTGGCTTGAAGACGCGTTGGTTAAGGTAACCAAGTACCGCCACGGACTTGACCCCTTGATCAACAACGGCATCACCTCTTCGAACGACCCCCCAGACCTCCGTGACTATCTAGGCTGGCGCACTCGGGCTTTCCGACAATATGAAGCCCTGGTGCGAGCGAAGCTCATTAAGGGAACGGCTACCCCGCGGACCGCCGGGAGCTCCGCGGCGCCTTCCCCATCACTCGTTCGGCAACTCCGTTCCCCCATCCGCCCGGTGGCCGCACCTGCACCACCCGCGGCCCGCGCCCCGTCCCGGTACCTCCGGCTCCCGTCCCTATGGAGTTGGATCGTACTAGGGCTCGGGGCGCCCCTCGTCGAGCCTGCTTCAGATGCGGCGACCCCAATCACTTGGCTCGGGACTGTCCGCTCCCCGCCGATGTTCGCCATATGGACATCCTCGACGAGGTGATCCAGCAACTTGGCGATGAGATGCTAGGAGAGCTACTTGCGCGGTTGTCCGACACCGCCGGCCTTAGCAGAAGCGCATTCGGAGGCTCCGGCAGAGGATTTTGTCCCCGCGACGAGTGACTGGTGTGCCCTCGTTCGCGTCCATAAATCGTTTCACTTGTTTGTATGATGAATCAACTCCCTTGCCTTACAACGAGCCTGAAACGAAAGACGCACCCCCTGCCCCCCCTCCGAAGCCCCCCGTTCGGATACGCCGACTTGCCTGGGAGAAAAAGCTACCTGGCAGTTATACCATCTCTGCCGCTCCTGGCGTTAACTCGCTGCACCTCCCCCTTGAACTTGAGTCCACTGCGAACGCGCTCAAGCTCTCCCTCTCGGGTCTGGTCGACTGCGGAGCCACTTCGGACTTTATCGACACAGAATACGTCAACCGAAACAACGTGCCAGTCCGAAATCTCTCAGTACCCATACCGGTCTACAATGTCGACGGCACCCCCAATGATGCTGGGTCTATTCGCCAAATCGCGGACCTGGTCCTATGATACAACGGACACTCCGAACGCGTTCAGCTGGCTGTAACCCACCTTGGGAAACAGGACTTGATACTCGGGTACTCCTGGCTCAAAAGCATAACCCCGAGATCAACTGGGAAACAAAGGAGGTGAAAATGAGCCGCTGCCCCCGAAGCTGCTCCACCTGCCGCGACGAGGAACGGACCGAGGCGCTGAGGTTCGCCGCCTCCGACTCCTTAAATCGCTTACTTGCGGGCACCTTCCCCACCGTTTGCGCTATCGATATCGCTGGCCCAGACGATGCCGACGACGAACTCGGAGCTCCTCCGGACCCTCCGGAGCGCTCACCAGACCTTGACGACGATGAGCATCTTGAAGACGGCGACCGCATCTTCTACACCTCCTTTCGCCCAATCGAGGAGATTCGCGCTGGGAGCACCGTGTCCCAACGCCTTGCAGAGGCCTTCGCCCGTAACTTCGGCCCCCCCGCCTTCGGAGATTCCGGACTGGGCCAAGGAGTTCCAAGACGTCTTTGACAAGGAGTCCTTCGACACGTTACCAGAGCGGAGGGCTTGGGACCACGCTTATCGAACTCGTCCCCGACGCGAAGCCCGCTAATTGCAAGGTGTATCCGATCTCCCCCTTGAACAGCGAACTTGACGAGTTCATCGAGGAGGGACTTGCCACAGGCCGTATCCGCCCTTCGAAATCTCCGATGGCTTCCCCGTCTTCTTCGTTAAGAAAAAGGACGGAGGACTTCGGTTTGTCCAGGACTACCGCGCCCTCAACGCAATGACGATTAAGAACCGGTACCCCCTCCCGTTGATTAATGACCTTATCAACAGGCTTAAGGGCGCCCGTTACTTCACCAAACTCGACGTTCGCTGGGGCTTTAATAACGTCCGGATTAAAGAAGGAGACGAGTGGAAGGCGGCCT